TGCTGGAATAAATTGAATCGACAGAAATTTTTGGAAAAATCTCACTTACGCATTTATCAATAAAATTCTTCATCTTATCAGCTTTTAGAAATTCAAAACTTGAATAGTTAAGATAACATTTGCGAGAGAAAAATTTCAAGGAAATGAACAAAAATTGATTCTTCCAGACTACTTACTTGATATAAATCCCCCCTCAAAGTTTTTAAGGAAACACCATTAGGCAAAGCATATTTGTGTGTTGTCCTCATTCATCATATGACCCTTCAAAAAAAAAAAATGATAATAAATCAGACGTCCGATAAAAGTTCTCGTTACTCGGTAATCTTCTCAAATTTTTTTTCAGAAAGCTACGCCACCCGCGCGGAGCTTAACTTCATTGATAAGGCTAGAAAGGGGCCTTCTGATAACGGAAGACTGTCCGTATAATTGCACTTTGGAGCCCTGAACTCGATCGATTCGGTCATGACGACTTCGTATCCTATTCTGGAACAGGATGTTCCTCAGTCCTACAGGTTTTGGTTTGAAATTTTTGAAAACAATCGGTGAAAAACAATCGACTTCATTATTTATTTGAAGCTGAACTTAAGCAAAAAAGTTTTTATTGGTTCATTTTTTTAATTTACGAAAAATTCACTTTAATTGAAAAATTGAATTAAAAACTGTTTTTTTACAAACATCTTCGCTTTTTTTTGCGCGTTTGAGTGCAGTGTTGCGTCATTCTGCAACTCGGTGGATTTAATTCGAAGATTCAAAATTTCTGTTATCTGATTTTTCTGAAAAATTTTGTGTGCAGATTTATTTAAAATGTAGTTGCTTAAATGATTATTGGTTTTATTTTTAGAGACAAGATTCTGAAATGGAATGGCTGGGGCTACAACGATTCAATGTTCACCATCGATAAAGCTGGACATGTTACTTTCACAGGCGACAAGTGGGTTTTCGTTATGTTTTCAAATACTTCTAAAATGGGCAAAGGTAGGTGTAGTTGACTGAAATGAAAAGCTTGTTTTAAATCGCAAGCTTCATACAGCAAAAGGATGAAAGGGTCAAACGTCGGGATGATTGATTCAAACTAGCTCTTTATTTCGAGTATTTTTTTTACGTAGAAAACTCCATTAAAGAAATTTGTACCAACAAGTGCCCTTATTGAATAGGCGGTTTTTATTAAAATACCAGTAAGTTTTTCCAGTGTCAGTTTCATTGCATAAAATTTTTTTCACAAGTTCAGAATTGAAATGGGCTTCTTAAGAATTCTTTGTAATTAGAACTAATCAGTTAAGATTTAAAAAAAACTCGTTAAAACTTCAAGATATTGTTCCCAGATACGACATCTCGGGCAAGACGATGCCGCACTTCCGTCCCTGGTTCGAGAGCTACCTGGGCATCGACCTGAACCACACGACTCCGGCCCAGAAACTGTCGGAAGTTCCGATCGACGCCCCAGTCGAGAACGACGACATCATTGAGTACCTCACCGAGAAGAAAATCGCCTTCTCCAACGCCCCTCGCATGCGTCTTATTAGATCTCATGGGCATACGGTAGTTCAAAAGTTCATTCAGAAGGAGAAAAATTGAGTTGAAGGTCCACGAGTTGATGAATCTTCGCGAAGGAAAGGTGCCACGACTCCCAGACCTCGTCGTTTGGCCAAAGTCCGAGGCCGAAATTACTACGGTGGGTATAAAATTCAGAAAAATGCTCTTACTGTTTTTCTCACACGGTATAGTCTGTTCTCCGCAATTTGACAGTTTTCGGATGTCTGCGTCTCTCTGTTCTCTCATCGGGAAGGTTAGAGAAAAAGAAAATTAGCACCTGAACTTTAGAGGGACGCCGAGAGAAGAGGAGGGCGCAGAGAAAAACAGCAGCTTCCAGTCACGAAAAACGGACTAAACTTAATATTTTTATGGGGCGAGAGAGCAGAGGCTTCAGACTTTAAAACTGGATTTTCGTAATCTCCGTAGAAATAATTGATCCGAGCCATTACAAAAAGGTCATTTTAAACTTTTTCTACAGTTAGAGTCTGTGAAAGCCCGTTTCCGGGACTAAAATGGGGGACTTCTCCTCCTCGTCTCTCGGCAACCCTCTCGTTTTTACGTGATATTTTTATGTTTCTCTGACCTCGCCGATGAGGGAACAGAGAGACGCAGACAGACATGAGAAAATATAGCGGAGAACGGACTAAAAAAAGACTGAAACATAGCGAAATTAAAAACAACTTTGTCCATTTTTCCTCTCTATATTCTTCTTTACAAGACTTATTTTCTCAGATCATCGAAGGGGCGATGAGCAACAGCTGCGTGATCATCCCAATCGGAGGCGGGACTTCGGTTTCAAACGCTCTCGACTGTCCGGACACGGAAAAACGCTTCGTTATTTCCCTTGATATGGCCCTCATGGACAAGATTTTGTGGATTGACCGGCAGAATCTGACTTGTCGAGCTCAGGTGAATATTTCACGTGCATGATAAAAAAAATGATTAATTTCGAGCCTTGACTGATTTGATCAAAGCTGTCCTAGTAAATTTTGATTTATAACTGATTTTTTTTGTTGAAAAAAGGTACAAGCTTCCAATCGCATATTTTTCATGAAAAAAAAATAGCAAAAAGGCCTTTCTATTTTTTTTAACCTTCAACAATAATATAATACATCTAAAAAGTGACCAGATTTTCGAAAAATCGACTTGAAATGTCGGCTTTTACCGGATCAGGATCTTGAAACTTCTATTTTTCATTTTGAACAGATAAATCGAAATTTTTAGTTTATCTCCGAGTTCATTTACTTCCAAAAAGGCTACTTGAAAATATTAAATTTCCTATTTTCAAAGCTAGCTTGAGAAGGGGCGTGGCCTGTCTGCGCTCTCCATAAACCAGGCATTATTTTTTTTTATCGTGTCAGAACCTTTTTCTATCGCTCAAGCCAGCAGTGAAGCTACAGTTCTCAAATTAATCTAAAACTAGTCCTTGAAAAAATTGGAAATTTCAAAATTTCTTTAGAGCTTTTTATCCATTCAGTACTCCAACGATATGTTAACTCAAATTAAAATAAAAAATGATACAGAAGTTTTTTTGTGGAGTCTGTTTCAAAGCTTTTTTATTTACGTTCTCTTTTATTTTTCGAAGATCAGTGTGTCATAGAAAACGCCTGAAAGTTTATGAAATCTCAAAAAAGTTATTAACTTCTTCTAAGAAAAGTTAAAATAAACTTTCAGGCCGGAATCGTCGGCCAAAGCCTGGAAAGACAGCTCAACGACAAGGGATTCACCTGTGGACACGAGCCGGATTCCATCGAATTTTCGACCCTCGGAGGCTGGGTCTCTACTCGTGCCAGTGGAATGAAGAAGAACAAGTTAACACTCAAGAAATTACTGTTGTAAAGGGAATTTCTAGGTATGGAAACATCGAAGACCTCGTCGTCCACATCAATTTTGTCTCGCCTAAGGGGCTCATCCAGCGCCAATGCCAGGTTACTTGAGTATAGTCCATTCGTCGCGGCTTGAAAGTTTTCGAGTGTCTGCGTCTCTCTGTTCTCTCACCGGTCAGAGAAACATGAAAGGAGCACGTAAACAGGAGAGAGACTTCGAGAGATAAAGAGGGCGCAGAGAAGCCTCTGTCAAGTCGCAAAAAATGGACTAGAAGAAAATTTTTCGAATTTCAGGTCCCAAGAATCTCCAGCGGTCCAGATATCCAGCAAATCATCATGGGATCCGAAGGAACCTTGGGAGTCGTTTCAGAGGTTTGAGAAAAAAATTTTCAGATCTGGAAAGATTTTTTTGTCTTTGAATTTTGTCTCAAGGAAGAAATTTGTATATAGAGTTTTCCGAAAAATAGCCAATTCTTATATTTTCGCAGTCACTTAAAGAAAAATCAAACTTCTCTGCGTCTCTTTTCCCTTACAGACGAGGTCATAGATAACTGAAAATAGCACTTGAAAATGAGAGAGTTTCTGGGGAAATGCAAAAAATGAGTGGCTATTGCGTAAATTTATGTTTTTTTTAAAAAAGATGAGAGCAAGAAATGAAATAAATATCAATTAAAAAGTTCAAGATGGTCTTCCAAATAGTCTTCCAACAGCCACTGGAAAAGCTTCATTCAAAATTTAGACCACTTATTAAAAAAAATTCAAGGAAAATTTAAAAAGTCTGAAGCTTTTTTTTCGATTTAGGAGAGATTTTTAATTTTTTCCAACTCAAATATTGTCCCTAAATTGCCTAATTGTCAAATTCAGGTGACCCTGAAAGTTTTCCCACTTCCTGAGGTCAAGAAATACGGTAGTTTCGTGTTTCCTGATTTCGAATGCGGCGTCAACTTTTTCCGCGAGGTCGCTCGTCAGGTATTCTTTTTTAAAGATTCCCTCATTCATTTTTAAATTTCAGCGAATCCAACCGGCCTCGTTGCGGCTCATGGACAATGAACAGTTTGTGATGGGCCAGGCGCTGAAAGTCGCTAACAACTCCTATTGGGACACTTTCAAGAGCTCCTTGAGCAAGATGTACATCACCAAATGGAAAGGATTCAAGGTCGGTCTGAAATAACGGTTAATCAAAAGGACGTTTGCTCTATAGTAGTTCAGAAAGGGAAAATGGTTAGTAAAGTAAGGTTTTAGGTGTTTTTTTCATCCTTCTGGTACTTGGGTAAAATTGGAATAGTGGTTGATGACCGTTAAGAAGGGATAGGCTCCACAAAGGCTGCAGAAAGGCATCCAAAAAGGGACCTTTCACATCCTAAAAGAAACATTTCTAGGCAGCATTTTCTGACCCTCTCCGATTTTCTATTATTTTTGATATTTTCAAATTTTGCTTTCATAAAAAATAATTTTTAGGTTGACGAAATCTGCGCGGCGACCTGCGTTTACGAAGGAAGCCGTGCCGAAGTAGAAGAACAGGAACAACGTCTGAATCAAGTCGCCGAGACTTTCCGTGGAGTTGTGAGTGATTTTATGAACTTTATTCAGAAACAAAATGTCTTTTTAGAGTTTGAAAATAAAAAAAGATCCAATTTTAGGTCGGAGGCGAGGAAAATGGCAAGTACGGCTACAGACTCACTTTCGCCATCGCATATTTGAGAGTGAGTTCCGAAGTTTTTTTTAATGATTTGCAGCTGAAAAATGAGAGTATTACATAGAAACCTTGAAAGATCACAAAGTTTGAAAACTCAATGACATTTTTTGAACAAGAGACGGGTTTGTAAAGTAATTTTATAACTTGCTTCAAAGTTCAAATGGAAAAATCTGGTTCTGATTATTTTTAGAGAGCAGCTTCAGCTTAGTTATGAAGAAAGCTTCAGGGAAAACTTTTAGTGCCATTATAGAGGCTCCCCAAGGACTTCTTGAAGAGGACACTAAAGTTGCCACTAATTTTCAACCTTTAAAGTGGCCACCATTTGTTCATTAGTGGCAACTTTTGTAGTTTTAATCATCTAGTAGTACCACTTAGAGCTCTATAATGGCCACTGATTTCTAACCCCTAAAGTGGCCACTAATATGACTACTATAGTAGGCACTAAAACGTCAAAACTGTATAGAGACCGCTGAAATTTTTCCCATGTTCTCATTGGAAAGGTTTTCAGAAATTCAAAATTTTACGGAACCTAATATTTTTCTCGTTCAGGACCTCGGCATGAACCACGGCGTCCTTGGAGAATCCTTCGAGACTTCCGTACCTTGGGACAAGGTTTCAACTCCTTCTTGATATTTTCTCAAGCTTTTTAAATTGTCTCAGGTCCACACTCTCTGCCGGAACGTGAAGGAACTTATGCGACGAGAATCGAAAAATCAAGGCGTTCAGACCCCGGTTCTGGCCAGTTGCAGGTCTTTTTTTTCAATTTTTTGAAGGTTTCGAATTTTTTTAATTTTCAGAGTGACTCAAGTATATGACGCTGGCGCTTGCGTTTACTTTTATTATGGGTTCAACTCTCGTGGCCTGGAAGACGGTTTGAAAGTCTACGACAGAGTTGAGGTCCGTTTTTTCCACTGAAACTTCATCAATTTTCTTCCCAGGCTTTTTTTTTTTAAAAAAAAAGAACTTTTTTTCCATAGCCTAGTTATTGAAAACTCTTCATTTTAACTTTCCCAAGTTTAGAAACCCTACGCGTCCGACTTGAAACGAGTTACGCACTGCTATAAAAAATTTTTTGTATCGAACTTCTCAAGTGACCCCTATACGATAAGGAAAAAAATCAGCCCCTCAAGCCTATATTGCAAAATAATTTTTTCATTGAAAAACAGAGCCTATTGTTCTCACTTTTCTCTATCTAAATATCTTCAAAAAACAATTCTGGATTTTCAGACAGCCGCCAGAGATGAGATCATTGCATGTGGCGGCAGCATATCCCATCACCACGGAGTCGGAAAACTTCGCAAGCCTTGGATGCTGACCACGAATGGAGCTGTCGGAATCGCCCTCCTCAAGGCTATCAAGGTACTTTTTCCGTCATTTCATTACTTAATTTAAATTTTTCACATTCCAGAGTGAACTCGACCCCGCCAACGTCTTTGCCAACGCCAACCTCGTCGATATCATCGGATCGCCCCATTGCAAATTATAATTTGACATGTTTCATCATTTTTCCGACTTCTAACTCCAACTCTTATTCATGTAATAAACAAAATCCTATGCAATTATTTCTCATGCAAAAATAAAGATTCTTCCAAAAGCTTCTGAATATGAAAAAGAACTTGAAAAGAAGTTGAACGTGAACTAGAGTTCTTTTTATTTAATTACTGTAGTCCCGCCTGCGCCTACACCAAAGGCACGTGAACCGACGGCACAAAAAATAAGATTTATTTTCTTGTTTTTCTGTTTTATTGATTAATAAAAATATAATTTCCAAAGTTAAGCTTCTTCAGTATTTTTTTAAGAGAAGGTTAATCACGGTTATAACTTTTTTTCCGCCGCTTTTGGGGTATAACCGTCGATCTAAAAATAAATTTTACTGATAACGATAATCTACAAATTTTTTTCTCACTCATTTTGCAAGTTTGTTTATTTTGAGTTTTTCTGTATACTTTTCGAATGAGTTCTATTCTAATTGATATTTACTTTGCTTATTTTTTTTATTCAGTTTTAACTTGTTTTCTTTGAAGTTCGAGGCGTTTTTTTACTATTTACTGTTTAATTATAATTTGCTACACATCTGAATTCAGTCTTGATGCAATGGACTGTTCGACGAGCTCAAATCTCCTAGGAGTGGAAAATGATCGGATGACGGCCAGTTCTCCGCCGGAAATTTTTACAACAGATGATGAAGATGAAGCTCGAGATAACTTCATTCATACCTACGTCAATGTAGACGAACATGTCAATGTTTGCAATTTGACGAAACCGTCTCCAGAAGTACAAAAGCCAGAGATACAACGGCCAGAAAGGCCTGGAGAGGTTATTTTTGTATTTGCTTCAAAAAAAAGTTTTTTTCAGACATCTTCAAGGCATGGAAGCAGAAGCGCAAGCCGGTCTTATCATACATCGGAAGAAGATCGGGAATTGGACAATTCTTTGGCAGAAAAAGAAGAAACGGAGCAAATCGAACAGCCTGATACGGATAAATTTGGTTTTTTCGTCAAAAGTAATGGACCGGTTAACAAGTGAGCGAAGAAACTTCTAGGATTTTTGCGTTAATTTGCTTTTCTGTCATAATAAATTTTTTCAGGGAGCTGATAACTATCGAAAAGCTGAGATCAAGGGAAAAGAAATGGATTCAGATGCTCGACAATTGGCGATATTTCATGGACGAGAAGTAAGTTTCAAATTCTAATAAATAGGATAACATTTTGATTTCCAGGTTTGATTTGATCAGAAACCGTTGTCGGAAGGGAATTCCGCCTTCGATGCGAGCAAAGGCCTGGAAATATCTAACCGGGGCGACTTTTCAAATGGAAGTCTCCCAAAATCGATTCGTTTTCGATGTAAAAAAGTTTTATTTTCTCTTCCAAAAATAGATGTTTCAGTATTGTATGAAGCAGCCAGGGGATCCGAAATGGATCGACGACATTCAAAAAGATTTGAATCGTCAATTTCCCGACCATGAGATGTTTTCCAGATCCGGAAGGTTCAGCGAAGGAGGGTTTGTTCGAAAAATGAATAGAAGTGGAGAAAAATGGAAGAATTCAGAAAAGAGGACCTTTTCCATCTTCTAAAGTGTTATACAGTTCTTCACCCGGAAGAAGGATATTGTCAAGGACAGGCGCCAGTCGCCGCTGTTCTTTTGATGCATATGCCTTTGAGGTTATTTTTTAATTAATATCATTTTAATGGAGATTTCAACAGGACAAAAAAATTAACTCAAACCGAAAGAAAAAGAATTCGAAACTCACTACATATTTTGATCAATTACTTTATAAAATTCTATAATTTTTACTTTTAAGCTTATAAAGAAATCCGAAAAGCAGAACTACAGTAAAAATCATTTTTCGAATTATCTGTTCAAAAAATTTTTCTGTTAACGCGCAAAAAGTTTTTATACACAAAAGAAATAAATAAAACGTTATTTTTACTTCGGAACTTCCATAAATTTTCTTGATGCTTTTTTAAACATCCCAGTAGAGATCTTCAAAAAAACTATGCGAAAAATTCAAAAAAAGCATGATTCAAACATTTTCCTTTTTAAGTTGTGTATTTAATTTGAGTTAGAAAAAGGTGGTGTTCAAAAAAGATAAAACCGTGAGAAAAAAATTTTTTTTTCATAAAAAAAGCTGAAAAAAACTGATCTCTTTCTACCCGAAGCCTTCAAGAAAACTTCTATTTTTTCTAAATTGAACAAAAATTTGCTATAATTTCCAGGGACGCTTTCTATTGTTTTGTTCAAATCTGCCACAAGTACCTTCCCGGTTATTACAGTCCAGGATTGGTGAGAATAATTTTCTTGTAAATTTCAACATGATTTCTTCCAGGAAGCCTTGCAAGTTGATGGCGAAATCCTCCATAAAACCCTAAAAGTCAAGGCGAAACACACCTATAAACATTTTGTGAGCCTTTTTTCGTTTGGAAATTATGAATTTATTATTTTTTAGCGTGAAAATCACATCGATCCGATGCTGTACATGGTGGAATGGTTCATGTGCGCATTTTGTCGAACTTTGCCTTGGCCGACTGTTTTACGCGTTTGGGACATGTTTTTGTGTGAAGGTTGTTTAAAATTCCCTTTTCTTACCTGTAATTTCATTTTTCAGGTGTTAAAATAATTTTTAAAGTTGCAATTGTTCTACTAAAGTACTCACTTGGAACCCCGGCGCAGTGCAAAAGATATCCGGATATGCACTCGATAATGACGAGATTGAGGAATCTGCCGCCTCAGATCACCACGGAGGAATTTTTGATCGAAAAAGTAAGTTTCGTGATTTTTCAAATGTTTTGAAACCGAGAAAATGGAAGCGAAACATACTTATCTTGTCAAAATTATGAAAAGAAAAACGGTAGTCAAGAAATAGTTTTCAAAATTTATTTTTTTACTCAATAATATGTTTTATAGGTTTGCGAAATGAGCTTCAATGACGCAGAAATGGAACGTATGCACTTCGCCGCCACCAAACTCCGCCAAATCCATTTCCAAAATACATGACCCCCCGTTTTATTTTTACATTCCCGATCCAGCCATTTTTCTTGCCAAATCCTATGTTGTGATTCAGTTATGCCTCACTATCTCCATATTCCTTCCAAAAACGTTCAAATTTAACCTACCCGATAATCTCAACTAATGGTTGTAACCCATCTTTTGCTCATTTTCCACTGCATTCTTCCATAATCTCTTGTATTTTGGCCGTGAAGCCTCACTAACCATGGACACGAACGAAATTGCCACTCTTTGTATTTTCTTCCTTTGTTGTCATATTTGATATTATCCCAGATCTAATCTTATATGTAAAAAAAGAAATAAAATTTCTCAAGCATTCGAAAAAATGTTCGTGTGAATTTTCGCAGTTCAGCTTTTCAATTATTTATTGAACAAAAGAAAAATGCAATTGGAGTGACCCACACGCTTAATTAAACGTGGAAAAAACGCGAATCGCACGTTGTAATGTAAAAATTGTGCAGGCCGGTGCAAGGTTTGCTCGAAGGCGAGGCCTACGGCGTTCTCTGGAGCCTCGTTCGGGCCCACTTCAAACCAAAATCCTCAAAATTCCATTCAGTTTCCTTGGTTCCGGTTTCTTTTTTATTAAATGGTTTTATATTTAAACTATTGGGAACGTCCTGACTTATTGCACTAATGAAACAAGTTCGAATCACGCTAGTTTTCGTTACATAAATCTCTTTTCAATCGTTTTCTTGCCCATAATACTTTTACTGTACTGAAAAGTAATTAATTATAATCTCATATTATCTTACATAACAGTTCTGTTAGTTTTTGAGCTCAATTTCGGAGTTATTCTCGAATTATCTGTTCTAGATATCGCGCTTCAATTTTGGAAATTCATTTCATCAAAAGTTATGTCGTTCAATCCGTGAATGTTTTTTTTCTCTTTTTCTCATTGTGTATCTAGTTTTTTCTTTTCCACTAGTCGTTTTAACTTTTTAAATTTTTCAATTTTCGAAGTTTTTTTTTCATTTTTTCCAAATAATTTGAAATCAGAAAGTGTTCGGAATCGAAAAACCGTGAAGATTTTGTCAACGTTTTCCTTTTTCCTCAAAAACTTTAATAAAACAGACGTTTATTTTTTACTTGGGAATTTTTCGTGTCTTTTTTCTGAGCTATGAAACTTATCAATAATTTCATTTTGAATCCAACGTTTTTTGAAAATTTCTCCTCATATTTTTTAGATCGAATCGTTAAATCGTCGATTATAAGCTTCAAATGAATAATAAAGATTGTTATTTTCTTAGATCGGGTACTCAATTCGTCATGGTTTCGCCGCCGGGCCAGTCCAGCAAGCAGCCGTTGCCTGCAAGAGAACTTGGGATATTCAGAAGAATTATTGTCAGTTTTTCGGCGAAATAATTATCGCGATCTTTTGGATTTTCAGAAAAGCTACGAGCAAAAGCAATATCGAGTCGGCTTGAGATATGCCAGACAAATCCTCTCCAACAGCCAATTTGCTGATCATGGAGGTTCGATTTCTCTCGTTTTAAATGAAGAGATTGGATTTTTCAGAAACTTTGTCTATGAAAGGCCTTATCCTGAACTGCATGGGCAAGTCGGCCGAGGCGCAGGATTGTGTGAAACGAGGCCTGAAGGCCGATCTGACGTCCTACGTCTGTTGGCACGTCTACGGCCTCGTCCAACGTTCCGACAAGAAATACGATGAGGCGATGAAAGTCTGTTCGGGAAGATAATTCCATTTCGAAACTCGAAATTCAGGCCTACAAACACGCCTTGAATCTTGACAAGGAGAACTTGCAAATTTTGCGCGATTTGTCCTTGCTCCAAATACAACTCCGTGACTATGAGGGCTACAGGGTTTTTTTCAATTTTATCTAAAAATGTTCATTTATTTGTTTTCAGGATTCTCGTTATCACTTGCTCCGCCTTCGGCCGACCCAACGCGTTTCTTGGGTCGGCTATGCGACGGCCTACCATTTACTGAACGATTACGCGATGGCGTTGAACATCATCAGCCAGTTCATGAAGAACAACACGGTAAACTCGATGGATAACTCACGTTTTTTTTGTTTGAATGGAATTAAAAGTTGTTTGAAGGCGAAGCGAAATGATTTTTTTTTCAAAGTGTAGTATTTTATGATGTTTGATGGTGCGGTGCAGTTAATTTCATTTATAACAGTTTGCTGGAATTTTTGAGAAAAAAATTTTTTTATCGAAATAGGTACACGCAAAAAATATTTTTTTGTTATCCAAAACTTCCAGTAAACTTAGGGTCAGATTTTTTCCGTTCAGATTCAAAATTTGCAATAAAATCTTACTAATTTTTATCTTCAGATTATAACTGACCTTTAGGTTTCAATAAATATTTTTCATCCCTCATATAGGTATAAGAATAATCTGGCTCTTGTATCAAATAGGATTCTTTTTTTCCATCACTCAAGACATTTTTTCAGGCGAAAAAGTCAATATTTAACGTCCTGTTCAAAGTAAATTCTGCGAAATACAAAATCATCTTTGTCTCTCCAAAATTATTATTTTTTTCTACGATGGTTGATTTGAATTTCGCGGTGTCATTTTGAGCACGACGCCTTTTTTCACCAATCATTTGAATATTTTCCAGCCGGCCGCCTTTGACTTTGAACACTCGGAGCTATTGCTCTACCAAAACTTTATAATCCGGGAGTCTGGTCAATTGGACGTCGCCCTCCAAACGCTCGAGGAGAATTCCATTGCGATTGTCGATCGGGTCGCTTACATGGAAACCCGAGGTTTTCCTTCACTCGGAGATATTTCTAATGCAAGTATTGTTCCAGGAAATCTCCTCATGCAGCTCGGCCAACTCGACAAGTCGGAACAAGTCTGGCGCTCTTTGATTGACCGAAATCCCGAGAACAACTTGTACTACGACAAGTTGGAGGAGTGCTTGGGCCTGCAAGGTAATTTTTCAAGTTTTAGAAAATGGTGGCTTTTTTATAAAGTATTTTGGGCTGAAATAACGCTTTGAAGCAAAAGTTTGGCACTAAACTGAGCTTCCGAGAACTTTCCTGAATTCATTGAAATCGAAAAACAAAAATTTAAAAAAATTTTTCTAAAGGAAAAATTCTTCGAATTTTTGTTTTGACCTTTTTCTTCTAAGAAAAAAATTGCTCCCGATTGAGTTATTTTTTTACAAAAAAATCTCCATTAAAACCTTTGGAAATTTAATAAAAGTTTTACAAGCACTTTATTGGAAAAATAATTGAATTCTGACAAAATTTGACTTTTTAGAGGGATTTTTAAAAATTAAAAATTAAGCTTCTTTGATGGCATTTTTTTCGCCTTTTTTTCGAAGCTGTAAAGGTAAATTTTGATGAGAAAAAGAACTTCCAATAAAAAAACGAGTATGAAAAAAACTGTTATAGGAAGTTCTGTTCAAGGAAAAACTCATTTTAGAATTTGAAGAGAAAATTTGAGCAATTTACCATTTTTGGGTGAATGGTTAACGAATTTCTCAACTTTTTTTTTCAGAGAAAGGAAATACCGAACGCCTAGCTTTATACGACGAATTGGGCCAAAAGTACAAAAAAGCCTCGGTCCCAAAAAGAGTCGCCCTGAACTTGGTGGAAGGCGAACAGTTCCGGGAAAGGCTTCTGGACTGGATGACGCCTTTCTTGAGAAAAGGAGCCCCCAGCCTTTTCACCAGCTTGGTCCCTCTCTACGCGTTCCCTGAGAAGGTTAGGAAAGTTCAAAAAGAACGGAAAAATAATACTTTTTCAGGTCGCGATCATCGAAGGATTGATCAATGAACTGGTGAAGAAGTTCGAAGACGAAGGCTATAATAATGTCTCTTTGGATGGTTTGTTGTGGATTTTTATACATTATGAACAAGGAAAGGTGAAATATTCAGTATTACTATTTTTTTATTCTATTGTCCCTTATTAAGTTTATTTTATCAGTTTATTATTCTTGATTATTTTAAAAAGTTAGAGTTAGGCAAAACCATGGTTTGGATAGGAAATTTTTTTCGTACTTTCTCTCCGAAAATTAAATTTTCTGTTCAAATAAAAAAAGTCTTATAACGTTTTCTTAAGATAAATTTTTTTCTCATAACTCTATATACTTGCTAGAATTTTTTTAAAATCATATTTAAATGAATAAATAGTAGTTTCAATGCCACTTTTAACTTGAGGATATATACTTTTAAACCCCAAAATCATGATTTTTCCAGATACTTTTACAGTTTTTTTTAACAGAAATTATGTTAATTACTATTTTTGGAATATTTTTTTAAAATTTCCTGGAACTGACGAATTAGTTAGGGCAAATGTATTCTCATCTCATATTCAGAAACCAAAAGTTTATTGTTTTATAACTGCGAACTGGGTTTTTTTTTTCTCTAAAAACTGGTTTTCTAAACTACTTCTTCTATTTTAATTTTATCAGTTTTTTTCTTGATAAGTAGAGAGATTGAAAGAAAATGTCAACAAAAAACTTCAGTTTATACTTTTATTTTCCGTTTTTAGCTTCTGAAACGGAGCACGAGCCACCCACCACGGCCTTGTGGCTTTACCTTCTCGCCGCCCAGCACTACGACAGAGTTTCCAACACTTCTTTGGCACTCAGTTTTGTGGATCGAGCCATTCAACATACGCCGACGCTCGTCGAAAACTTGATGCTCAAAGCGAGGATTTATAAGGTTAGAATTATTTTGAAAAACGATATCACTCAATAAATCTGTTATTCGAGTTGAGACGTTTCAAAAACTTGAAATAGAGCTGTTTCGTCATAATTTGCGCATTTTGCAAACTTTGGAGCTTCATAAATCGCAAAAGATAATTTTTTTTTTCTTTTTCTGAAGTGCTGAAAGGCGTTTCAGCCAAGTTTCATCAAAAGTTCAACCCGAGGGCCAAAAAACGTTCCCTAAACGGTGTTCCAAAGTGTCCTAAAACGAGAAAATAAGTCTTCTGAAAAATAATGTTTTTTTTTTATAGCATGCCGGAGATTATCTGGAAGCCGCGGACCTGATGGACGAGGCTCAAAGTTTGGACACGGCCGACCGTTATATCAACGGAAAGTGTGCCAAATATCTCCTGAGGGCGCGGAAAATCGAAGAAGCCACGAAAATGTGCGCCAAGTTCACCAGGGTTCGACTAGTTCTCATCCTAGAAAATTTGAATTTTTTCGATTTCAGGAGGGAGATGCTCCTGAAACTTTCCTGAACGAAATGCAGTGCATGTGGTATGAAATCGAGTGCGCCCGGGCATATCGATCTCTGAACGACTATGGAGAAGCGCTGAAGAAGGCTCATCAGATTGAGCAGGTTTTTAGGAGGGAGAATACTTTTCAGTGATGTTTCCAAGCTTTATTCTGGTCTTAAGGTGATCAAAATTGGTTTAAATTGTACACAGATGTGGAATTTCGAAATAACCACTTAAATATTGATTTCAAATGGATGAAGTTCAGAAAAAAATCGAATACTTTCAATGGAAAAATCAGAAGGAACTTTTTTAAATCGATATTTAGCAGATTTTGTCAAAAAAAGTTTTTTTCTCATCGATTTTTTTTCAACCTTTTTCGCCTTAAACCAAGTTTTCATAAAAAAATGTGAACTTTTGAAATATTTCGATTTTTTTCGTGAGAGGATATAACTACAGATTCATTAGAAAAACTGTATAGGAAAAAGTTCTTTTTTATTTTATATTCTTCTTTTTTTTTCATAGAAAAATCCAGCAGACCCGAGAATAGTATTTGATTGATGACCTCAGAAAAATTTAATTTTTTTTTACCGAATATAGCCATTTTTTGCAGCATTTTTTCACAATTGTCGAAGATCAATACGATTTCCATACGTATTGCCTGCGGAAAACGACCCTGACGGCCTATGTCTCGCTTCTGAGACTCGAAGACGTCATCCGTCGTCACAATTATTTCTATCAAGCTGCCAAATTGGCGATCAAGGTTTTTTTTCATCTATCAAAGCGAATATTGTACAGAAAAAGGTGATTTATGAAATGAGAAAGATTGAATAGTTGTGAAAAAAAGTATTATTTTTTTCATTTCATTATTTAATCTTGCTCGTAGGAGATGTTAATTCAAAAAAAAAAATTGAATGCTTCAAAAAGTTTTAGAAACAGGATGATCAAGTAGCGAAAAAACTCGGAAAGAAAAATATGGCGTTTTACTAGGGGAGAACGTTGAAAAGTTTTTGAAATAATAGGATTTTATTTTATTTTTTTCCGATTGTCAAACCTTTTTTTAGTCTTTGTGGTACAAATAATGCGGAGAAAAAAAAAATCAAAGTTTCTAAAATTTCCGAAACAGGATAATCAAATAACGAAAATGTATAACATAAATAAAGAGAAATGGTTTTTTTATTTTTTTATTATTTGAAGCTTTGCTGTATTTACTGAACATTTTTGGGTGAAAATCAAAAATCTAAATAATTTTTTGAAATTTTGACGATCATACAATAAATAAACAGGTCACTTGTAATCTTTTGATTTGAAAAGCAATTTTAGAAAAAAAAATAGTTTACAGTGTGCCAGAGATACTTGACAAAAACTTTGAAATGATAAAAAAATTGAGCTTTTCGGGAGAGTTAATCTGTTAGCATAGTTTCTTCAGAAACAAAATTGGATTTTTTTCTTTTTTTATTCCAAACATTGTGAAATTTTTCATAGTTTTGCCGCGAATTAAATTTACATCCTCAGATTTATATGCGCATGATTGATCGTCCAAACGATATGATCATGCAAAATGGCATCAACAGCGAAGGTTTGACGAGCAACGAGCTGAAAAAGCTGAAGAAGAAGCTCAAAAAACAACAGCTGCAGAAACAGGAGGAAGAGGAGAAGAAGAAAGAAGTTTGCATTTATTTCAGAACGAAAAAAAAGATTATTTCTCTTAGAAAGAGAAGGATGACTACCGAGGCCCGCAGATAGACGCCAAGGAACTTCTGAAGACGGAGAAGCCTTTGGAAGAAGCCGCGAAGTTCGCCCATCACCTGCACATGCTCGGATCGCCCCACGCCACCGCCTATGCCCTCGCCGCCGATGTTTATTTGAGAAAGGTTCTTTCAATCATAGGAAAGAAGTGAATTATCTCATGTTTCTTCTAGAAAAAGACCTTACTCGTGTTGAAATGTCTGAACGAAGGCAACAAGATCGACCCCAACAGCCCTCTATTACATGTCCAGAAAGTCAAGTTCCTGAAATATTGTGGGTTTTGAACGAGTTCACAGGATTTTTAGCCCCTTTCTTCTTTTTTTTTTTGGCTCCGAAACTTCTCATTCAAGTTTTAGGCTCCTTTTCAGTGGAAAAAAGGATAATTACAAGTTTTTAAGATTTCTAAAAAGGCTAAGGAATATTCCAAGTGGTATACTTGTTTGAAGAGGTTTCTTCAATTTTTTTCTAGAATAAAAAAAGAACTGGGAAACTGTCTCTACTGCAATTTTCTTTTGAGGGCATAAAATTTGAATTAAAAAAGCGTTAAATTTGAGAATAACTTGAGAGTTTGTATTTCGAAAACGCGACTGAATCAACTATTATCGTAGTAGAAAAAAAAAACAGAGAAAAATAAAAGTTTTTAGCCACTTTTCTTGTGATTTCTATAATTATTTCAGACGAAACTGTTCAACTCACTGGTATTCCCGCCGACTTGGCCAAGGAAGTTTTCGAAAACTTGTTCAAGGGAGTCAATGATCCCGTGAAGCTGAACGAGGAGTTCAAGAGCAACAATCAGCAAAGTTTGATACATCGGCTGGCAGGTAAAACGGAAACAGAATAGAAAAAAATATTTGTCGATATTTTGATAGCAAAGTTTCCGAAATTTCAATTGAAAAAATTGCAGTTGCCGAGGTGAACTTGTTCCTGGACCCTTCGTCCGGTCCTGCCACCAAAAACTGGCTTCTGAAGTCCTTTGAGGACGACAAACTCAAGGGAAGAACACTCAAGAATTTCATCAAGTTCCGCGACGCCATTTCCTATGGAAAGATTGGCAGCTGGACCAAGGAGGAGGTATAGAATCTGTTATAATTTTGACTGAGAAAAAATAACAAAAAAATTAGAAAAATGATCTGAACTGATGAATATTTTCTCGCGAATTTCTCGAAAAATATAACTTTTCAAGTGAGAAAAATATTTTAGAAGCATTTTGAGAACCACTAAAGCTAGTAGATTAGATGTCAAAAAAAAATTGAATTTTCTAATCTTGGCTTGATCTATGGCATAAAAGAAAAACGCTTAATAGAATTGCTTCAAAATAAAAGTATTTTTTTAAAAAGTCAGGTATTTTTCAGAGTTATCCAACGAACAATAAAATTTTATTTTTTAGAAATTTCGCTTTTTTTTTTAAATATTTTAGGCTCCATATGTATACTCCCAGTTCATTCAGTGTTGTCTTGGGGCGATTTAATATGGGTCTTGACACGAATAGCGAAAAAGTGTGCGAAAAGAAGTCCTTCAGACTATTTTTTAGAATTTTTTTTATGTTTTACAAACGCTAAATGGTGTAACTAGTTCGCACTGCTCCACTTTTAACTTTTTTGAAAATTGGCGCTCTTTTTAGTGCTAATTAAGTATATATGTAACGTTGAATTATTTTTTCACATGGCTTATGATTCTAAAGAACTTTTTTCAAAAAAGCAACATTTTTTCGAAACGGTTGCTCAGGTGGAAGTGCTGACGCGTGTGGCTCACGGCCTTTTCCCGCTCTCCCGAGAATTCGGAGGCGGCGTCCAAAAACCTTCTTCCTCTTCCGGATAACCTCGAGAAGAACCTCGACTTCCTCCCGAAACACGCTGAAATCTCTCTTTTCCAAGCCGTACTTGTTTTCTTTTCTCTCTCTGCAAGTTTTATTGTTCGTCTTTCCTGTTGAAGTTCCTTTTGACCTCTGCAGGCTGCGCTCATTGTTGACGGTTACTAGATTTGTTTTGTTTTGTTTTTATTTTGTTTTCCTTATTTTCATTCACTGCTTTCTTTTTTATTTCCTTAAATTAGTTTGGTCACATGAGGCGCCACGTCCCGACAACGAAAATAGTAGATATATTTATTGTTATTCCAATTGTTAAACTTAGTGCCAATTTCTCCTTTCTATATTTATTTTTTATAGTTTTGATTTTTCCTTAGTTGCCTTTTTGGTTTTTCACCGTGTGCGACGTGCAAACCTTGTGATTTTTCTGTCAATTGGTCCCCCATAATTCTCTTCATGCCTTTACGTAAAAGACCAGCACTTACTTGTTTTCTTTCTCTCTTCGGACGCCTCAGTTCGTGTTGTTTCTATAGAATTAATAAATTTTTCATCAAAACTTCAAATTCTAGCCCTTTTTAAATGTTCCGATTCACTTTTTTTACCTTCGAAACTGTCCATTTTCTACTTAGACTTACTTAGTATATTTTTAGTGGTAATGGGAATTGAAACCGAAACAGAATACGATGACGGTCCAAGCGGTAATTTGAAAATTGGTATTTGAAAATTATCAGAATTTTTTGAAGAATACGATGATTCTCTTGTGTCGTCGAGTCACGAGGAACAAGGCTTCAATGCTGCCTATGAATCCAAAGAAGTTGGAAATGAAGATAAATTTCTGAAAACAGAAGATTTTTGAGGTTCTGGGCCGAGGCCTGGCCTCGACGGTCCGACGATGCATCGAAAAAGGCAGCGGACAGCAGTTTGCCGTGAAAATCGTCGATATTTCGACGGAAAAACAAACGGAGGTGAGAATACTTCAGGAAAAATGATAGATGACTAAAAAAAGATACAATTGAATCTGTTATAAAGCCATTTTTCTTATTTTTTTTTTTGCAGTTCACTGGAATTCACACAGGCAAAGTCCAAACGACCTCAAAAAGGCCTTAAAAAGAAGAGCCTAAAGCTCCTTTTTGAGTTCCTAAAAAGGTGTCAAAAGTTTCTCGGAATCTCCTTTTTTCCATCTTTTCTCCGCCTTATTTTTTCACTTCCTTAAAGTTTCCTCTTTAGAAAAAAGTCCTTTTTGAGACCTTTTGAACTTTGCCCGTGTATTCTACATAGCTTTTAAAAAAAATTTATAAAAAAATTGGCTGTTTTTTTGAAATTTTGTGTAGTTTTTTTGTGATTGGAAAAAGGACTAAAAAAATATTGAATCGGAAAAAAATTTGTCTATTTGTTGGAATTGTTCGCGTTTAAGCTCGAAATTTGTCGTAGAGACTATTTTTCCTTGTTATTTCCAGCTTTTTTTCAGCTGTATTTATGTTTGCATTCACTTTGAAATTCTTTTTATCTTGGATTTCAGTCAAAAAAAGAAGGCAAAATGTTCCGGAAAAATTTTTTTGAATTTGGAAGTTAAAATGGATTAGAGAAAAAAATCACAAAAGAAAAAGAAAAAGGAAAAATGTGATTTCTGAAATATTTCTACTTCCAAAAAGCAAAAATGAAAAAAATTGAATCGTAAATTTAAAAATATATAAGAGCTACCTAAGTATGAATAGAATCTTTCAAGAAAAGAGTGTCTATTTTTCTAGATTCCAGGAAGATTTTAGCGATGAGAATAATTATAAAAGATCGTTGTGAGATTTATAGGAAGAAGCCAAGAGATTACTGAAGGAAACAGTTTCGGAAGTGGAGATTCTCCGACAACTCGCCGGTCATCCGTCAATTAGTTAGTTTTCGCCATTTTTTTTACTTATTCTTATCTTTGTTAATCATAAAATTCTTCTAAAATGATCATCATCGTATTTTTTTAATTCACTTGAATTTCTCTACTTCGTTCCACCAAGAACAAAAATCACACTTTTTTTCCTAAATTTTTTTCGATTTCTATTTATTCTACTTGATAATATCGCGTAATATTGATTAGGTTATTCTTCAACTCGAATTAACTTTAAACAAACTTTTTTTGTTCCATTTTCCAGTCAAAATTCACGACTTCTACCAAACGCCGTCGTTTCTTTTCGCCGTTTTCGAAATGGCGCCAAAAGGCGAGCTTTTCGACCAACTGAACAATACGGTGACCGTATCCGAGAAACGGGCCCGACGACTCATGCGGCAATTGTTCGATGGAGTCGATTATATGCACTCCAGGAGCATTGTCCATCGGGATTTGAAGGTGAGTTGGAGAGAGAATTGAGAGAGAATGCTCAAATATTGGTTGAAACGGCTTGAATTGAAGAGTTAAAATAAGTTTTTGATCCTAAAATATAATATTCCGTTTGCAATTAGATACAAAATCTGATCCAGTGATGTTTTCTGAATTCCTTGAGGTTATCCTCTTTTCCTGTATCAAATGATTTTTAAAAGGAAATCCGAAAGTTTTGTTCCAATTGTATTGTCATAGTGTTTCCATGAAATATGTTTTCTCAGAGAGATTAATTCCTGCATTTTTTAGTGTAGTTTAGAGAAGACAATAGGATGAAAACGATGTTCTTTTTGGTTCCCCCCTCTTGTCGGCCCGCGGTTTAACACGTGCCGCAGGAGGACTTGACCCCCCGAGTTAGGAATTAAGTAAAAATGTAAAAAAAATGCAGCTCTGAGATTGAATATTCAGCTCGAGAACATTCTGTGCATCGACGATGAGCGAATCGTCATTTCGGACTTTGGGTTTGCCACTCGTCTCGCCAAAAATGAGCTCCTTCGAGGTTACAATAAACCCGAGAAAATAATAAATTCATGAAGAGTCCAGATCTCTGCGGAACTCCCGGATATCTGGCCCCAGAAACTATAAAATGTCGACTGTACGATGATGCGCCGGGATATTCGTTCGGAGTGGACGAATGGGCTCTCGGCGTCATTTTGTACACCTTGTTGGCCGGCTACGCTCCTTTTTATCATAGAAGGTGAACAAGAAAAAAAAAATCGAAAAGAGAATTCAAGAAACGTTTTTCTTAATCGATTTTAGATGAAAAAGTACGAAAAAAAAGCGAAAAATTTCTAATAAAAGTAGGTTTCAAAATAATTCTCGACGTTCTCCAATTTATAGTGAATAGTGATATATGTGAATAGTGAATTTATAGTGAAGGCTCAAAATTAAAAATAAATTGAGAGTAATGATTAGAACTTTATTTTCAGTTCAGCCTAGATATCTTGATCTCTAGAAAAGATTCTGACAAGTTCTTCTGAAACCTGTTTTTTTCCTTTCTCTGCCTCATTATTTACTTCTTACGCCTTGACTTGTTGCGGTCGCGTTTGAAATTTCTCAAGATCAGATTCTAGTTCAGCATCTTCTTTTAAGCCCTCTACGGGCGCAAGTCGTTTCGAGTCGGTCGCAAAAACCCTCACGCGTCCTAGGGCAAAATTCTGCCTTCCGCGCTGTTTTTTTCCGCATCTTTCGATTTGATTTCTCGAAAAGATAATTCTATATCGTTTTTTTTCCCTTTTCACAGTTCCATTCATCTTTTTTCACCCTTGAACCATCAAAAATATCTTTTAAAAAGAAAAAGTACTAAAATTTGGCTTTAAAAAGTCAAAGGCCACAAAATAAATTTTCATTCTGCAGTTTTGAAATTCAGTTTCGTCCATTTTTGATCAAGCCATTCTATTTGCGACCAGAGACTTCAAAGTCAAGGCGAATAAAGTATAAACTTTTTTTCTCGTCCGAACTTTCATTAACTTCGAGTTTGCCAAATAAAAAATCATTTTTCGCAGACAACTGATGATGCTGCGGATCATACAGCAAGGCAAGTTCGAGTTCCGACAGGAACAATGGGCGAACATCACGCAGGAGGCCAAAGATTTGGTATTTACTCCAAAAATTGACATCATAATTGACCGAATAAATTACCAGATCACGTCTCTGTTGGTTGTGGACCATGAGAAACGGCTCACTTCGAAACAATGTCTTTCCCATCCGTGGATGGCGCCGGCTCTGCCCAAAGTCACTGTGCAGTTGGCCGTAGAGCATAATGAGAAGCCTAGGAAATTGTTCAAACATGTGAGATTATTATTTTCAATTTTCGCGGCTTGAAGCGTTTTCAAAGTGGTCCCGACTACAAATTTGCAGAATTTTGAATTTTTCGCGATCTCTTTTCGTACATCAAATTTTGGATATTAGTCGTCGCTCAAGCTCCGCCTCTAATGGAGCGATAAACCAATCAGAGGGCGAGCCATACTTTGAGTTTAATAGAGAATGACGTCATTGTACTTTCAATACTTTGAATAGAAATTTTTAAATTTCAATTTTCCAAAAACGCATCGCGACCGCTTTGCACAAAATTCCATTTAATTCCCTCCTATTCTGATAAAGTTATTCGTGCTGATACGGGCTCTCATCGGGTGTGCCCGTTTTAATCCCGATTGAGCAAAGCTGCCAGAACTTTTGGCTTTTTTTTATCACGGGTGAGGCACCGTTCTAGCCCAGTGGGGTCTCAGATTTCGAAATAAACTTAGCTGGGTCATCTTTCTCTTCTTGTACCCGTTTTTCTCCCGTTTTAGCACGACCGAGACTTGGATAATTAAAAAAAAAAGGGATAACTACGGGTGCACCCGTTAAGACACCTGCCCAGCATGAGAGTTCCGTTTCAAGCCATGAAAATTGAATTTTAAACGAAATCAAAATTTTTATTCCAGGCGATCATATGGGTACGATTTTTCATTCGATTGTCCAAGTACAAGTACCTCAAATCGGTGGTGGACCGCGACGCGTTGAGAAAACGGCCGTTCAGAGATCGCGATGTGAGCATTTTTTTTTTATAGTTTTGGTATCAAATAAGTTCTGTGTACTTTTTCACAAACCATTGAAAAATGGAGAAAATTTTGAAATTTTTGATTTGAATCGTAGTAGTACAGTTCTGTTTGAAGCAAGATTTTTTTCAAGAAACGTTTTTTTGAAAAAAATTATTGTACGGCAGGTTTTTTTAATACCTTTGATCTGGTTTTCAATTCATTAGCTATGACAGTTTATGAACTAGAAGCAACATTCCCTTTCCTGTGTCGTTCAAAGTTTAACAAAAAAGAGGCAGCTCCCAAATTTTTCTTGTTCGACAAAGAAAAGGATAGTTAAACGTTTTTCTCATTTGGAAGGGTTTGTAACTTTTTCCGAAATGTTCGCCATCTTGAACTTTGGTGAAAAAAAAACACTTTTTGAGGCTATTTATACAATTTGAGAAAGCAGGGTGATGAAACAAGTGTCTTACTGTCTGTGAATTTTTTTTTCTTAGGTTTATCGTAAATTAATATTTGCTTATAACTTTTTAGAGGAACTCTGAACACCTTGTTAGACTTTTTTCTAATCCATTTGCTTTTTATCGTGAACATTTTAAATTTGCAGATCCGACACGAAGCGGAGGCGGCCATGTTCAGCGTCTACGGACACTGGGTCAACCGCGGGTTCTACTACTCCCGCGACATGCTTTTTGCCAATAAACCTCGGCCGAAATATCAAAAAACCGAACAATTGTCGGTCAACCCTCCTAGGTAGCTCTGTAGATAAATCCTTCCAGTTTTCCCAAACCGTGTGCCTTTTTTATTTTGGGTATTTTTTCGGATCGAGGAACCGCACCAAAGAAAATTGAATAAAAACTCCCATTTTAGTCCCTCTGATACGGTATTTGGTTCGGTGTAGACTTTTTTGTTCGATCTCTCCGTGCTTTCTTTTTCTTTTTGCCTAGGCCAGTCATAATCTTTTTCCAATTTTTCACCGAATTTTAGGCTATCATGTATATAAATAACTTGTATTTTCGTCTGTCATCCATCCATCAGTATTGCACGTTTTAATAAAGCATTTTTCGATTTTTCAGAAGTTTGGGGAATTCTGTGTTTTCTGTGTCACGTGTACTTTTTGAAAAGCTTGAAAAATGATTTTGATCGAAAAAAGTTCAGGATCGACAACGGGTGCCGTCTAAACCATGATGTGAGGAGGAAATCTGAACAGGAAATTTTTTTGGTCGAAAAAAATTGGGACTAAAAAAATTAAGAACTAGATGTAGTTTTTTTGAGCTGATCTTGGATAAGATAATTTTAAAAAAATTAAAAATTTCATTTCGATTGATTAATAAAAAAATGTTAGGATATAGATTTTTTTCAGATTGAAAGGTTTCCTGGGGTTCGAGTCATAGGAAAGGTCATTAAAAAATTGAATTTTTTTAAAAAAATTTCTTAGAAAGCTCATTTTGGTCACTGGATTGCGCAAAATCGTATAATCACAACTTTTTTTTTTGAGCAATTTTGAGTCAAAATAGGAATTTTGATAGCTTTTGATGGACCATTCTCAGCTTGAAGAGGCTTTAAAGAAATAATTTTTCTGGCTTTTTTTTTGCAATTTCTGAGCTCATATTCTGGATCAGCGTGAAGAAAATTCAATTGATTATCATATTCAGAAAACGATTTTAATTAATGCCCCTTGAAAAAGTCTCATTTCCGTGTTCAGAATCGACGTGGACGGATTATCGGTCCTTTTCCCCTACGATTATGTATATCCAGAACAAGTTTTGTACATGCAGGAGCTAAAAAAAGCTCTCGATGCAAAAGTAAATAACAAGAAAATAATAAAAATCAACTTTGATATGACTTCCAGGGCCATGGGCTCCTGGAAATGCCTTCAGGAACCGGAAAAACTGTCACTTTGCTCAGTCTTGTGATGGCCTATATGCTCCAGTACCCAGAGAAGTTAGGTGGGGTCTCGTTGGATTTGAAGTGATTAAAAAAATTCGTATACATCCTGAAAATAATCAATTTTTTTGATCGAAATTGAAATAAAGTTACAGAATGTCTCTCAATTCTCTTTCTCCTCATTTTTTTGATTTTTTTACTTATTTTCTTTAAAAAAATATTATTAATTATCTATAAATCTTCAGAAAAAAATCACCTTCTTTAAAAATTTGAGTCCTTTTAAAAAAATAACTATTTTTGGAAGAAAAAAATCTTTTTTTACTTCATTTTTTTGAAAAAGATCTTTTTTTTACTGTAATAATCACGTTTTTCTTACTGGAGATTTCAAAGGACAATCTTTCAATTTTTTTCAAGAATTTTTTTAAGGTTTTTTTCGTGTTTTTACTATAGTTTGCTCCTCCAGAAACTGGTAATCCAAGAAAAAAAAATCCACAATTCTTGTTTTAGATCTCAAATCCGACTTTTTCCTGAAATAACTCTTGACTTTTCCTCTGTTCCTAGATGGTATTTTCCTTCAGATAAACTTGTATATTGCTCGAGAACGATCCCCGAAATTGAAAAATGCGTGGAAGAGATGCGAGTTTTGTACGACTACTACGAGAAGGAAACTGGGAAAAAGATCCCGAAACTGACGATCGCCATGTCCGCCAGGAAGAACCTGTGCATCAACGAGAGCGTCGCTCAGCTCCGGCAAGGTAACAAATATTTTTTTAAATGAGATTTGTTGATAAAAGAAACCAAGAATCGTCAATTTTTTCCAAAAAAATACCCTTACCTGTACTCAATTTTAAAGGCTCAAACTCACTTTCTTTATTTCATGTTCCTTTGCCAAAAAAAAATCCTTGCAAGGAATATCGAATAAGACTTAATCATTTTATTGATGAATTAAAAATACTGTAAATTAATATTTTTAACCCTAAAAAGTTCCCTCGGATCTAGAACTGAAAAATAATACATTATAAAAACTAAAAAAATTACTCAAACCTTGGAGAAACATTAGTGAAAAACTCATTTAAAGGCAGCAGTTCGTTTTTCAAAGTTTTAGGGTCGTATCTGAACTGAAATTCGAAGCTTGATCCAAGCATGAATCGTTTGGAAGATTATCATTGATATATTTGAGCTATGCTGATAAATGACTAGAAAAAGAGGGAGTTCCAACCTTATTGACATATAATATCTTCTTCTTTTTCTTCCCACGTATTTGTAACGCTTGAGCAGTCCTAACTCGATGAGACAAGGTCTTATCCGGTGATCAGTGATGTCTCACGTGACATATAGGCCATTCCGAGCCAGCTTGTCACGTTTTTCTTTCCGCCAAAAGGCCAGGTCAAATTTAACCAACTTTGGCTTCAAGACCGTTGTTTCTTGCCGTTATAAAAGCAGAAATTTGATCCAATTTGGTATACGGTCTTTTTAGCGGGGGAAAAAAAAAGGTGACAAGCTGGCGCGGAATAGACTATATCTGTCTTTGTAATGGGATGTCGGGTTTTGAAGCCGTTGTTTTACCCACCACCAAAACGTCTCAAACACCTTGGTTGGGTCGCGGCGGGGACCGAACTTGTGACCCTTTGACCGTAGACAGGCGCAAAACCTGTTGCGCTACACAGCAGAAAAAATCTCATCAAAACTTTCCAGGAAGTTCTGTGGACGGCGCCTGTCAGAAGCTGACGGCCTCGTTCGTTCGAGCTCGTCGGAAACTCGTCGACGAATCCATCGCTTCTTGCGAATATTTCGAGAATCTTGATGCACAATCTCATCATTTTTCTGTCCCGGATGGCGTTTGGAACTTGGTTAGAATATTTTCGAAATTCAAGGAGTTTGTTTCAAGTCTTCTGAAAGTTTTTTCATTATCAGGATAATTTTTTCATTCAAAACGAGGGGCTTTTCGTTTGAATCTCGTTTCGATTACTTCAAAACTTTTTTCTTTTCGTATCAATTTTCGGCTTTTCTTGATTGAACAGCTTTTTTTGTTATCAGTGAATTCAGTCATTTTCAATTTTTGGAATAGATTCTATCATTGTCAAGTTTGATGGAAAGATAATTTTATCAGAAGAAAAATTTCGAAATTGGGATATATTCGGCCTAAACTTTGCTTTTACTTTTAAATCATCACATTACTGTATCTCAGATTGTTTTAAACTCTATGGAAGAACATTTTTGTTTCGATAATGTTTGTGCCATTCTTTTGAAAAATTTCATTATAAAGTAAGGAACACGTTCGGGACACCCCAAGACCGTAATTGAGGAAAATGGCGAAAAAATTAAATGAAAAATTTTTTTCGAATTCCGTGTTCAAAGTGATTTTTGACGAATTCAAAATTATCTCTGAATTCACAAATTTTTTTTGCCACATTTATCACTCTCTGACAGCTATTTAGAGTTTCGCGGAATAATTTGGAACATGGAATATTTTTTTCCAAACTGTGATATCTAAATCTCTCAGAATGACCTCAAGAACATGGGACGAGAACGGAAAATCTGCCCTTATTTCGTCACTCGACAGGCGATCAACAACGCCCACATCGTCGTTTATTCCTATCACTATATCTTGGATCCCAAAATCGCGGAACTCGTCTCGAAAGACTTTAGTAGAAGGTCTTGAACCTCTTCTTTTTTGAAGAAAATAGATATTTTAGAACTTGCGTCGTTTTTGATGAAGCTCACAATATCGACAATGTCTGCATCGAATCGATGTCTATCGCCATTTCTTTGGTTTGAAAATATTTTCCGTCGAAGCCAGAGTGGTCACTATAGAGTTTAGGAAAAAAATAGTCCCTGAAGAGGCCCCCCCTCCCCCATATGGGTGAAAGTTAGATCGTCCCTTCTGGAATTTAGGGTCTGATCCCTGAGCCCCTAAAGCTCAAGTAGTCCCTATAGGGTCTTTTAAACTTTGTTCAGATTCGAAAGTTAGAAAAACAAACTTGTTATCTTCCTATGATGATATTTTTTTGTTGAAAAGGCTCTAATTTTTTGAGTTTGCGCATGGAAATGCTTCTTCTTATAAAGTTCATAACAACAATCAACTAACATATCCCCTATAAGGACCACTCTGGAGCTCCTAGAAGTTCAAAAATAATTCCGACGGTTCAGAAAAACGCGGAAAGAGCCGGCCAGGAGCTGACGAAACTGGAAACTGTCGTGGCGAGAACGAAAAGAGAAAACGGGGAAAGACTTCAGCAAGAGTATGAGAAGCTCGTCGAGGGCCTGAGAAAGTGGGAAGATTTTCATCTCTTAAATGCTCAAGTAATTTCCAAAAAATTGAAATTTATCTCTGAATCTCCAAAAATTATTTATTATTTTGACTCTCCGACGGATATTTATGAATATAGCGGCATCATTCTGAACACGGCTTGAATTCGAAAAAAATGGAATAATGTTTAATGGTCAGACTTAAGCAAAGTAGATTATGACAAAAAGTTTAACTTTTTAAAAACCGTAAAGTTAGTGAAAAATTGAAGTTTCCATTTCGAAGTCGTTTCGGGTCTCTGGAATAGGCTTTTTTTAAATTGATTTATTTTTTTGTAGCTACTTTCACATTGAGCGAGCTATAATATGAAACTATACAAATAAATGTCCACAAGAATTATTTTTTTCAAGAGGCTCAAGAATTTAAATTACCATCCTTCATAGATGCTTTTTTTCAAATTTTGCGTTATAGGACTCCCTAAGGTAGCAAAAAGTGTTCTATTTTCCTTTAAATGAAAAATCTTAAAATTTTTTAATGTTTAGGAAGTCGTTGGCGAAAGTAAAAATTTTTTACAATTTCCGAAAAAACTTTTTTTCCTTTTAATTGCGTTTTTAAATGTTCACCGAAATAGTTCAAAACTCGATTTTGAATATCCTGAAAGTCTGTCGAAAAAGCTAAAAGAATTTTTCCCAATTACACTTATAAAACTTTTTTAAAAATGGATTTGGCCGTCAAATATCAACATTGATTGATATCCCGACAAACAGAATAGTCAAAAAAGAAATTGTTTCTCTGAAGTTTTTTTTAGCGGAGATTTTATGTTTTTTTATCAATTTCAAAAATAATCCATTAAGAACTGAGCGAGAAAGACTGAACGATGAAAGACTGGCGAATCCGGTCCTACCGGACGCGGTTCTGCAAGAAGCCGTGCCGGGAAACATCCGTTCGGCCCAACATTTCGTCCTCTTCATGAAACGCCTCGTCGAGTATATCCGTCACAGACTTCGATCTCAACAGGTTCCGCTCGAAAATCACTCGGGAAAAATATCAAAATCGGTTCCCAGGTCCTCATCGAAAGCCCCGCTGCTTTCCTCAAAGATATCCAAGATAAAATGTGCATCGAACGGCGTCCTTTGAGGTTTGAATTGAATCCCCAGTTTTGGTCATGGTATTCATACTCAGATTCTGCGCTGAAAGACTCTCGAACTTGGCAAAAACCTTGGAAATGGCCGATGGAGGCGAAGTTTGGGCCTTGTCCCAAGTCGCGACCTTCGCCACGCTCGTCAGCACTTATTCCAAGGTTTGATTTTGGGCTAGAAATTTAATTTTGAAACGATGGAATAATGTAGTTTTCTCACCAGTTGCTTTCATCTTTCCTCCAGAATCCTACGAAATTTTTTTGAATGTTTTTCCGATTCTTCTAAGATCTGAATCAGAAAACCTTGATTGGTAGCTTTTTGAAAATCTCTTCTAAACTCTTAATATTTCCTATCAGCTTGTTCATTTATTTATTCATAGACAGAAAAAAACCAGAGAATGGAAAGATCTTTCTGAATTCTTTTCATGATTTTTTAGGATTTTGTTGAGGATACTTTTTAGGATATTTTTTTCATGATTTTTTTTGAAAAACAGAAAAATTTCGATTGATAGCTTTTTTTCAATGAAATCATCCAAAAAGAAGTTTGAAATTTGGAGATTTGATTTCAAAAAAAGTTAGTTTTATATTAAAATATAAAGAGTCAGCATTTTGTGAGAAGTTTCAAAAATTTTTCAGACTTCAAAGCTTTTTTTAGATCTTTTTTTCTTTTTAAAGTCTACTCAAGTAATGACGTAAACAACGAAAAAATGCAAACTTGGGCCATTCTTGAAACTGTAAACAGAGGTTTCAACAAATGAAAAAAAGAACTGATTTCTTTTGAAATCGTCATGTTTTCGATTTTGTTTAAAAAAATAAATTCAAGCGGTTTTTTTAAAGTCGTGGACATTTTGTAATTGAAAGTTCTCCGAAAAAAGGAAAGCTCAATTTTCGAAGAAGATCTCACCAGAAGTTGTTCAAAATCCATGAGTTCTTGGGGATTTGGGGTTTTTCTCAATTATCCGAATTTCTTTTCCAAATTAGTGTTGTTTTATAAAATTGAATGATTCCTAAGGCTTATTCACATCTGTTTTTTTTCAATTTTTGGCTACTTTTGCGATTATTTGAACTTTCTCCTTGAAAAATGTGGATTTTATGAAGTTTACTCAGTTCTGAATTTTTTTTTTCTCTCATTTTTTTGTGGTTTCTCTCCGCAAGTGTTCAAACTTCCTTCCGCAAAGATGTCGATCCCACGAAAATACTTCTAGGGCTTCTCAATAATCGTTGAACCGGCTGAAGGAAGTCAATCCGCCGTGGTAACTCTGTCCTGCCACGACGCCTCCATCGCTATTCGGCCAGTCATTTCCCGGTTTCAATCGGTTCTTATCTTCTTTTTTTTCTCTCATAATATTCTCTTTTAAGGTAATCATCACTTCCGGCACCCTCTCCCCCCTTGAAATGTACCCTAAAGTGCTTGATTTCGACCCGGCCGTCATGGCTTCCTTCACGATGACCTTGGCTCGGCCTTGTCTCAGCCCCTTGGTCGTCGCCCGAGGAAACGATCAGGTATAGGAAAATGAAGTGAACTTCAGTATCAGAACGTTGAAGGTCGCAATGACGTCACGGTTCGAGCAGCGAAGCGATGTCGCCGTCATCAGAAACTACGGTAATCTGGTGCTGGAAATGGCGTCGTTGGTTCCGGACGGAATGGTCGTCTTCTTCACGAGTTATCTCTACATGGAGAGCGTCATCGGCGTCTGGTACGAGCAGGTTGGAAATCGATCCACTTTTCAACTGCGAAAAGCGTTAGTGGTCACTTAAGAGGTCCCTTAAGGACTACATGGAAAGTTCACTAAAGTGGCCACTAGTACATGAAAACCACCATTTCCCGTCTTAGTGGTCACTCTACATAGGCAAAGTCGGAAGGACCCTCCGAGGGTCCATAAAGGACCATAGAAATGTTCCTTTTAGGGTGATGAAGGCTCTCTTTTTGCTGCCTTTTTTGCTCCATTTTCTCAGCCCTTATGCACCATTTTTGCTGCCTCTCCCTTTCTCCACCATTTCTCGAGCCTTTAAAATCCCAGAAAAATGGAAGGCTCGATAAAGGGAGTCTCTGTGCTGCCTTTCTGCGGCATTTTTTGAGCCTCTCCCTTTTAGCAGCCATTATCCACCATTCCGACTTTGCCCGAGTAGTAGTTTTTAGTGGCCTAGTAGTACCACTCAGACATTAATGAGGCTTAAAAGTTTTCTTAGAATGACTAGGAATTTTGAGCCGCAAAGAAAATAGCTGCGAGCAAATGCGCTCCATTGCGAACTTACCTTTTTTTGCAGTTTTTCTTTTCTCTGTGAAAAACAGGGCCTAATAGTGATTAGAATGAGAAATTATTCAAGAATATGATGCGAAGAAGTTAGAAAATCAAAAATAAAAGAAAAAAGTCGGGTGGTAGTTCAAAAAAAAAAGGTTTGCGTTTGACAAAGGTATTTTTTCCTGTACCTCGGTGAAATTGTTTTTCCTGCTCATAGATAGAGAGAATATGATCTTTTCTAGAAAAATAGATAGTCCATAGAAGGAAAAGTAGTTTGTCTTGAAAAGAGTGACGTCATAACAAGTTTCAACCTCAAAATGGATTTTTAAAAGATATCTTCTCTGCACGAAGGCTTCTTTTTTGTTTGGCTACTTTTCAGCAATTTTTTCTGTGGTCATTTTTTTCCCCTCTGACCTGAAATCCATATTGTAAGGATTGTCACTTTTCAAGCACATCATCGACGAGTTGATGAAGTACAAGCTGCTGTTCATCGAGACGAACGACGCGCTGGAGACGTCGGTCGCCTTGGAAAAGTACGTCGAGGCGTGCGACAGCGGCCGTGGCGCCTGTCTGTTCTCGGTGGCCAGGGGAAAAGTCTCGGAAGGAATCGATTTTAGTCATCATCTGGGTTCGTTATTCCAACCTGTTCAGAACAGATTCCTGATTGGAAAAATGTTTGAAGAGTCTGGAAGGTCATTTTACTATGTGGTTTCCCCTTTAGGAAAATCATTAGAAGTTCCGAAAAAAGGAAGATGTTACAGGACGTTGTGTCATCATGCTCGGGATTCCGTATATGTACACGGAAAGTCGAATTTTGCGCGCACGATTGGAATACCTGAGAGATCAGTTTGGCATCAGGTGAGTCTGAATGGACTATTGCTGAATTTTGTGGTGGATGAAAATTAAGCATCGGATTTTTAGAAGTAGGAATATTGCTGAATTTTGAGGTGGAGGAAAATTAAGCATTGGATTTTTAGTAGTAGGAATATTTCTGAATTTTCAGATGGACTTGAATAAAATATTGTTGAAACTTTGTTTGTGTTCAGTCTTAGGAACGCCAGAGTGGTCATTAGCGGGGTAACCTAAGAGACGAAAGAGTTTTTTTGATGAATAATAATAATAATTTATTGACAGATTCACTTGAATCTAGAAATGAGAGAATACATTTCACTAATGGAAAAATGAAGAAATAAGATTCAAGAAGGAGGGAGAAACAGTAGACTTGTTTTTTTCCTATGTTTCCTTTGATTCGCAAGTTGTTTTTGATTTTAATATTTGTTCGAGCACTTTTTTTGAGAAGAATATTTCATTTTTTTATGTTTTGGGCATAAAATTTTGATATTTTTTTACAATTTTCCTGGGTACAACTTCAAAAATTTTGTTGAAGGAAAGGTTCTTCATACGTGAAACGATGCTCAACTGAAAATTGAATAAAAATTTTTAGAAAAATATAAAGACATTGTTCAAAGTTTTTGTTGGGTTCGAAACTGGCAGCTTTTTATACAACAAAAGCTTCCTTCAAAAATAAAAATAAAACATAGTTTTTAGAGAAAACGATTTTTTGACTTTTGACGCGATGCGGCACACGGCGCAGTGTATGGGACGAGCTTTGCGTGGAAAAACGGATTACGGACTGATGATCTTTGCCGATAAGGTTTGATTAATGTTTCTGAAGAAGTTGATACAACTGATGGATTTTGAAGAGATTTTCGCGACAAGACAAACGGGGGAAACTGCCAAGATGGATGCAGGAATATCTCAACAATGCGTCGACCAATTTGAGTATCGACGAGGCCGCTCAAGTTGCCAGGAAGTACGGTATTCGATTAAATGTGAAAAACTGTATAGTCGATTCACGGTTAGCTTGGGGGCGTGGCCTGTCTGCGATCTCCCTAAACCAGGCACTATCTATTTTGCTATCGTGTCAGGACCTTTTTTTCAATGTCTTCGATCAGCTATTGTCTACTTTTCCTGACTCGAAAGGAAATAACCGAACACCCGCGGTTTCGATGCGGTTTTTGGCGGGAAATTTGAATTCAAATGCAAGATCATTTTATAATTAACACATTTTGTTCAGATACAATATGGTTTAAGGACCAAAAGGCTTTTTATAGAGTTAGTTACAAAAAAAGGGGGATGTGAGGTCGAAAAATGACAAGTTGGGAAGTTTCGATTTTCAAAAAGTTTGAAAAATTAGAATTTTACCTTTGCATTTTTTCGTTGAAGCCGGCATATTCGTTAGATATTTTGAGCTATGAAAACAGGTTTTCTAGACATTTTTTTTTGTAAGCTTGCGTTTGAATTTGCTTTTTCCGCCGAAAACCGCGTCGCGACCGCACCGCAATAAGTTATTATAGTAAGAGTGTTTGAATGATCTTCAAATTTAGTTAAAGTCGACAGAAAAAATAGAAGAAAAATACAGTGTAACGAATAAGATTTAGATGGCTGACTTTAATGGCCCAGCCTTTCACGAAATCTGACCAACTCGGGGTTTCCCTTCTGACCGCCGAAATGATCGACGCGGCCTCATTGAAGAAGTTCGGCAAAGTCGTCGAACACGTTGATTAATCAAATAATTAATATTTATTTTTCCTTGTTGCATCACTCGAATCGTTTTACAGGTCTCCTTTTTTTCTGTACATTGCCTTGTTGGTTGATAAATTTTCATGATCTCATAATTTTTTTTTTTTTTTTTTGAAGTTTGAAAGGTTACACGAACCTGGTCTCTTTTTTTTGTTTCTCTTTTTCCCGCTCTTTTCTCCTTATAGAAAAAAAACCGCTCAATTTTTTAAGGCGAGTTTGATGAGAGGAACGGAGCGTGTCTTAAATTGCTCCAAAAAAGAGAACAATTAACCGTTTTGCAAAAAATCAAAGAGAAAAATTATTATTTTGAGCGACTTTTTGTTCCTCAATTGAGCAGTTGTTTCGCAATTTTAATCTTGTAAAACCCCTTCAGATTAGCTTTATAATTTTCCAGAAATGATACCGGTTTGTGCTCGAATCGTCGGCACAAGCACGACCATCTACGGATCGGTCAGGGCGATCGCCACGACGCCGGCGATGTTCAAAGGACACTCCAAGTGGCAGAACATCAAGGCCACCAAGGGCAAAAACGACATGATCAAGTCGCAGACCACCAATCTCTTGTTGAGAAAAGTTGGACTTGCTCTTGTCAAAAACCGATTTCTTTGATTCAGGTCAGGGGAGCTGTGTCTCGAGGGGGCTTCGACCTGAAGTTGAACCGTGAACTCGCCGGTTTGGAGCAAGACTTCCGGTCCAATGGACTATCGCTGGACACTTTCAAGAACTTCTTGCAGAAGATCAAGGTTCAGGAGTTTGCAAATGGGAACTCTGTGAAAAGGGAACGATTAACGAAGCTTGGAATTCGAAAATGTATATGTATATTATGTGAAACGTACCTTATCTTGTGTATAGTCATTACAAAAATCTCATTCGAAATCTCAAATTTTTCAGGAGTTTGGAAATTGGAACTCTGTGAGAAGGGAACAATTAACGAAGCTTCGAATTCGAAAATGTATATGTACATTATGGGAAACGTACCTTATCTTGTATATAGTCATTACAAAAATCTCATTCGAAATCTCAAATTTTGAATCAGTTTTTCGCTTATTTCGCAGTTAGTTCGTGATCGGAAAAAGTTTTTAAAAAAGTACCGGAAGAAGATTCTGAAAGTCTCAACCTGCACAACTTTCTAGTTTTTGTGAAATAAGGGCTCAAAACCTGAGAAAGGTTTATTTTAATGGATTTTGAAGGTTTCCTTCGACTATGAGGTGTATTTTCTTAAAAACTAGAAATTTGTGCAAGTAGATATTTTCAGAATCTGCACGTGGTACATCAAAAAGTGTTATGACAAATATTCAAGGCAGTCCCAAGCGCCAAAAAAAATTATTTTCCTTGCTAGAGGTAAAAAATGTGTTGAAAGTGAAATCCCGATGCCTTTCTTTTTTAAGATTCCCCTCAACTGAATATAGTTTGATCTTTTCAGGACAAGCCCGAGATCGAATACAGTTTTGATGTTATCGGCCCCAGCGGCACTTTTTTCATCATTCAGGCGGAAACATCCAATAAAAAGGCGTTTGAAAGCGACCTACGCAAATATTTCAATAAAGTTGGCTATTTCTTGTATTCAAAATATGATTTCTGCATTTAGGTTGGCGGTTTCCGATTAGCAACGGATGGAGGTGTGAGGAATTGGTTCGAAGAGAAAGGTTTCATTCAGATTGACACGAAACGAAGTGGAAAGGAGGTTAAGCTGGAGGAGGTAGAATCAAAAAATAGAAAGAAAAAAATAATTATTTTTGAGTTCAGATTGAAGAGATAGCTATTGAGAAAGAGTGTGAGGAGGTGACAGAAGTTGATGAGGACGGGAGGAAGTTCGAACTCGTTTGTGACGCCAAGGAAGTGAACAAGATCGAAGGACAACTTTCCAAAGAAGGGTGAGTAAAGTTTTTCCAAGACAAGGTTTTCTGTATAAGTGAGATTTGGGTGAATCAGAAAGGACCGGACGCGGTTCGGGACATTTCCAGTGACCTCTTTAGTAGTGTCAGCTTTTTAAAGTGATCTCTAGAATTACTCAGAAACCTCCGGTGCGCGTCCGTTTCGCTTTACCGAGGTCCTAGAATATTTTTGCGAAGATTATCCATGAAGCACGTTTTAACACGTTTTTCAGCCCTGAGAGCTCAAAATTTTGGGTCAATTTTTTCTCTGGGCTCAAACTTTCGAGCTTGAACTGACTTAGACCCTTTCAATAGATTAGCGTCAAAGTTCAGGTTTGAAAAAAAAACCTGTTTTCAAGCCGTTTTATTTCATTGTAGACCATTTCGCTTCGCATTTTTGTTTTTTTCTCTCTTTCCTACAAAAAGAAAAAGAGTTCTTCTTAAGGTGGTCATTTTTGAACTTTTTTTTACATAAAAAATTTCTAGTAAGATCAAACTACATAGTAACTTCATTTCATATTATTAAAATTTTTCCAGATTCACTGTTTTTTCGGCGGAGGCTGGATTCCGAGCATTACACCCTGTGACAGTTCCGCTAGCGGATTCGACAAAAATTGAAACATTTTATGAACTTTTACAGGTTTTTCCAATTTTTTCATTCATTTTTAATATTTTTCTTTTTCAGGAAGACGAGCAGGTTCGCCAAATCTATGATAATGTTGCCTCTGATGAGAAATAAGATATGATAATAATTATTTTTCTGTTTTTTTTTCGTTGTTATAGGAATTATTGTTGTTAGGATAAACCGCGGAAAAGGTAACAAAAAAATAAATTTATTTAATTAAATACATTTATAGTGCCTAGAACCGTGAGGTGAGATCGTTTTTCAGATTTAATACCATAAAAATGATCATTAGTCATATGACTATTTTGAGTAGAGCTTCCGGACGAGGTGAACGTCGTAACGTGTAAGCTTCAACCCACCAGGAGTTTCTCTGGAAAATAATATTTTGTTTTTCGAGTTTTGACATACAAACAATTTACCCATATTCGCGGTTCATAATTGAACCTTTTCGTTTCGAATGTCTTAGGCCTAGTACGTGTCCCACCTCGTGTAATAATACCTGCAAAAAAATTGAAGAATAGGCTTTGAAGATCGAAATATTGATTTAGACTCACTTATCTTAATATTACAGTTTTGTATTCAAATATTCTTCTATAGATCATTTTCATAATATTTTTTTGATTTGGTTGTAACCGTGAATAGTCGGTTTTTGCCAGTGGAGCGCACTTTCAAAGTTTCGAAAGCTGCTTCAAATCTAGTTTACTTTCTGTGAATTTTCTCCCTGAATTCTTGAAATACTAATTGGCTGTTTCAGGTGACATCGAAAACGGGATTTTTTTCATACAAAACTGTTTAGCCATGAAATGAGGCAGTAAAACGATCGAAGTATCATGAAAAAGTTAACTTTTCTTTCTAAAATTCTTTTATTCCAAAAGTTTTGGCGTATCAAGTTTACTCTAGCTGAAATTTTTAATCCTTACATAGCGCAAATCGATGTCTCCCTTGGTAGGATCACCGGTGTGCCACCGTTCGTCGGCATCCAAGTGCAGAATTCCGCTCTCCGGATAACCGGAATGGGCTACGACACCGCCTCGGCCGTCGAAATTCTTCAAAAAATAATGAATGTCCACATTCTTGCCTTCTATTCAGACCTCAACACAGGAGTGATTCCTCCGAGCGAAGAGCACCTCGATGTCCGCTCGAGCTTCTTCGGCATCGATTTCGGTTGCTTGTTCCACAATCTCAAGTCGATCTTCAAGGACATTCGCCCACGCTTCGAACGCTTCTTCTATGTATTTTCTGGAAGAGTATTTGAAGTCTTCGGCTTCATTTTCTGAACAAAACCTTATTGTTGATATTTGAGCTGGCGTGAACATTCCATATGGATCTCGGAAAGACCAACGTATTTTGTGACGCTCCCAACGAGAATTCTTCGCATCTAACATATAACTGGAACTAAGGTGTTGAACAGAAAAAATAACTAGATCTAGGTTAATTACGTGTCATGATTATCCGATAACTGCACAGTGACAGTTGCCCCCGTACGTTAAACCTGTTTCCCACAGAGAAAAACAAGAACAAATAAAGTTTATAACTGAGTTTTAAACTTTAAACTAGCAAACATCCTGCCCAAAACATAAATTAGCAACTTTCATACCTTAATAAGGATATCAAAACGTGGAGAGAAGCAACAAGCCGCATTCGCCGAGAATTAGGAGGAAAAACGCTTATCTGGACGAGATTTTCAGCGGCTTGGGCAGCCGGTTCTGCTTTTTGCCCTTGGAATCAAGTTTGCCGCTGCGATAAACCCGATAGACATAACAATTTATTTAAAACAACAACTTTAGAAGAAGAATCCTAAGATTTTTCCACCAATATGCTTTCTTCTGGCTTCTTCATGATCCATAATACCGGCGGAGGTGGTGAGGATCAAATAACCGAACTGACGGGATGGCAGCAAAGTCGAGGTGTACTGCTCCAAATCCTATAAAAACCAGTTAATAAAATTTCTGAGATTATTTAAAACTACCTTCAGCTTAATATCAAGTCTGGGGGAGATAACGGAGGCCTTGTTCAAACGACCGGTAAGGTTGACAACGATTTTGCCGGCGCGGTGGTCGTCGACAATTTCGAACTCTCCGATGTAACCGTGCTTCATCATGACAGTCAAGAATCGGACAATAACCTAAACGCATCATTAGGAAAATGAAAATTCCATTATTCCTGGAAGCTCACAATTTTCGCAATCCAACGAACATTGGACTAACCAAGGGTGTCTCTAATTCTTTAGCAAGTGTAAAGAAATTTTAAAAACTTGTTAAAACTCTAGCTAAAGAACTGAGAGCCTTGGTCAATTCGACCGAGGCGCCTCTAAACTTGAATTTGAGAATTTCTTATTTAGAAATTTTTAAAACCTTGGAAGCCGGGCGGATGAGAACTTGGCGCTTGCCACGCTTCTCAGCGTTGTTGATGGCGTTCAAAGCATCAGAGAGCACATTCATGCGCACCATCTTTGCAAATTTACCTAAAACATAAAAATGAAATACTATTTTTAAAAGAAACAGAAAAAAAATAACGAGAATTGGCTCAGATGATCCCAAATCTAGCTAGTAAGAATTTTGACATGATATGCCGTGTTCAAAGTAATTTCCGCGAAATGATCTTTGACTCTCCAAAATTTAGTGATCTTTTCCTTTCTCTAACGGGTATTTTGCATTTCGCGGAAATTACTTTGAACACGGCAATAATTCCAAATTTTGAAATAATGATAAAACTACAAGTAAATTTTAAAAAAAAACTACAACAGACTCCGTACAGATTTGTAGAATATCGTATAATTTCATTAAAAAAACGAGATCAATATTCATTAGTTAAAAGTTTTTTAATTAACCTCAATATCTTAAAATAAAATGAAAGAAAACGAAATATTCTATATGAAAGAAAAAATAAATAAGAAAGCGTCGAACTCAAGAAAAAATTTGAAAGTCATGCGAAACTTTTTAAAAATATTTCATTTTTTTGAAAAATGGAAAAATCAATCTGAAAGCTTCCATGCGAGAAAAAAAGGGTAGCGAAGCACGAGTCTCACCAGAAAAATATAGGACACTATTCTATTCACGAATGACATTTTTTTCTATATTTTGATGGCGAAATTTCGTTTGAGAAAACGAAAAAAATTATTAAAATAATAGAAGAAAGTTTTAAAAAAATCCAAAGGAGAAATGTAGGAAATGAAATGCAAACCACAAAAATGTTCAGTCCAGTGTTGAACGTTGGATCCTCAGTCATCGCGGTGGAGCGCGTTTGTTTGTGAAATAGTGTGGAAATACGGGCGCGAAAAGGAAAATTTTATTTTCTGAATGAAACCATTAATTGTTTTGTTTTTGTAAATAAATATTCGTTTATGAAAGATTTGGTTCTCCGCTATGAAGTTCTACTTAAAATGGGTTTTTTACCGCCTCTTTATCGCTCTATTGGGCTTTAACATAAACGTAAATTTTTGGTTTAAGATGAATGTTACCGAAAGAGTCGTTGGCCTCATTGACATGGACTGTTTTTATGCACAAGTAGAACAGCGTGATCAGCCGAATTTGTGGGGAAAGCCCGTCATTGTTGTTCAACATACTCGTCAAGGTGTTCAGGGAGGGTAAACGCCAATGAAATTTCTTTAAAAAAAAACTTTTTCTTCAGAATTCTCGCAGTCAGTTATGAAGCTCGATCGTTCGGTGTGAAACGAGGAATGCCTGTCGTCGACGCAAAAAAGCTCTGCGCAGAGCTGAGTGTGTGCCATGTTCCCATTGGAGAGCACGCTGACAAGGCAGATATTCAGAAATACAGGTTGGGTTTTCTTTTTCATGAAATTTGATGATGTTAAAAAAGTCCAGAGACGCTAGCGCTGAAGTTTTCGAAGTTTTAAATAATTATGACGCGACAATAATTGTCGAAAAAGCTTCGGTCGATGAAGCTTTTCTCGATTTGACAGCCTATGTGAATAACTTGGTCGAATCTTCCGCTTACAAGGATGGCTCTATAAACGAGGTTTTTCTTGTTATCTATAAGGTTATATTCATTTTTTGAAAATAGATTTGTGAGGAGCTGAAATCCAGTATTGGCACGACACACGTTGCAAATGGCAGGGATATAAAAGGGAAGGATGAGGAAGATTTTGTGTACGACCGGGAAGAGAACATGAAAGATTGGCTGTCCGAATGTAGGAGGAGTTCGACACAAGTATAACTGAATATTTGCAGAAAAAATAAAGATATAAGATTTAGTTGAAACTATTGATCGCTGCTCGGACTATAGAAGATATTCGGAGGCAGATTCAAGAAAAGACGCAGTTTTTCTGCTCGGCAGGAATCGCTAATAATAAGGTAGTTTTGTTCCAAAATCGTTTTAAGGTTCATTGAATCGTCAAAAGCTTACACCTCTTTAAGAAAAAAAAAATGTGAAAAAGGGTTGTCCACATAATATCAACCTCTTATTTTTTTAAATATCTTATTTATGAAAGTTTTTGAAAATCTTTTTCTGTCAAATGATGCAAATTTTAATCACATAACTAATGACTCCAGTAAAAAAATTTCGTTGGAAAAAAACGTTTTCATAAAAAAATTTCAGCTCTCCAAAAAAATCACTTGTGGATATAAATTATGTGGAGAAGTGTATACTTGAAGGAATTTATGATTTTTTATTAACTCAGAATTTTTGAAGCTTTATATATCAAATGAAGCTGATATATTCGAATTATACTGTTTTTGGATGGTTGCCAAATTAGTCTGCGCCCGACATAAGCCTCGCCAACAGACCGTCGTTCCACCGCAATTCGTTGCTGAAATCTTCAAAACCACCCCGATTTCGGATGTCCGAGGCTTCGGAGGCAAATTGGGACGCCAAATCCAAGATAATTTGAAAATCAAGGTACCTTTGACCAGAAAAAAGAATTATAATTTTCATTAAAGATGATGGGTGAAATATTGGAAGTGGACCGAGATCTGTTACAAATGCGATTTCCAAATTGTACCGATTGGCTTTTGCGAGTCGCGCTTGGATTTGATGATGAACCGGTAATTTCTCTCGTTAAATCATTTGAAAAAATATTTTCCAGGTTAAACTACGAAATGAGTCTTCCTCAATCGCAGTTAGCAAGAATTTCCCAGGTAGAAATGCGATCCGAAAGACGCAAGAGCTGAAACAGTAAGTTCTTCATCCAAAAAATCATTGATTGGATGTGAATTTCTTAATTTAGTTGGGTGGAAGGTCTAACCAAGGAACTGGCGAAACGATTAGCGACGGATCAAATTCAGGTTAGTAGAAAAAGGAAAATCTGTGAATTCATAAAAAAAAAATCGTAGATTTTTAGAGAAGAACATGAACTAATTAGTTTCAAAGAAAAAGCTCTGTTCTTTGGAAAATTTTCGAACTTATAAATATTTCAGAGCTAAAATCAGTTTCTTACATTTCCTGTCAAAGTTTTGTAGTGGTTCGAAAAATTTGGATTTTTTCAATGAGGATATCCTGTTCAAAATTCATTGATCAATTTTTTGAAAACGTTTCATAAAGGTCTCAAAGCGAAAAGCCATTTTCAATGTTATTTCGGGTCTTGCGCCTTAAAAATTTAATCTAAGATTCTTCAAAAAAATTCAATTTAAAATATCTGCATTTTATTTTTTGAAATTACTATAGAATGGATCTTTTTTTCGAAGCTTGGGAATTTTAACATTTTTTTATTTTTTTCTATGCGTCTCGGAAAGGCCTTGAAAAATTGAAAAAAAGAATAAATAAAGTTTAGAACAAAAAGAATGGGAGAAAAACCTGGTCTATTCTCTAACCACCGAGGAAGGTCGACCTCAAAGAACCTTGAAGATCAGTTCCTACAATCCGGATGTTCTTCTGGAGTTGCTCTGGAAAACCATCAAGCCGATGAACCGGGCGGCCGATGAACAGAATTGGTAGTTCTTCCAGTTTTTCATAGGTTAACGATGCTTTTTGAGGCAACCCTCGGTTTACAACATTTCCCTGAGCGTCAGTCGATTCACGGCCGGCACTGGGAATAAATCAAAAATGATTACCGAGTGGGTCAGACAGGGAAAAGCGCAAGAAGAGGAGATGGAAGTTGTTGTCGTCGAAAATAACTGCCAGCCGAGTAGCTCCACAGCTGCTCCAGTGGTTTCGGAAGTCCCGGAACACGTTATTCCAATTGTTAGTTTTCAGTGAACTGAGAAGAAAGCGATCCATGTCGGGAAAAAAAAGAGAAATTGGAAATTAATGAAAATTCACCAGTATTTAGAATTGTTTAATGAAAAATAAGTGTTTTATTCCTTTACCTTATCTAAAAGCTAGGCTAATATATTTTCAAGTAGCTTTTGCTTATAAACTTCAGAACGCCAGAGTAGTTTCTAGAGGGGTTTGGAAAAAAAACCTCCTGTAGAAACAAAAAGTGCTCCCTAGAGGGTAACGTTTGGGGGTACCCAACGGAGACAACTCAGAGGGATTCCTATGGAGAAAAAAGTCCCCATAAGCGAAAGAAAGCGCTCCCTATAGGGGTTTAGGGTCTGACCTCTAAGCCCTTAAAGCTTAAATGGTCCCTACAGGGATCTTTCAATTTTTTGTCCAAGTTCAAAAATTAAAAAGAAGTTTTCATGAAACTTGATCACGTGATCCTCTTTTAATAGTTTTTCTTTTTGAGACTTTAAAAAATTGTTTCCAGCTTTAACCGGAGAAAAACACCTAGCTCCATGAGTAATTTCTGGGATCCTAGTTTTTTGACCCATAAATCGAAATTTTCGACTTCCAATTCTTGAAGTTCCCCTCAAGTTGCCCCTGTAGGGACCTTCTGACATTCCTAAGAAGGACGATGAAAATTTGATAAAATGGAAAGCAGCCCGTTTTTTATTTTCAAAAAGATAGGAGTAAAAAATGTTTCGGATAAGTTAAATTCACATAGTATAACTAACCCATTGAAACTTCTTTGGAAAAAAAATATTTAATTTATCCTTTCAATATTACCTCCTTCAGATCCCCCAGGCAACCACTGTCGAAGATGACGATTTGATGATTGAGGACGATTTTATCAACGTCGACGGCGAGTTGATCTCGAGAAAAGTCTTCAACGAGCTTCCCGACTTCATAAAGAAAGTTTGTAAAGGAGAGAAATTTGCCGCCTTAACTGAGCAAAAACAGGAATACGAGCATCGTATAGCACTGGCGAAGGCTCGCGAAGTGAAAAAGAAAGAAGTCGTCAAGGAGGAAGTCGGAAAACGGGGAAAGAAACGGCCGACCGTGCAGGAAAAGCCTGGAAACAAGGCGAAACGAATAGACGCCTTTTTCAAGACTGGTTAATTTTCTTTGGTGAGTTTTAGAAACGAAATAGATGCTTTCTATAGTTTCTGACATGTTTATAGGTCAGCTAGAGCCTTTTAGACCTGAAATGCGCATTTTCGGTTTTCTCTGTGTCTCCTAAGCTTTATCTTCCTCCTTCGTTGTTTCGTTGTTAGTAAACGTATCTCAATTTTTTTAAATCTTAGTTGAAATACCAGCTATTCTTGCATTTTTTTCAAATGAAATCCTTAGAATTGTATAGAGCTGTTTGATTCTGAAGTTATTTTTTCAGTTTTTTTTCCGAAGGCTCGATTTTTTTGGAGTTTTATGCGCTTAGTTCTACGATTCTTAATACTTTTAGTAAACTCAAAAATTTCCCTTTCAACTTCAGTTCAACTACCAGTCATCTTCATAACTTTCTCAGAAAGTTTTTTTTAGCCATTTAAAGCTCTAAACCAACTTACCGTTTTGTACAGTGTTAATATCCCCTTTCGCGAAAAGTTCATGACCCCTGATAGGTCCTTGATCTGAGTTAACCAAGCTTCCTCTGTAGATTTTGTTCATACACTACCTCATTCACCATTTACTCACCTCAAAAACGTGTAAATAAGCCTTGTAATGACCTGAGAATAAACTATTGAAGCTGCTCATCGATCAATGGGAGTTGGAGCGGGGCCAGATTGTTTTTTTTTCGGAGCTGCGAGAAAATTAAATACTTTTCATAGCTCCTGTTAATGTAATACTTCAGCTAGAGCCTTCAGGTCCTGGAAAATATTTCAAGGTGTCTCGTTTTGTAAATATTCTTGAAACACTTTTTCTTCATAAACGGCTTTTGATCTAATTTAGCCATGCTTCCTCTACAGATCTTACAAATATTATCTCATTCTCCACTTTTCCCTACCTTAAAAACGTGTACCTAAACCTTGTAATGACCCGCAAATGTTTGAATAAACTATCGGAGCTGCTCATCGATCAATGGGAGTTGGAGCGGGTCCAGATTGTTTTTCGGGGCTGGCAGCAGAGCAACGCGGACATGTGACGCCAGCCAACTGTCCGATCGAGTTCGATCCGCCAGAGCCGTTGCCACACGTCCTTCTGCCCCCTCAGAACAAGATGACGAAGCCGATCAACTGGTTCGTTACCTGGCTTCCGCTCCTCAAGTTCTCCCAAGCGGTCAGTTCCAGCTAATCCGCTCGGTGTAGGATCAATGGGGTCTTGAGTTTTTTTGCGACGAGTAATCTAGTTTAAACAAGAAATTCGATCATAGGAGTAGCTTTCAGGAAATCGTTTTTTTTTAAATTCATTTAGCTAGGACCGCTTTACTTCCCAATATAGAAGAAAATAAAGCAAATGAGGTCCCTATAGGGCTTTTAGTTACGTTTAGAAATACCGATGAGTTTTTTTCTACTTTTCTAGGATTACTATTGAATCTTCAGAATCTCAATAATGTTTCTCGTTTTTCTACAGATAGAGCATAAATGACAGATTTTCCTCACGTTTTTTCCTGGTTTCGTTTTGAAATTTTCCAGGAATTCAATTTCTCTTGAAATAATTTTTCATCTTTGATAATCTGCTTTTGGAGATATTATTCTGCAAAGTTTTGAAATTTGTCTTGAAATTCTCAGGAACGCCAGAGTGGTCCTTTTGGGGACAACATTATGGGCCCTTGGAGGTCCCCTCTAGAGACCACTTTAGACTCTCATTTAGGGGTAATGAAGCTTGCAAAAGTGGCCCCTATAGGGGCTGGACACGCTAGTCGCTTATTGTTATAAACTCTATGAGAAGAAACTCAATACATTGGCGTTTTTGAAAAGTATCATTAATAATGAATCAATTTTTGTTGAATTCTTCTTTTTGATTCTCGAGTCTGAACAAAGTTGAAGACCCCTATAAGGACCACTTAAGCTTCAGAGGCTTGGAGTCAGACACTAAACCCTTTCAGGGAGCTCTTTTAGTCCTTATAGGGGCTGTTTTGTCCTAAACCTTATAGGGACCACTCTGACGTTCCTCATTTTTTTGAAAACAACCTATTAATTAAGGTATGCGTTTCGTTGATCATCATCCTGTTGCTGGAAGGCCGTGAACAATGGTTCTTCTACCAAGTTGTCTACATTTTCGCCTTCTTGGTCCTGTTTTTCGCCATCATTTCGCTAGTTCTTCACTATTTCGATATCACCGAAAGCAATGGCTTGCCCTGGCATACGATTGTGAGTTTTGACCAAAAAATATTTTTTTTCTCACGAGTTGGGAATTTGACTAAATATGGATCAAAATTCAGGAAATGGTGAGCAATTTGGGCTGCGCCCTGGCGAGTATCGGGCTGGCCGCGGTCCTCCTTTGGGACGTCTGGAACATGAGCTCGGGCCGAATGGAGAACATCAAGTACCATTCTCGAGCTCCGCCTTTCAACATTGGCCTCGCCGCCTGGACTCGCCGAACTTCCATCGTCGGCGTGAGTAATAATGCGTTTTGCAAGCTTCGAAATACCAAAGGGTGTTTCTAAAAAACAGTCTGAACTTGCGGAGGGGTTCTCAGATAAAACTAGCAACGGTAGATCCCGCTTCGAAGCGTGAAAAACGCCCAAAATTTGGAAAAATGGCCTTTTTGGTTGAGCTAATTTGGATTGGAGAATGAAGCTTACTTCTAGGGGCATAAAGATCAAAGTGAACTTTTATTAAAAATTATTTCCAGCTTTAACCGGTGTTAAAAAAACACCTAGCTCCATGAGTAATTTCTGGGATCCTAGGTTTTTGACCCATAAATGGAAATTTTCGACTTCCAATTCTTGTTTTCACTTGTAATCAAGACGTTTGTTCATTTGAAAAAAATAAAAAAACGTGGTTTTTTTGAAAAATAACTTTTTTTTAAAGTATAAAAAAAGGCTGCTCATTGACTTTATCCATAGAGCGCGTTTGACGCACTACGAAAATTTAATTTTAGGACTATTTTTTTTTTCTAAGCCTTATTCCTGAGCTCTCACTGATCTCTTTCAATTCTATTGAAAAAGGCTTTTCATCTATTTTATCCGTAGAGCACATGTTACCTTTGCAGCTTTTTTTTCTTTTTCTCATTTTTCTCTCATAATTTATACTTCCATCAAGACCTTAGTTAAAACTTCTTCTCAGGGATCCCTCGTGATCGCCGCGGCTCTCTTCATCGTCACCTATCTCAAGCTCGCAAAGACTTCTTCTCGTCGGTAATTCTGATTATGTAGTACGAAACTGATGTAAAAGTTGAATCGTATTTATTTCTGAGGTGTTTCTTTTTGCTGACCAACGCATAATAAAAATAATTTACAAACATAAATAGAACAATGAAAAACCAAATTTTGTGTAATACCGGGGGAAAAACAACGAAGACAAACACAGTTTTCAATTATTTATTTATATATTTATATGAAGTGGAGCAGTTGTACAAGAAAGAAATTTTGTTGTTTTTTGCGGGGGAAAAATATAAAATACATGAAGAATAAAGGTAGAAGATTTTGTTGAACGAGAGAAATAGTAAGATGAAAGGGAGTTTGGGGAATGAAACCCGCGTTTAAGCGACCCGCCTGAGAAAGCGAGGAAGTAGACAGTCGTGTTTATAGAATACAATCGACCTATTCAACAATATCAAAGTGAGAAATTGAGAAAAAAAAGAGAAAAATATGAAAAGTGATAGGGCAAGAATGGAACTCGTTTTGTTTCGCTGAAGTGCTCAGGAACTTTAATCACACGATTTTCCTATTTTCAAAGCTCATGAGCACTCCGAAAATGAGATACTTGGTAGAATTACACTTTTTCTAAGAGAACGATATTCCATCCAACCACTAACTACGTAAGAATATTACAAACTAACGGCCATTTGGCACCAGATCGTCACGTTTGAGCTGCGGAATGTGCTGGCCATTCCCTGGGAAGGGGAGTTTCTGGCCGAGGAGGTTGTGGGGGAGAGCTCCGAGTAGAGCCTGGTTGAAGAGAGCCTGATGCTGGGAGGTCTGAGCCTGAGGTTGGAGGCCTGGCATGGACGCCGAGCCGTTCTGGAGGGCGGCCGAGGAGGGCGGCATGAGGTTGGCGTTGAGTCCGGCCATTTGGAGACGGGATTGCAGCTGTTGTTGCTGCTGCTGGGCTTGAGCCTGAGCTTGGGCCTGGGCCTGAGCTTGAGCTTGAGCTTGAGCCTGAGCCTGAGCTTGAGCCTGAGCATGTGCTTGCTGATGTTGTTGTTGAGCTTGGTGCTGCTGGTGCTGCTGCTGTTGCTGCTGGGCTTGGGCCTGAGCCTGTTGCTGTTGTTGAGCATGCTGCATGGCGAACAGAGCTTCCATGCTGGCAGGTCGGTTCGCTTGTTGTGCTTGCTGTTGTTGAGGTTGTTGAGGTACGACCTGGGGTTGAGCTTGAGAGAGGAGGCGAAGAAGCATCTCTCGCTGATCAGCACCGGCTCCTTGAGTGAGCTGGGCGAGGAGCAACTGCTGTTGGTGCTGCTCCTGAGCGGCTCTCAGAATATCGAGCTGATTGATCTGATTGGCGGTCGAAGTCTGAGGGAGTCCGGACAACGCGGCCATCTGGGCGACTTGCAGCGCCATGCGGGTCGGATCTTGGTTCATCTGAACGTTTTCATGAGTATCGTCACACCAAAATGAGCCTCTTACCATTTGCAATTGAAGAAGCAGAGCGGCCTGATCGAAACGAATCGGCTGTTGTTGTTGTTGTTGTTGTTGTTGTTGTTGTTGTTGTTGAGCTTGAGATTGTTGGTTCTGCTGCTGGGCTTGAGCTTGAGCTTGAGCTTGTTGAGCCTGTTGAAGCTGGAGTTGGAGCTGTTGCTGTTGTTGATTTTGTTGAGACTGTTGGTTTTGATGTTGTTGGGCTGCCGCCATCAATAACTGCGACTGGAGCGAGTTAGCTACCTGAAACTAAGGAAATTAGATAATTTTGATCATTTCTTTTTAAAGAACTTTCGAATTTTTAGAGAATGTCCGTGAAGAGAAAAGACAGACCTGCTGTTGGATCTGCTGTTCGCGCTGCTGCTGCTGCTGATGTTGGGCCTGCTGCTGTTGCTGCTGCTGCATGAGGATCTGGAGCATGGCCTGCTGTTGGGAGGCGGCCGCGTCGCTGATCCCGTTGGTCAGGCTTCCGGAAACGGCGGGCGGCGCCATGCTCAGCGAGTTCTGTCCGTTGTTCACGGGCGTCACCGAGGGTCCGTTGGGTCGTGCCGAGACGGCGGCTGGAGGTTGTGCCGACGGCGGTTTCGGTGGGGCTCTGAAACAGGAAAGATAAGACTGAAAGGTGTGAAATGGAACTCACTGGAGCTTTCGGGCCGCCTCCTGCAAATTCGCACTAACAATATTTGAGGGTGCTGAATAGTTGACATTTCCCATGGAGGAAACGACCATGTTGGCGGCCAGAGATCTGAAAACAAGGAAATAAACCTTGCTGGAAGGAATAATTGAACAAAATCTCAGAAAAGTTGGTAAACTGGAAAATTTTGAATATTAATAATCACGAGGCTTGGAAAAAAACTGGTTACATGAAAAACCATGTTGAAATTTTTTTCTTGAAATATTTTTTTTGCAGATTATTTTGGTCTTTTTTTCGATTTACGACCGCTTTTTCATTTCAAAAAAACTTTAACTTAAAAATCAGAAAAACATACGGATTGGAGATGGAGCTGGTGGAGGGAGGACAGTGAGGCTGAACTGCCGACGTGACGTCGGTCCGAAGAGCCGGAACGACCGCCGAGGGAGCGACGTCCAAGGGAATCGTGTTGGAAGTCGGGGCAGGCGCCTGGATGGAGACCGGCGTCGGAGGAGCGTCTTCCTCGCTGCCGTTGACGTTCAGCGCCACCTCCTTCTTTTCGTGCAGTTTCCGCATGTTGCTGATGTCCATCGCGATGCGGACGTGCATTCCACACCAGCGACCAGGTCTCTGCAAAGATTGGCTCTTTAATAATTGTGAAAAAAAGATCATTTCGTTTTTTTTGAAATATTTTTTTCAGAAGAAAAAAATCCTAATTTCAAAAAAATTGATGAAAAAGGAACCATGGTGTCTGCGTTATCGCCCAATTTTTTTCATTCAAATTCAACATTTTTTTAAATATTTTGTCATTTATTTCTTACTTTTTCAAAAAAATTGAGCTGTAGGAAAAAAATTTATACAACTGAAAAACTTCTTTTGGACATTTAACCCCTGATAAAAAAATTTTTTTAGACAAAAAAACTTAATTTGCAAGTGAAAATTTAAAGGCGAAAAATTATTTAATCTAATTTTCTTCCCAAAGATTATCCTCAAAACTACAACCTATTCCTCAAATTTAAAGTTCACGCCCCGAAAACTTTTCGGACTTTCTCAAAATCGGGCCTTATTTTGCACCTGCAAGGCTTAAAAACAGGTGAAAATCGGGTGAATTCTACGAACAGATGAACGTTAGATTGAAGAGTGATGTCTGATGGTTACAGTATTCAAAATTAAATTAAAGTACCTTGGGAGCAGCTGGGACTTGAGCTTGGGCCATCAAGGCGGCTCCGGCCAGTTGGGATCCCAGGGCGGCGTTGGCCGGGAATTGCAGGTTCAGGCCTTGAAAAGGTTGATTAATTAGGGAATTTAATGAGAAATAATCTCACCTGGCACTGTTTGAAGGTTCTGCTGCACGTTTGGGACGACTTGCGGAGCTTGAGAAGTTGGTCCAGCTGAGGCTCCGAGGGACTGAGCCGCTTGAGCTGCTTGGAGTTGCTGGAATACGTTGGTTGGAAACTGGATACACCCAAAAGGTGATTGCGGATTACATCAATGACTTCTCACATGGACAGTGTCTTCAGAGAAAATAGGAAAAAAAATCTTTGCTCACAGATTTCTCGTATAGAGCTCGATCTATTTGAAACTTTTCAAAGTTGCTTTTCTTTTTTTTTTGCGAACTTCGACCATAGTTGTACAAGTGACAGTCATTACAGCTACAGAAGGTTTCATAAAGATCAAACTCCATACAAGGAAGCTTATTAATGCTGAAAAAAAATGCCTTTCTTGAAAATCCGTGGGAAACGCAAATAAGTTGAAAAAAGGTTTCATTCGGTCAATTTCTCGCGAATCGAAAGACGATGAGGCCAGAGAAACCAAAAAAAAAACCACAAAAATGATCGAAAACTGTCAAAAAAAAGATGTGATTCGAGTTTGATCTCGAAAATCCCGCCAAAAATCGTACTCAAAAATCTACCTAACCAATTTGCTCATGTTATCTTTCAAGTCGGGAAAAATTGACTATAGAAAGTCTTTCCGTTTTGTTTAAAAGTTGAAACCTCTAGCTTGATACCAAAACTACTTCAAGGCCTATTTTGAAAGACTTATCCCTTTTTAAAAACTAGAAAATTATGCAGGTTAAGACTTTCCCCATCTAGAACATCAAGAAGTGTTCTGGCCAACTTTTATGGAAGCCACAATTATTTTGTGAAATGAGCTTTCTTCGAAAAGAAGGCGAACCTGCTGCTGCAAGACGCTGAACAGCGGGATCGTGGCACCGTTGCTGGCCAAGAAGGGCGGCTGCAGGGAGGAGCCGTTGACCAGTCCGGCGGCCAGGGCCGGGTTCTGCAGGAGCCGCAGGGGATCCATGCCGGCGACGGTGGTCGCCGCCGTCAGCAAGGCGTTTTGCGACATCAGCCCCTGCGGGTTCGTGTTCACGTAGAGCGAAGACGCCGTCGTCGCCGCCCTCGCTTCCGCCAAACTTCCTGGAATCGATCAACTTGCCGTGGGGCAAAAAGAGAAGGAAATAAAATTGCTTTTTAGATTGCTAGAGCATAGATCCCTGAGCCTAAATTGAGTGCAAAATTGCAAGAAGAGGTGGAAAATTTTGAAATTACTTTCTTGAACTTCAAAAACAGAAAAAATTAAAATATTTCTAAAGAATGGAACAACTGAGCCTCAATTAAGTGGATAGCTGCCAAACAAAAAATAAAAATGAAGCTATTGAAGTTTTTTGAACTTTTCAAAAATAGTAAAAAAATTGTTTTTTTCTGTAATTTTTCAACTTTTTGCGGTACCCTTTCTGTATGAAAAAAATAGGCATAAATTTGAGTTTTTTTCATTTGTTTTACTCATCTTTTTGTTGCCGAGACATACAAATCCAAGAACATTTCAAAACGAATGAATTAATTTTTAAGCTTTTTTTTTCAAGCTTTTGTGGACCTATTTTTTTTTACTTTTCACAGTCTTTCTTTGAGTTTTTCCACATGTTTCTTCAACTTTCGAGGCTTCAAATATTATTTTATTTTTTTGCCCATCCTCTATTTGATCCTTTGATTTTTTACAATGTTTTTTAAAACTATTTTTACTATTATAACAACCATATCCATCAATTTCCCAACTCCAATACCTTGTGCCTGACGGTTCAAATTGTTGACTTGGTCGTAAAGTCCGCCGGCGCTGGTCGACGCCGTCGTCACGCCCAAGGAGGCGTCGGGCTTCGCGATGCCGATCACTCCATTTCTGCAAACGGATCAGGATTATCTCTTTGTCTCTATCAGAGTGTACACTATACATAAGTCCGAATCAGAAGACCACACCTACTAATCTCAAGCTTAAAATCGAGAAAGATCATGTGTAAAGATTGAGATTTTCCTGACCGAAAATCGGGACCATAAAAACAAAAAGTTTTTGGCGGAAAAAGAAGAAACATAACTTTCAAAAGCAAAAAAGATGTTCAGGTACAGAAAAAAATCCAAAAATAAAAATGGATGTGAACCGATGGATAAATAGGTACTAAAAAACTGTACTGTTATTTAATAGATAGTTTTTTTTTTTGCACAACTTGTTTCTATGCTGAAGACTTCAGCCTCGGGGGATTTTTTTTTATTTTTTTCTTATTCTTAAACTTTAATATTTGTAGTAAAACGCTCAGAAAGACACACATGGCAAAAGATTCATAAATCATCATTTTATCATTTTTCTACTTCTTTTGCTGATTACCTGGTGATTTTTCTCATTTCCTCTCGTTCTCAAAAACTGATTTTTCCACAAAGAAAATTTCTCCATTTAATTTATTTTTAAGCTAATGACCTCAACCTCAAGTTAGTTCACTCAGTTCCACTCAAAATCTGAATATTCAAGAGCCAGACGAACCGGAAGATCTCCGGGTCGATCTTGGGGACTTTCAAGGGCGGCGGCGGGGTGGAAGTCGTGTGGTCGGCGGGCCTCTTCAGATGATCAACTGCTTCGACCATCGTCGTTCCCGGGCTTCGCATGTCCAGCTTCAGCGTCTCCTCCTTCGGTTTCCTTTTCGCCGTCGTCGTCGTCGTCGCTTTTTCCTCCTTCTTCTTCTTGTTCTTCTTGTTCTTCTTCGTCGCTTTTTCCTGCGGCGTCTCCTTTTTCTTCGTTTCCTTCTTGTTTATCTCACGCTCCTTCTTCTTCTTCGTCTTATTCTTCTTCTTCTTTACGTCCTTCGGCGCCGATTTCGGTGTCTGCAAAACGATTCATCAATATTTTCGTTTCGAGACATAATAAAGAATGGGAACGAGGAGAAAAAAGCTGTTCCTGTCGATTTTTGGTGGGTTCTTTCGTAGGATGGAGATAGAAAAACGAAAGGAGAAAACTGAAAATGAGACTGAGAACTTGAATAGAGAAATTTAATGAATTTCAAAAACTTTTACGGTGAAATTTATGAGGAAAGATTCCAAAAAGCCGAAAAAAATATAGAAAATTTCAATTTTCACCAAAATATCTCAAACTGAGTGATCTGTAGTCTTAAAAATGATCAAAGACTAAACATACTATTTGGAACTTTTTAAATCAATTTTTCATACAGAGAAAAAAAAATTGAAAACTAGAAAAAGTCGCAAATGAACTTTGAAAGACTGGAATAAAATAAAGAACCGAAACCGGAAGTGAGAGCTTTTATTCCTTTTCTGAAACAAAAAAAGCCGTGTGAAAAAAAAAGAAAGGGCTTTTTAATTGCTTTTTCCCATTTCATCAACACCAAGAGTCCAGGGAAAATCCATGGAAAAACCTTTCAGACTTTCACATGAAAAAAAAGAGAAAAAGAAACAAAAACACGTGGAAAGATACAATTCCATGGGAAAACACGAGTCATTTCTGGGAAATCACGTAGTCGTTCAAAAGTGCTACAAATCGTGCGTGTGAAACTACAAAAATTTCTGTTTTTCAATCTTTCTTCGGACAAAAATAAGAGGCCACCAAAATAACTACATCTTGACTATATTTCTCCGTTCCACAGACAAATAAGAATGATGAAAAGTCGTACTTCGCATCGAATTGATAAGATTATCTGGGCAGAAGACTCAAAAGTTCAAACCAATAAAACAGAATTTATCAATTTTCCAGTCGTAAAAGTGCGGTAAATCGACTATGACATTTATAAAATCCATGATAAAACTGGGGAATTTTCCGGAAAATTGAGAGGATTTTTTCAAAGATGAACTTCCAAACTTTTCGTAACTTCGAAAAGTTTTCAGACTATCGCAGGAGCTTTTAAAGTTTGCAGAATAAAAAAATCCGCCCGACCCATCTCTAAAAGCTCAAAAATCTAACAATCGGAAAGTTAATAGCTTCCGAAACCCAGATACAAAGGAAAGAAGACAAAAAAGAAGCCCTTTCTGATTCGATCAGAAACCAACCTTTATAAAAGCTCATCCATTACATCAAACAAAGACAATCAGAATAATCCCTTTGAAGACTCGAACAGCTCAAATGCCTCCCACAAAAGAAAAAGAAGAACAAAAAAGTTGAGAGAATAGGAAAAATCGCAAAGAAGTTTTTTTGAATAGAAAATTTCAAATCATCTAAAAAAATCGAAATGTTCTCGCAAATCTAGAAAAATCAAAAAAATTTATTTTTGATCTTCAAAACTTTCATAAAACGTCTACAGGCCATTAAAAAAACATATTTTTCAGCTCCGCTTGAAGAAACTACTTCCTAATATTTTCAAAAAGCTGAAAAAAATCAACTTCAAAAATTTAATAAACTTAAAAAAAGGAAAAACTAGAAAAATTCTATTTTTGAACTTCAGAAACTGTTTGAAACTATAAAGAGGCTCCCAAAAACATGTTAGTTCAAACCAAAACTTTTTTTTTATAAACAAAATGTCGAATTAAATGAAAAGAACAAAGAATGGAGATAAAAACCTTGCTAGAGTACAACCCGCGATCTCAAACGTTCTTTTAAACTACAAATCCTCGACTAAACTCTCGAAAACTACTTTTTGATCACCTCAAGGCCAGGAAACCAAAAAAGAAACCCCGCAAATAAATGCACCAACCAACCAACCAAGGAACGAAAAGGAGGAAACGCGCGAGACAATGAGAAGAAGAAAAGGACGCGCAAATACGACGGAGCGAGCAAAAAAAAAAAGAGAAGAGAAGGAAAAAAAAAAGACTCGCGGTCATTCTCTCTCAAATTCCACCGAGAGACGGTGGCGGAAAAAAAAAGTGAGATAGAAAGAGACGCAGACACGGAGAGAGTGCAATCAATGGGAGAGACGGAGAGAAAAAGAGAGAGAAAATGCCTCCGACGACGACGACGCGGCTGCAACCGACCGCCCACGGCGGTGGCGTGACGGACAGACGGACCTCCGCCGTTTTCTCTATTTCTCTCCGTTTTGTGAAAATAGTTCAGCCGAAACATTTAGCTTGGAAACTTTCAAATCCTGACGAAACTTGGATCAATTTTTCGAAGAATATTGTCGCGAAAACTTCTTTTTATTGGTCAAAATTTAGCCCACTTTAATCAAAATTTGGAAAGTTTAAAATACAAAATTAAGATGAAAACCAATAAAAAATTTTTAATCTGTTTCTTCTTACGATTAACAATCTTCTTGTAATCTCACAAAAATCCTGCTTTTGATGAAAATTTGATACGAATCTCCAGAAAAACCTTTGAATTCTCACGCAAAGATCGAATTTCAAAGTGAAACGAAAAATGCATCATTATTCTATAATTACTGATTTCCTTTTCATTTCCTGAGCGAAATCTTCATTTTCCGAGCTTTCCTATATTTTTTCACATTTTTCACGTATTTGTATATGGAGCGCACTTTCAGGTGAACAATCGGCCTATTTGAGTTGAAAATTGCATTTTATAGAAAAATCCAATTTATTCCGTTAATAGTCTATTCAAAGATCCCTTTTTCTGGGCCAACAAGTCGGGGAGAGTCGGACGCTTCTCGCGCGCAGCAGCTGGCCCTCGTGATTTATGGTCCGAAGCGTCAAAGCACAGCACACATGGAGAGAGGGAGGGAGGGTCAGCAGAGGCCGGAAATTATCGCCGCTACCCGATTTATGACGTCATTTGAGCTCGAAAACGGATCAAGAGAATTGAGATTTCGGGAGTGTTGAAATAATAACCGAGCGTAACTGAAAAAAGCAAAAAGGCTGAGTTTTTTCTCGAGAGAGAAATATTTTTTTGGGAGATTGAAGTGATCTTTGATCTAATTGATCTACGTTTAATTTTCAAAAAAAAATATCTATTTACTAGTTTTTGTAGGTTATGATTCTTACAGCAAACTTGAAAGGAGCCCTAAAATAGGAAAAAAGCCTATTTCATATCTGAAAAATTCCTCAAGCCCAACAAAAACGCCTTTCTAATGCTTCTACTCAAAATTGACTTCTCAAAAGGTTTCTGAACCTTTGGTCTTGCAACAAACCGCGGAAAAAAGTTTCCTACTGTAGTTCCTCTATTCAAAGGCCGAACTGAATTCAATTCATTGCGATTCAATTCAATTCAAACCAAAAAAACGAAAAAAAAGTTGGTCCCCAGCGGAAAGAACAAAAAAAAAGATGAGAGGGAGAAAAGTTTTGAGCGCAGAGAACGCAACGTGCCCTTCAAAACGAGTAGATCTTTCTCTGGCCCTCTTCTTTTTTTTTCTCTTTTCTCTTCTCTCCAACATCTGTCAACGTCGTTTGCGTTGGGGGGCAAAATCACACGGGGGCCGAGGCCGGCGCCACTGATTTGATAACGTTTTGGCAACCAGATTGCAAATTACGGTCCTATATATGACACCGAGTGTAAGTGTATTATGATCGCCTCGAAAAAGAAGAAAGGAAAAACGGCGGTTCGTGTAAAGAACAGCTGACAAATATCACAGCGTGGTACTCGAGATCAACAGAACATTCTTCAGAAAAAAAGGAGAAGATCAAAAAAAAAGTTTGGAGAAGTTTCAGACTTCTTCCACTTTTCAGCTGACTTTCAATGCTGAAAGGAGGGAGGAATCCCCAGCCTTTTGCAAAAGTTTTTGCAGAAAAAGCTGAAAATCGAAGGAAAAGTTCAAAAATTCTTTTAAAGGTCTTTTCAGAGCTCAAATTTCATACCAAAAAGGGCAAAAATAGATCTGCAGTACATTTTCAAAAGAAAAGCGCGCTAGAGCAAAGTTGTTCACAAAGCTGAGATGATTTTCGCGGCTTTTTTTTCACACCCTAATTTTTGCGTAGAAAGACTGTGCTGTGTTTTATATGAAAGGAAAAACTGTATAGATGTTGGAAGTAATTTGCAATAGAGCAAAGTTGTCCAAAATTTTCGCGGCTATTTTTTCAATATCAATCACCGTACGAAAAAAAACGGCTACACCCTATTTCCGGACGCAAAATCAAATTGTAGCAGAGGAGCGACGAAACGAAATGGGAGAAATGTATGTATTTGTGTTTGGTGTCTGTGTGTGTGTGTATTTGGCGTGGAAAAGGGGGGAAAATATAAAAGAGAGACAGAGCAAATATTTGTCGGCTCTCTGAACGCACAATACGTAAAGGGGAAGGAAGGAGGTGGGTCTACTCTTTTCTCTGTCGGCTGAAAATATCCCTCCCTTGCACTCGGTTCCCATATGACCAACCAAATACGGCATGCAAACACGCCAGACTCATGCGCTCCCTTCAAAGTACAATCTTTTTTCCTTCTCTCTCAAAGGGGCTGAATAAATTGGGGCGCTTATTAAAACTAATAGTCTCGGAGTAATTGAAAAGTGATGAATCTGGTAGCAGAAAAAAAGCTGTCTCGTGCAGAGAAATTGCGCTCTGTTGATAAATGGAGAGAAAAATTCGCATTTTTATTGAAAACTTCATAGAGCAAATGAATAGAGGACATTTTTTTTCAGTTTTTTTGAAATTCTAAACTCCATCCGTCTACATTACTGATCTTTGATAAAAGAAAACGGGAAATCGAAAAAACTCCAGACTTTACGAGCTTGAATTACCCGTGGAGCACGCGAGTTGATTGCTTTCGCGGCTATTTTTTCACACTTTTTTTTTGAAGCATAACCTTTTCTACTTTCTGTTGTTTGGTCGGTAAAGCAGACATGCTCAAAACATCATAATTAGGCTTCGTTCAGTAAGCCAAAAACGAAAAAGAAAAAAAAATAGGTGGGCGACACCAAGAGGATTATCATCAACGGCGTGTCGTCGAAAAAAAAGAAGAAGGGAAGATAGATTATCCGAGAGAGGAGAAGACGTGGAAAGAACGAGATTTCTCGACGACGACGGGTATAGAGATTACGATGGTTTCTGGGAAATGAGAAGAGAGGGAAAGGCCGCGCCATTGCGCACACCGATTTCATTTCTTTTTCCCGATTCGATTCTCCAATCTTGTTCTCTTTCGAGACACGCCGAACAAATCAGGACCTTCTCACTGACTGATAAGTCGCCAGCCACCAAAAAAAAAGAATCGGAAAGAAAGAAAGACAAGAGATAACGGGAAAGTTCGACGACGGCGGGTGACAAAGTGATAAGCGAGATTCCAGTTCAAGGAAACTACAAGCGGGAAAAAAAGATCAGGGGAAAATCCCACAAAATGTCAGCTTTTGGTCCAGACTTTCTCAGAAACGGATCTATCTCACCTAATAACCTGATTCATCACAGAGGAAGGCTTGCAAATTGAGCAAATTAGAGATTTTCGCGAAAAGTTTCTGGAATTTCTCTTCCTCGTCTCACTTCCGTAATGTGATACTCGCTAATTGTGATCTTTGTGAAAACATTTTTTTGAAGGTGAATATTTCAGAAGGAAAACAAAAATCCCTTAAAAATCGTTTACTTTTTACATCTTTGAACAACTCTCCACTGGAATTCTTCTCTCTATTTGTCAAACTCCAAAAAAAAAGTACACAAATACGACGACAAAAACGCAAGGTTTCAACTTTTGACTACAAACTAAACTCCGCTTCGCCAAATACGATCATTGTTGTTTCTAAAAGGGTTTTTCTGCAAAATCGCATCAATGAAACAAGAAAAACGTCATCTATCAAGTTTTGAAACATCAATCAGTTCAGGGAAACTCTTTCTAATTAACGATAAATTAATCCGATTTAATTTTTTTGGAGTTTTTTTTATCGCTTTAAACTCTGTTTTTTTGAAATTGAACCTTTTTGAAAAACTAAAAGATTACTTCTAAGAAAAAACTCTATCAGAAAAATGCTTCTTCAGGTGTAAAAAAGTCAAAACAGGCTTCAAATTTTGCAAATATTTTTCACTAATTTGAGGTATGGACTACTGTAAGTCTTCTGAAAAGAATCCTTTGCAAGTACACGTTTCAACTATTTTCAAACTTTTTTGAACATACAATAAAGCCTCTCAAATATATATTAAACTTCCGCTAGAACAAGAAAAAAAAAGAAGAAATTACTGTAACTTTTCAGGAACTGCATCCAAAGCCATTTTTTGAAAAAGCGAAAAAGCGGTCCATGAGAACCAATTCTCTCAATTTGGAGACCAAAAGCCCAAAAAACGATTGTTGCTGGAGAGCAAAGGACGAAATGAGGCGGCGAAAAACGATGGGGGGAGAGGGAGGAATTGAATATCAAAAGCGCGAGATCGGATTTCAAGTGTACGTGGTGACGTCTGTTTCGGGCCCTGCGACCATCGAATAAAAATGATAAGGAACCCAAACGCGATTCGCAAACTAACGATAACGATAAACTCTCTCTCTCTCTGCTCCCTGCCTCTATCTTGCAGACGTACCAATACCAACACCGATGCCAAGGACAACAGTCAAGGTCGATAAAAAGTGAAAGGATAAGAAGAAGGAGAGAAAAGAAAAGACGGAGCCTCCTCCTCCTTCTTCTTCTCCTCCACTTGAAAAGGATCCAAAGAACAACTCGGGGACCAAAATGTTTGAGTTGGAACGTGCCCCGTCACATGACGTTAAACTTTATCTATGCAAACTCCTCTTTTTCCTCTCTTCTCCTTTCTTCTTTTGATAAGCAGACAAAAGGCAAGATGTTTGCCGTCTATGTAATCTTAATTGTAAGGTTTGAACTACATGTGACTGAGAAGGAAAGAAAAAAGGCGAGAGAATTGAATCAGGAAAGATCAAAAACCCTTGCCGAGTTAATCCGCCGTTAATTAAAGATCCTTCTTTCAAATGGGCTGTTTTTTTACGCTCATAATTAGAAATTTTAATTAAACTTTGGGGGTTTTGAAAAATACAATTTCATTCCATATTAAGATTCCTGAAAACGATTTTTGAAAAATAAATTGTATAAGGAAATAATTAAAATATCAATTTCATCTTTTTTTGTTAATAAGGATTTGAAAAATTGAAAAAAAGGGATTTTTTTCAATCATATTAGGAGTTTGTCATCGTCTTTTAATTCAATGGATATTCCTGATTTTTTGAAAATATTCGCTCTTCTTATGGAAAAATTTCTCACGATTATAAAAATTCCTCGGTCTCGTGTAATCGAATTCAACTTGCTTTTAACTTCATTCCATTTTTTTTTTTTGCAAAACCTGCAGGAGAAAGATCAAAAAGATCAATTTATCAACTGTTGCTCGAAAACAGCCTTGTTACAACCCAGCGAAAAGGGCCGAGTTTATTTATATCCTGACTCAAGATAAACCATTTATTAAACAGCCAGACAACTCTTACACACCGACGGGTGCACCTGTACCTATATCTCTATCTCTTCCAGGACGCCATCACAGTGTAAACAACACCGCATACTTTTCGGCAGAGCGATGCGCAAAAAAGAACCGAAACGAAGAAGAAGTCACGAGGAAGCGACGGCCCTCGGCCGAGAGTGCAATTTTTCAGTCTGGTCCTTTGGTGTGAACCCAAAAGAACAAACGTGAGAGACGCGCAGAGCACAGACACCGATAAAAACCAGAAAGCAAACAAGAGACGGAGACTAGAGAGGAGAGAGTGCGGAAAAGCGGGAGACGCAGACAGTCTCGAGAGAATTGAAAAAGAGATGGAGGAGGAGGTCTCTCCCTCTGCAAATATGACGACGTCGAGTCATCGGGCCGCCACACAAGACACACGTAAACAGGCGCGCTCTTTTTTTGGCGCACTCTCTCTCCGGCGCACCCCCCGCCAGTCCGCGGGAAAGGAGGAGGAAACGTCGGTCGGGAGCGTTCAGAGCAAACGAGGAACAAACTTTCGAGTGTGTCTGTTTGAAGGGTTCCAACACACTTGAAGTGAGTGCGATTTTTGATTTTGAGAGGAAAGGTTAGACGGTCCTAACAAGGTTCGAACCAAAGATCTGGCGCGAAACGAACTGACTAACCGATTTTCGGGTGTCTGTCTGATTTGAGGGCATGAAAAACTTGAAAACTGTTATCTAAGGGAACTTTAGATAGTCCTGAAAAGAGCTTAATCAAAAATCTAGCCTTAAAATGAACTGACCGAACGATTATTAAGTCTAATTGAAGACATGAAAAAAGCTTGAAAACTCGTTGGTTTTTGGACCTTGAGTCATTAAAAAAAATCAAAAAACAATTTTTTTGAGAGGAAGGGCTTTTGAATTCAATCGATTTTTCATTTTGTATTCACTGAACTATTTGAAATCGGGGGAAAAAAAGTCTTCACTTTTTATCGAGAATGAAAAAAAGATATATTTTTCAGAAAAAAATCTTTAAAAAAATCCTATTTATAAGGCTTAACAAAATTTTCAACCAAAGCTTGAAAACGTCTTTTCCATTCTCTATTCTACAAGCCAGATGTTTGAATAGACTCTTATCCTCTCGTCCAGAAGCTTAGAGCAAAGTACAAACGAATTGTAGCGCGCCTAGTTCAAACATACACTTCAAAATGTTGATTTGTGGCTAGTTTTTGAGCTCAACGACGGAAAAAAGTGAGAGAAAAAAAAAGATTTAATCCAACGGAAATTTGTACTGGACTTGGGATGTAGTGAATCGCGACAAAACTTCCGCGATTAAAGCCGAAAAATCGCGAAGCGGACCAGAAACTTTCGCTTGTCCGATTCTCTATTTGAAAGTGAGGATTGGTTGGGATTATGTGTAGGTTTTGGCGCTTGCCACTTCTCAATTAAACCGCCCCTACTCCCGCCAATTCAATTCGATTCAATGCAATTGCAGCCTGACATGAAAGGCAGAGGGAAGACGAAGGCAGAGAGGGGTCATCAAATTATACGACGCCTTATCAAGTGCATGGCAAATAGACTACGCTGTCGCTCCTAAAAATAAGGAGAATGTCTAGTCTAGGTGAGGAAAGTTTCAGCAAAAAAGGTGATATTCCGTGATCGAATTCGAATCAATTTGTGACCTCAGAAGGCGAAAAACCACGCCGATTTCGCTACATTAAATTAACAAGGGCGTATAATGTACTTTATTATTTATAAATTGTAGACGCAAACATGTTTTTTTCCACCTTTGCACCTTTCTCTCTCGGTTGAAACTCCAAACGAATTAATTCAGTCACCGGGATTCACTAAAATAACTTGGGACATCAGAAATCTGTTTTTCTTTTAAGTTTATTAAACTTTGCACTTGACTAAGTTGGAAGAAGACTTATTTGATAAATAATCCTTTTAGAAATGAATTGAAGAGCAAAAATCTCAAATTGGCTTCCTTTCGGGAATTCAAAGAAGTCCTATCTAAAACTACTCAAAAGTTCGAATGGGCAAACTTTTTGATTCATGTTGAATAGGACTAAAATGTAGTTTTCCTTCTGTTTTCTCACACGAAAATGGAATTCGAAATGAGTAATTGGCTTTTTTTTCCGTTTTGCAGGACGTCAAACTACACTGTAGTTAGGACCACAATTTTGACAGAAACCGTATTTTCTCCAAATTCAAGCGATTGAAACTATTAATTTGATTTTTTAAGAATAATTCAAAAGCCTTATAAGATAGATAGATTGAACTGAGAAAAAAATATTTCAAATTCGAAAACTTCGAAATTTCCGGTCAGTCTCTCAAAATGTTTTAGAGCGGATTATCAAAGATTTATGAAGCTAACCTCTTGAATTTTGAATTTCAAAGACTCGAAATTGCTCTGAGGACAGTACCATGACCAAGCTATGATTTGTGAAAAACTTTAAAACAGATTCAAAAACCTACTAAAAAAGATCAAAAATTTTTCTCTGAAAAACCTTTCATATCCCGAATCGAGCTATAGGTTCTGTAAACCATCTACAGATCAACTTTAGTTTCGTGAAAAACTTCTAGGAACTACCGTAACCGAGAAGGCTAAAGTTTCACCCAACAAGTCCCGAAAAACGACTCCGAGGAGAGAAGTTCCAAAAGACGAGGAACTCGGCGCGTCATTGTGGGTGGTGCCCAATCCATCTTTTATTTTCGGACGACGTTTGCAAGAGACGGAGAGATCGATGATGCATGGGGGCCAGCCGGCTGGCAATTAGAGTGGCTGGACGGATAGCGAGAGATGGAGAGAGTGCAGACGGACAGCCGGCCGTGTCAGACGACTTTCCCGTGGACAGACATCGGCGGCGGAAGATGTGCGCGCGGGAAAAAAAAAGAAAAAAAAAAGAAAAGGAAAAGAAAAGAGAGATGCAGAAAGGGAGCAAGAATCAGCCGCCGTTGTCGCCGCCGCGCAACCTTGACTTGCTACGATACTTCTCTCTCTCTCTCTTTTCTCTTCTCCAAAATGAGAGATAGACTCGTGGTGGTCAGAAAAACAACAATTCGGTGGTGGGGACCAACAAATTCCGGTTTCTCTTCCAAATTCAGTTTCCCTTCCCAATTGGAATACGTGGGCTGTGAAATCATCGGATATGGAGAAGAACGGTTTTTTTTTTCTGAAAGGAGATTACTTCCTGGTTTGGGAGGATGCACAGCAATTATTTTTTTTTTCTATGGCAGAAAAGATAGAAGAAGACCAAAGTATAAACACCATTTCCTAATTTCAGATAAATGTCACGTTTGTAATTTTGAATTGAAAGGGTGACTCATGCACGACTGCCTTTGGACGTTAGCTCAGAAAAGAAAGGTGAATTTCAAAATTATCTTCAAAAATAGCATGGGAATAGTATAGATTCAGACTTTGTTCTGTTTTTTTAATGCCTCAAATCGCCGTGAATTGGATGTAATAGACGCCTTTCTCCCACATCAAAGAAACAGACAGAAACTTCAACAAAAATCAAGTTGAAATTGCTATTTTCAAAACAAAATGTCAGCATTTCTAGTAAAAACTACGCCTTTTCAAGGTAACAATCACCAAAAATTCCGATAAACAAACTTGATTATATGCTTTACAGTTGAATGAAGCGAAACACTAAAATTACCCCAATCAAGGTGCAAATTAAATCAGCTTCCATTCTCAGAATGAAGCCAAACTAGCTAAACATTGGAAATTATCCCTTGTAAGGTATCAATTGAAAGAGTTCCAAGAAATAAAAAAATGATTATAAGGTGTTGCAAGCTAAAAACTGAAATTTCCTCTTTCGACCGTAGATCGCAAACGCCTACAGGACTCAAAAAAAACCAAAAAAGGAAATTATGGCTGTCGGATGACTGAAAAAAAGGATTGAATACTAGGAAAGTGTCTGGGATTTTTCACCACAAACAGCTGAATATATTTGGAACAGCTGAAAAAAAGGAAAAAAAAATGGGAATATTAAGAAAAACTTTGGAAGTTTACACAAAACTTTCAGGGGAAAGCGATTCGCAGAATAAACTTTTTCTGAAACTCAGCTGACCTAAAAAAAATCAGCTCAAAGAAAATTTGAAGTTCAACTTACTTAAATTTTCTAAATGGGATTCTCAAAAGCCTTTTTCCCAAATCGAATGATGAGAGGTCCGAAACGAAAAAAGCGGGGCAAAATCGGAAAATCGGAGAGAAAGAGAAACAACAACGACCCACTTCAATGTGTCGGACGTGAAAAAAGGAAAACATCGGCAAACTTTGGGGAGCAAAAAAAAAACGGAATAAAAACAAATAAAGACGTACCTTTGTTTCGGCGTTTTTGGGCTGTGCTTTGATCTTCTTCTTCTTCTTCTTCGGCGTCGTCTTGACGTCTTTTTGATCTACCTCGTTCTTGACTTCCTTCTTGATCTTCTCCATCTTCTCCTTCCTCTGCTTTCTCAACTCCTTCTTCTTCTCGGCTATCTTCGCGGCAAGTTGTTCTTTCTTCATCACTTTCAGAACCCTTCCCAACTTGGCCTGAAGCGACTGAAAGACGGCCTTCTGGTCAAAAATGGGCTCTTCTTTCGGCTGTTCTCCGCGAAGTTTCCGGCGTTCTTCACAGGAATTCACGAAGACTCTGATTCGTTCCCGGAAAGCAGTTTCTTTCTGGAAACGACGTTGTTGCTGAAGCTTGGCTTCGGCCTGGGCCAATTTTCGTTTCTGTCTCCGATGGTCCCATCTGATCTTCTCCACGCGGTACTTATCCATGACCATCTGATGAAGCGCCTTTTTCTTCTCCTCGACTTTCCTCTTGTGCTCCAGGATCTCCTTCTTCCCCTTGAGCGGCTTCGAATGCATGAGTTCGACCAGCTGAAGTCGCGCGATGGGAAATCTTATGCGTCGGACGAAGGAGACGCGTCTGCGTATTCTGCGACCGGCCTCGCGTTCGCGATGCAGTCGCAGTCGTTGTTGTCGGTCGCGACGTCGCAGCTTCTCCTTCTGCGTGGTGACCAGCCATTGGTGGAGCAGGTTACCGTCGACTCGGCCGGCGGCCAGCGACTCGCGGACCGCTTGTTTCAGTCGCAGGTAGCGCGTCCGTCGCTCAGCTTCTACCTTCGCCCTTCGGACTTTCCTCGCGTGTTTCTTCTTCAGTCGCTCGAAATCTCGTATGAACTTCTGAAAAAGAAGAGAGTTATTCGAAGAAAAAATCTTCATTTCCTGGTCCCAAATTTTTCCTTTAAAAATCTGCATCTTCAGGCTTCAAGTTCGTATACAAGTGATTTTTCAGAAAAAGATTTGAGTTATAAAACAATCATTTTACTTGAAGTTCTTATGATTTTCAAGCTGTCAAAGGTCAAAGTCCGACTTCCCATTGGTATCCCCAAGTATAAAGAAAACACGTGTTTTATTCATTATTTTTTCTCGGTCCATTGCAGAGAGAAGGTAATAATTGAGCATGTTTTCTCTCTTCCTCATTTTCCGAGTTCAAACTGATCGAACTACACAGAGAATAGAAATTTCCTTTTTTAAAGCTATAAGAAACCACAACTAGAGAAAAATGTTACTTTTGATTAGAATGAAACTTAGAAAAATCATTCAGAAACTTAAGAATTGAAAGCTGCGGGTTTTTCTACAATAAAAGTCAAAAAAATCTTTCTAATTTTTTGAAAATTTCAAAACTTTCCTTTGAATTCCCTAATCTGATAACGGCTCCAGCGAGAAATAATACCGTTTTAAAATATTACACCTTCAAGAAACGCCTCAAAATGAGAAACCGTACTTTCTATCGTATAGAGCTTTGCTTGACTAGCCGATCAATAAAGAAAAATTCTCAGAGTTTCAAAGATCTTCGTGCAAAAGTTTGCACTCTTCTCCACTCTTTCCCATATTTGTCACTAATGGAAAAGAGGGCAACCTCGTTAGGAGTGAATTCCCTTGCCGAGAAAAAAAAAGGAGACGCGAAAAAAAAACCGTCTAATTGGCTCCAATTTCCTTTGCGATTTTCGCGTGTGGCGTTGAATCTAGCTTGAACTATCAAAAAAAGGGAGAAAAAAATGGATAATAATTATAGAATTTCAATTATTTGGGGAGCTTTTTTTCATACGAAAAGCTGGAAAAATACTGAAATTCTGCAGTTCTATTCTCAATAATTTTTCAATTAAAATCTTCGCACCTCAAACCAGCGGGAATCGCTATGATTTTTTTCTATTAACTAGAATTTACCGGGAAAAAGTTTAGTGGCCACTTTAGAAGTTTTTCAAGTACTACTTGGAGATAACACCAAAGTGGCCAAAAAACCCATCTACAGAAGCCCCAATTTTGCGTTTTAGTGGCCACTATAGTGGTTTTCAGTAGTCTAGTAGTGCCACTCAGAAAGTGGCCACTAGTTTTCAGCCACTAATTCGACTACTACAGTGGCCACTAAATCGTCAAAACCCTATAGTGGCCTCTAAAAATTTTCCCAGTCTTCGAAAAAAATCATAGTGAGCACTTAAGAGGCTCCTCAAGGACTTCTTAGAAAGGAACACTGAAGTTGCCACTCTAACTATTTTGCGTTTCAGTGGCCACTTTAGTGGTTTTTAGGGATCTAGTAGTGCCACTCAGACTCCTAAAGTGGCCACTAGTTTTCAGCCACTAATTAGACTACTATAGTGGCCACTAAATCGTCAAAACCCTAAAGTATCCATCCAAAATTTTCTCAGTACTTCCTATATTTTTTTCCCAATCGCTTCCTTCCTCTTTTGAGTCATTGCGAAACGATCTTTTCTGAACCCTTCTTGTCACAAAATCGCAGTAACAAGAAAAAAAAGAAGGAGGATGACCAGATGATAGTGTAACAACATTACAGCACGTCAGTCAGCCCCAAAACATCAAAAACTAAAAAAAAGTCGGTCACGAGTTTTTTTTTTCCGGGAAAATCGCATCAAGAGATTATAGAGATTACAGCAGTGGAAACATTTCAATCTTTTTTGAGCTGGGGACCAAGAAAAATAGTGAGAAAAATGTACCTTTTTCCGTCGAACTCGTTCGCGTTTCCTGACGAGCTGCATCATTATTCGTCGATTTTTTCTTCTCACCCATCGTATGAATCGTTTCTTCCGTTCTATCAGCTCCCTTTCATACTGCTGCAAAAAAACCTTTTAAACTGATTAAACAATAGGAAAATTCAAACTCTTGGTACCCAAAAATAAAAATAAATACAATAGCTACCAGAAACGATAGGAAGAAATATTTTTCAAACATCAAACTTGATTTCAATGGTCTCATTAACCACGGAGCGCATTTGACTGATTAAAATCAGCTTTTTTTCAATAATTTCTTGGAACTTTTTGTTGAAGTAAAAAGAGTTTCTTGTAGATTTCAGTTTCTAAGATTTTACATAAAAATCGAAAGAAATTTTTTTCACTGCGTTAGGACTTCAAGTATCCAAATTTCATCAATTTCTTGAGACTGAAAAAATATCAGCGCTGAAAACAAAGAAAAATCAAAGAAAAAAATTTCATGAAGCTCATTTTATTCACCAATTTTTCTCATTCTAATTACATTATCTGCAAAATCATCGTGTTTTTTTTCTAACGGAGTTAGTTCAGTTTGGAAAAAAGACAGAACCCAGTACATACAAAATTAACGATCAAACTCTTAGCACTAAACAAAATGTCAGAGACCTGGGATTCTTCTTCACGAGTAATCTGAAAATGGGGCACCATGTGAGTATAGTAGTACAAAAAAATGTATGAAAAATAATAAATAATTTATTTCGCTGTTTTTCATTTCTCTCAAAAATAACTTTCTAAAATGCTATAAAGCCAAAAATCTTGCCTATCATTGAGTACGGATCCGAACTAATGTGCCCGCTAAATTTGAATGATATAAATCAACTAGAATCAGTCCAGAGAAAATTTACCAAAAGATTATATCCGAAATTGGATTATCGCAGTAGATTAGCCAAACTGAAACTATCGACGTTATGGACTAGAAGACTTTTTAAAGACGTTTGTTGCGTTCACAAATACATTCATGGATATTTTTGGAGTGAGTCGCCTGTTAAATTAATGATGAATTCGAGTAGAAATAATCAACTCAGAGGAAATGGAATGAGACTTGTTCAACCAATGAATGAATTGATCAAACAACGCTTCCTAAATCATAGAGTCATACCCATTTGGAACCAACTGGAGAGAGAAACTATCATTGAATACGAAATCGGCAAGTTTCAGATTATGCTCACCTCATGGTTCGAATCAAACACATCGTTTTTGAAATCATTAGATCCTACTAAAAACTAGAAAAATTCTAACTTATTAAAAAATACAAAGAACAAACTTAAATACCAAATGGGGGTTAGCACCGTCTACTCAGACAATCTTTTCCTCCAGCCGTTTCCACAGATCAGCTGTTAGATTTATTTGATTGTCTTGATGTTTTATTTTTTTTTTGTATTTGTCGTGCTGATTGCGGAATGGCGAATAAACACTTGAAATGAAAATGAGAGAACAAAAAATAACATTAACCTTGTAGAAACTCAAAAAAAAAAAATCAATGAATAATATTTCATGTAGCCTGTTTTATTTATCGCTTTCGAAGCTTTTTACTGAAAATCTCAAATTATGCAAATTGCGGAGACTGAAAAATAGCTCGGACCTTTGAAGAAAAATTCAGGTTAAAAATAAAGAAAAAAATCAAGTTTGTTTTTTTCCTGAAGCTTATTCGATCAAACGCTCTCGGAGCTCTTTTTGAAAAACTTTGAACTATTTTTTTCATTTCACGGATTGCAAGAACTGAAAAGACTCCTGACCTTCTCATCAGCCAAGCAGGAAAAGAGCAAAAGCGAGAAATCGTCGATGATGAGCTCTTCGATGAAGGGAATCGGCCGGTTGACCAGATCGACTTCTCTTTCGATATAGTCAGGGTTTTGGCTCGAAGTCGAGGGCTTCACGTCGCACTCGACAACCTTCTCGACCTTCTGCTTCTTCTTCTTCTTCTTCTTTCTCTGAAAAAAACTTGTGTTTTAATGGAAACTCAAGTGAACTCGCCGAAAGGCGGGGTATTATGAACTTATCGCCACCAAAAATTGGAAATTTATCTTAAATAGACTTTGAAAATGGAAAACGATTTAGATCAGTTTAAAAGTTCCAAATTTTGTTTATCATTCACTTTTTGAGAGTCGAAAAAAAAATGGTCGCAGGGAGAATGGCTCAAACGCGTCACAACAACTACACCTTAAAGCTACTTGAGTTTGACAAAACTTGCGATTAATTTTGAAATTCGATTTTCAGTCGGATTCCAACGTTATTCATTATAAATGAGCGTAATCTACATTCTGACCAATTTTCAGGTGATTTGAAATAGAATTGAGGATATGTATCATCCTCATAATACAAAAAAATGTTCACAAAATAGATTTATTTAGCTTCAAAAATTTCCTCCGAGTTTTTACGAATAAAATCAAACTACCTAAATTTAAAACGTTGAAAAGAAAAAAAGAAGCTTTTAAGGTTTTCGTACATCAATTTATTTGAGTTTTTTTTGCCATTTCAGGACTAGGATAAGATATAGCCAATACATTTGGCTCGCAAAGGGTTCAAAAAAAGCTTTGAAATGATTTCAAAAAAATTATTTAGATCATCCGATGGGGGCTTTTTCAGCTTCTTCTTGAGGGGGAAGGTGATAAAAGCCCACGGCTTAACCAGTCAATTTACACAATTTAATGGAAAACCGACCCTTTTCAGCTTTTTCTTGGCCAGCTTCCGCTTCAGGACTCCATTCACGACGATTTTCCTCTTCCTCTTCTTTTTTTTCTTCTTCTTTCCATTTTCCTCCTTCTTGGGCGGTTCTTCGACCTTTATTTCCTCCTGCTTCACGACCGCCGGGGGTTTTTTGGGGACGGGTTTTTTGATCCTCGGGAACTCCTTGTCCATGTCAATGGGCCTCGGCGGAGGCATGAACATGGCCACGAGCTCCTCCTCTTCCAGCTCCTTGTCGTAGGGATTTATGTAGACGTCTCCGACGGCTCCGATCTTCCGAAGACGTTGGAAATTGTTTGGCGCCCGTCGGAAAACATATTTCTTCCCGTAAAATACACCCTGAAAGACTCGGGTAAATAAAAAGGGAACTTTAGTTTGAATGGCCGTCAAAAAAGAGAAATTTTTTTATGAAAAAAATTTGTTTTTTTCAGAACGTTGTCTCTATTTTTAATTGCTCATTCTCATAGAGAAAAAAATAAATGTTTCTCCTTTTTTTGAAGGAATTCAACCAAAAAAATCAAAAAAACTTTAATTTCCTAAATTTTTAATTTGAATATAGAAACAGGAAATTGAAGAAACATATCGGATGTTTTCTTGAAAACTATATTTTCATCCAAAAAAACAACGAACAAAAAAATCGAAAAATGACTTGGAATAATTGAAAAATCTCAAAATGTAAAAAGTGAAAATATCACTTTCAAAGTTTTTTTATTCACTTTTTTTCCTATCGAAACTTTTTTTACAGATTTTTTTCTTAAAAAAATCCTTTTTCCCGGGTTCGAATGAATTTTAATCAAAGAATAAAAAAATATAAATTCAACAAACGCTATAAAAAAATAAGAAATGTGAAATGAGCCGAAATTCGAGAAAAAAAGTGAAAAAAACTTCAACATAACTCTCCTAACTTTTATTAAAATTAATTCAAAAAAATTTTGCTTCTCTTTTTGACCGTTACAATATAAAAAAATATGGCTTACCGGTTTCGAGGGAACCCGAAAAAATTGTCCTTTGAAAAGCCTAATAAGTCGGATCCGCCGTTTGCTGATCCGGCCCCGTCTCAACCGGATCAGATGCGTTGATCCCGCGTAACGGACAAGTTTGATTTTGCGTCTCCAGCCGGCTTGGATCGTTGCGAACCGTGGAAGGCGCAGTTTTTCTGAAGTTTTGAATATTAGTTAAATTTTCTGAATTTCAGTTGATACTAATACTAATTAATTTTTATATATCTTGATATTCTTCACAAAAAAATCTCTATGAAACATTTTTTTCCTTTTTTTCAATATTTTGGCTTCAAACTGCTCGAATTATTTTATCCAGCTTTAATATAGTAAAAAAAAGGAATTATTTGAGTAAAAGTCTCGATAAAAGATGAAAATATGATGCCGTGTTCGGAATAATTTCCGCGAAACGCAAAATTATCTCTGACCCTCCAAAATTTCGTTATCTTTCTCCATCTCTGACGGCTATTTTTTTGATTTCTCGGAATCACTCCGAACACTGTATTTCACTTGCTTCGATTACATGAGTTTTCAGTTTTAATGATTATATTTTTTTATTTTCGCTCATCAAGTGTTTCGTTTGGTAGCCCAAAGCTAGTAGGATGATTGAATAAAGGGATTTTTTAATAGAAAGTTTTTTTTGAATTCATATCACTCTGAGGCTAAAAATTTTTTTTTGTTTTTTTATTATTCAGTTTTATTAATTTACTCCCATAGGAAAAAGTTGTGTTGTAGAAAAAAATATTCTAACTTGCAATCAAAAAAATTCGAAAAAAATTTTTGCATTTTTCAAAGATTTCAAACGATCCAGAGCTTCAAAAAAATATTGAATTTTGTGATAAGATGATGTCTTGCCCTAATTTAGAAAAGTAAAGTTCTCTTCCATTACACCAGACAGAACAGAATTCGCTAATGAAAAGAAAAACGAGATTTTCACCTGGTTCATTTAATTTCCTTGCACTGAAACAGGAAACGCCAAACAAACAAGGTTAAACTGCAAGAAAAAAAAAGAAAAACTTCCACAGACAGTGTTAATCCGATTATTCTATAAAAAGGCCGCTATTCGAGGTTTAGAGTGGAGAAAAAAAAGTCTATTGAAACATCAAAAAAGGCTTAATTCCTGGAATAATTTGATCAATGTAGCAATTTCCGACATGGTCTTGGTCATATCAATAAGCACAGATAGATAAAATTATGAAGGGATAAGGATTAAATGCGATGAAGAGTTTATGAAAATCTCATTGATCTAGTTCAAATACAATCCTCAAAAAATGAGTTTAAAAAAAAGAAGAGATGTTTATAAAGGCTAATTTTCTGGGTATAAAAAACCTTCTCTAGGAAACTTTCAAAACTATCAGTTCCGAAAAAAAAAACTATATAACAGCTTTTCAGGTTAATCAATCCAATCATTCTGCACTTCTATAAGACTTTGAACAAAAGTTCAGACCGTGGTTTATTTTAGCCTAAAATCGTTGAAACCCGTTGCTTTCTTTCGCTTTTTCAAACCGATTTTTGTACAAGTCCTAAAAAGACTTCATGAGGAAACTTGTTTTAAAATTCTTGGTGGGAAAAATAATACCAATCATCAAAATCTTAAAAAAGCTCCTCAGGGTAATAAGTTCAAGCCACCTGGGTTCCTCTCAAGAAAAAGGGGGACTGGGAACTCATTTTAGAATCAAACAATGAATCCTTCATTTTTTATTCTAGTCCTAGATGCAATCGATTAGGAGCTTAAAATCGTTCAAATTTTTCACTTTTTATGTTCTTTCTAATCAATTTCCGTAGACACCAAAACTCACTCAAATCGAAGAGCTTCCTGGGACAGGTGATGTTGTGGAGGTCGAACTTCGGTTTGGGCGGCTCGGGCTTCGGAGGGACGTAGACGGCCCTGCCGCGGCCCCGACCTCCACGACCGCCTCGGGCCGATTTGGCAGCGCCTCGGCCTGTCGGAGCTGGAGGAGGAGGTGGCGGCGGAGCTGGAGCAGGTGCAGCGTGGGCTCCACGACGAGATGTCGTCGCCCGTCCTCTTTTACTGAAAAAAATTACGTCTTTTTGAAATGAAAAAAATTATTGAAACACTATCAATTTATTCATTTCTTTTTTTTTCGAAAAATTCGCTGACCAGGACCAATTTTTTTAAGCCGAAATTAGCGAAAATGAACTTCTAATTTCATATTTCATCAAAAAAATTGCAAGCTCGCGTTCAAAAAAATTTACATTACGAAGAAAAAAAGAACTTTTTCCAAGGCATTATTTCCTTTTTTTGCTGAGCTTTTCAGCTTCAAAAAAACTTATTAAAAAAAGGAAATGTTTTTTTCAAATATGCTCCGGAGTGTCTTTAGCTTCTGGTAATCTATTTCTTTAAATTTTTTTAATTTCTAAACTAGTTTCTTCATTACTAATCGTTGCGGGTTTTAAGGTCTATTGAAGTATTTATCGCTCCAAGATTTTAAAATTCAAAAATCTTGATGACCAAAAAAAATGTAGCTACAAAAAAAGTTTGAAAAAAATTCCGGAAGCGGTATCTTTTAAAAACTATCATTTTTTTCGTTTTTTTACAACTTATTTCCCTTCTTCTACTTTTTCTGTTTGGTATAAAGATTAGTTTGGCGCGAGGAATTTCGCAGACAAACTTTTCTTAGATCAACAAAATTCAAAAAAATAAATAATAATAAAAAGATCAGAGAATTTTAAAAAAATTAAAAAAAGTCCAGTTTCATAACCCTAATAAAAAAACCTAATTATATTGAAAAATAATAATTATTATTATTAGTCATTCTAAGCGGTCAAATATCGTGCGAAAATTTTCTTCTTCTATAAAAAGGTCACACTTTTCCATTTCTAGCGAAAAATATTACGATCGCATTTGCATTTCAATACAAATTTCCGATAAAAACCCCGTTTTCGAAACCTTTTTGCAGGAGCGGGCGCCGGCGCCTTCTTATCATTTTTGACCGGTGGCGGGTTTTTTGGCTTTCGTCCAGGCCTCCCTCCGCCCCTTCCCTGAAAATTGATGATGATGAAAAAAGCCTAGAAAATAAGGAATGAAAAATTATGATTCAAAAAGATCCTATTTCTAAAAAGTTTTGAAATTTTGATCACCCAAAAAAACCCTCCAAAAGGCTAGTAATAATTTTAAAAATACTTGTGAAAAAAAAAATAATATCCCATATATTTTTTGCATTTCAATCTCTCGAATGTCATCGAAAAACTCCAGAACAAAAACGATAATTTAAAAAAATTTAACCAAAGAAAATCTTTTTTTCGTGAAGCTTGAAAACCAAGTAGATTTTTTTTTTCTGATTATCGATTTATGGTGACCTTTTTTTTTTTTACAAAAAAACACATAGTTTCGCAAAATTAAGTATGAAAAACAACCGATTTTTCCAAAATAAGACGTGCTTTTTTTTAAAACCCATAGAAAGTCAGTAAAAATGAAGTATTATACAAAAAATTATTCATTAGAGAATCTTCAGAAGAACACATCTGCAACCAAAAACCACTGGGAATGAAAAGGATTGCATCATTGGAACGGAAAAAAGAAAGAAGAGAACGGGAGAACCTTCGCGCCTCTCTTTGATGAATCATTGGCCATTGGCAGTTATTTTTTCGCCACGTCGAACCGCGTCGATGCAATACCCATAATACTTCCGAACAACTTCGAAACTAAAAATAGATCTTCGGTAAACAGAAGAAACGATACAAAAAAGGAAGAGACGATATTTCTGGAGAAAATGAAGGAAAAAGGCGAGAGTTCTGGACACAGAAAAGCTTCCTTTATGCCGTGGACCATATAATTTCGGCGATTTCAAAATTGACGCTTTATTAGTCTAAAACGACAGAATTAAAACTTCAAGAACCGTTATAAAAATTGGGTCCTACAACGAGATATGAAATTTTAAACTTTCTTTGAAAAAAATTCTTAAATAACTTCAAAATTTGGATTTTGCGTGTAGAAGCCGCAATCTCGTTGAAGCTGCCAAAATTCCAATTTTGCGTATTTCGGGAACTTACTTTGAAAGAATAACGTGTCGAACTCGAAATCGCGGAAATGTTTGAACACGGCATTATGTAATTTTTGGAAATTTTCGAAATGCGGAAAAATGGAAAATGAATGAAATTGTGTCTTGCAACAGTAATCAGGTTTCAACAAAAATAGATAAAAAAAGAAGGAATTTAGACGACTATAGTTTTTTCCACGCGAGACGGTCTCGTCTTAAAAGCCCCGAAGAAAAACATCTACCGTAAGCTTTTTTTGCCCTTTTACTTTACGAAAATGCTGAAAGACAGCGAAAAATAGAGGTCTTGAAGCGGGGTTCGGTCAAAATCGGTATACGGTATTTCTGCTTGTCAAAACGGGACAAAGCGGAGGCGGAATGGGTTATAGTAGCTTTTTCCAAAGATGACAGTGAAAAGGGTATATTTGGGTCGACAAAGCGAATCAATTTAATAAAAAGAGGGTAATCTTCTAAATTTTTGAATAACCCGGCCAGAAACATGGCCACGGTGTCCGAAGCAGGTTTGACTCAAAAAAAAAGTTGCCGTTTTCAAACGCGCGCCATCGACTCCTTTTGTAATATCGTTGGCGCGAAACCCCAAAACAAAAGTACATTTCTTTGGTTTCCCGTTTCCGAATTTGGTTTTTTGAAAAGCTCAAGACAAACAATTTGATGATTGAATTTTATGATGAAGCATATAGTTCTAGTGATCTTCAGAGATATGTTAGGATTAAACCGTAATCATCACATCATGAAATTTTGAATAAAAATCTGGAAAAACGACGAAAAAGATAATATAATCATATTGGGCGGAGATTCTGAGGAGAAATTCGAAACGGAAAACTGTAAAACCTTATTATTTTCGACCATTACTTAAAAAACATCAGAAAATGCCTGTGAATCATCAATATTCAGAAAAAAAAACAATTATTTTAACGCCTTCAATATCTATTGAAGTTTCATGTCATAACGTCGAGAAAATAACTAAAAAACGAGGAATTCTGAATTTTTCGGAACAAAAAGTTACAGTAACAAAGCAGGATACTCATAAAATATTTTTCAAAAATGTATATAAGACATGAAGAAATCAATTTAACTGCAATTAATTAATTAAAAAGTGGAAAAGATGTAAAACGCATCTCAATCTTTCAAGTCCCACAGGGTTTCGTGAGAAATAAATCAATCAAAACATAGAAAATTTGTCTGAGAATTCCCCCTCAATGACGCAAGGTACACACAAGAAATATCTCTACATTGATTCCGGTGAGAAAAATTTTAAATTGAAACAGCTTAGCTCAGAGGAGATTAAATATGGCTTGGAGGATATTATTTGAGATTGGATTTCGAAAAATCCAGACAAACCTTTTTTGGAAAAAATGTAACACCTTTCAGCAAGATAATCAGTTTCACAGCTTCTTATCGCTCAAATCACCTTATCATCGTATTTTATTTCTAATTTGCACCTTCCAAATTAAAAAAATTTTGTCTGATTTTTATACAATAAGAAGGAGGGAAAAAAAGGATCAGGCGAGAACTTTTCCAATAAAATGAATTATAGTTAGTATAATAATTATAATTTCAAAAAGATATGTCTGTTTCGGAGTTTGTTTATTAGCTAAAGTCGGTTTTTTTAAGCCTTATTTTTTTTGGTTTATATTTGCCATGAAAAATAATTAGAACATCATCTTGTTGAAGGAAAAAGAAGTAAATCAAAAAAATATTAGATTCAAAGAATACTGTTTTTTTATAATAACTAGGAAATTTTAATATTGATACGATGTATTTTTTTAATTGAATTTTCAAAACAGAAATCAAAAAAACAAATAATGTGAGAAAAAGACTATCAAAAACATAATCAGAGAAAAAAATTTCATGAAAAATTTCCGCCCAATATATTCATCACATTTATCTCACCGATCTGGTCACTATATTATCCATTTATCATATCCAAATTGTACAAGCCTACACTGAAAAAAACATCATTTAGTTCAGCAATAAGAAAAAGGCTTCCAATTTTTACAAAATCATCAATTTGCAAGCTCCTTGATTGTTTTTTTCTCAAGAAAAACTGAAAAAAATAATACCGCAAACATTAAATATTTATAGGTGATTAAGCTCAAACGCCGGAAAAAAATTGATTAAAAACTGAGAATCATAAAAAGAAGACGGATGAGAGAAGGCGGAAAAATGTTTTATTGAATCATTACAAGACTAGAAACCTTTGCAATCGTTCCTCTGCTTAACCTTGAAACGGCCATAAAATTGATTTTTAAATCTCAAATTTGAAAATGCTAGCCACGGTCAAAATGTTCCGAAATTGAGCGGGATTTCGAGGATCGGTGGGCAAAAATTAGGAGGGTAATTGGGGTTAAGTAGAGTGTAGTTTAATGTATTTTGAATGGAGAAAAAAAGAAAAGAATAAAGAAAGATGGGAGGGGACCGAAGCGTTAACAGAGCGGCGGCCGGTGCCAACCACTCTGCGTCTCTGACCTTCCTTTTCCTGCACCCCCCATTTCTTCCCAATAAACAGACAATATTCCCTTTGATGGAACGGCTGTCCTTTCACAAATTATCTCCTTCAATTCTTTAATTATTTTCTCCGGTTTTTTTCGAGAAAGAATCCAGTTCCGTGTTCTTTCATCAGAAAAAATTTCGATACGAAGCAAATTCGAACAAAAAGATATTTAAATTGTACTCATTTCTACAAATAACTTTTTCATACCCAAAATTATGCGGAAAGAATGTTGAATGATGGAAGAAATTGCGCTAGAAAATCCAATTTTTTTGAATTCTATCTAACTATACTGTAGTCGTGTCACGAAAAATTATGAAGTATTTTGTTACTCTCTTTTAAATACACACTCTCTCGCTAACTGTGCCAGGACCAAATTCCTGAAAATTTTATGTCTCTTTAAAATTTTGGACAAGCTGGTTTTTTTTTAAAGGTTTTTATACGTTAAACACGCAGTTGGAATTCCATAGATTTGCTTCCCATTGAAATATTTTCCTTTTCTAAAGCTAGATAATTAATATAAACTATTTTTCATTCAAAAAAATAAGACTTTTTATTCAAGAAAAAAGAAAAATTCGGTATTCTATTATGCAATTATATTCATTTTCATTCTCCAATCTTTGAAAAAGAAATAAAACCAAAGGGAGCATAATTTTTATGATTGGTTTATAATGATTATTAGGAAAAATATCTTAATACTATCAAAAAAATAAAAAAAGTTTAATCCTTTTTACTGAACTGAAAAAAACTCTCAAGAATAACTCAAAAGATTAAGATCAACTTTCAAATAAAGCAAACGCGAGAGAAAAAAGTAATTTCTTAAAGAAATCGAGAACTCTGAATATAATAATCTCAAGTTGAAAAAGAAAACTTCAAAACAAGGTTATACTTTACTCGGGAAAAAGAATGCAAGAAGTGGGCCACGGCCAGCGAACGGCCGATCGCAAAAATTCGTGGGAGACTTGAAAAAGATAAAAAAAAGGAAGGAGATAAGAAAATAAGCCTCAAAGCTCCTTATATCTTTTTGAACTTGAAAGAAAAGAATAATAAACGAAAACTTGATGAAAAGAGTTTTCGAATTCAGGAAACTGAAAAATTGTGACAAACCAAGTTTCAAAAGTTTCAAAACAATTGAAAAGCCAAAAAAAATTCTGGTTTTCACCCGAAATATGAAAAAATAACTTTCGTGTAAGTATGAAAAAGAGATTTTAATCTCTCAAACGTTCTTTGAATATCAAATAGCCACCTGCCGTCCTTCCGCATACATTTTTATGATGGAAAAGCGTCTGGGAGCGAAAGATGGCAGGGAAAACTCTCAAAGTACAAATATTCCAAAAAAAAGATTTCTGATCTTCATTTCAATTATGTTTCGGGAGAGAAATTGATGCTGCACTCGAAAAGCTGTTTGAATATTCACGGCGCTTTTCCTAGTAAATTATGTAGGCCATTCTATGAAATATTGTGGCGAAAAAACACGATTTCTCACTTTTGAAAAGTACTACCCATAGAGAAAACAAAGGAGAAAAACAAAAACTCGAATGAAAGGAACAAAGAAAAAAGAAGTATTATGCTCAAAGTTCGTTTCGAATCGGTCAGCGAGGGCATTCGAAAGTTTCAAAAAAGGTAAGAGAGGATTGCTCGAAACGAATCGATTTATTGTGAAGCAAAAAAAGAGAGAGGAGGAAGTTACGAGGATGGGAGGAGGACGCAAAGAGAGCGAGAAAACCAACCAAACGAACCTTTTTGCGGGGCCGCGGACAATGCAATTTGAAACCCTCCGGTCAAAAGACTTACAAAGAACAGCCCTTTAAAAAAATTTTCCGAAAATTTTTTCAAAAAATTCCTAAACTTCTGATAGAAAATGAGAACCTCATTGATAAAATTTTATCAAACAAGATCTAAACCGTGTTTAAAGTAATTTCGCGAAGCTCAAAATCATCGTCAGAGTGTGAAAAAGATGAAATAATTTTGGAGAGTCAGTGATGTTTTAAAATTTCGCAAAACACTTTGAACACTAGATACACAGAGAAAATTGTTTTTCAACAAAAAGCCTATTGTCATCAAAGTTTAAAATGAAAAAAAAAATTTCGCTCAGAAAGATTTCTTGAACTTTCTAATTGGAAAAATTATCAGGATGAAAAATTGAAAGAAAAGTCGTACAATGAAAAAACAATGCTTCCAAAAATGGGTGAGAGCGGAGACTAAACTCCCACGGCACTTTTGTCTTCGATTGAGCAACGGACAAACAATATTGTGTTTTCGAGGTATGAAACGACAGGTTGACCTCAATGATCGGCTCAACCAAATTCAATAGTCTATCTAAAAACTAAAAGATCAGTTGCAAATGAATCTAATTCGCATTCAATGAAAGTTCAATTCCTATTTCAAATATATTCTTTTTGAGGACTTTTCTATATGAAACTAAGCTTTAAATACCACTCCATCCGAAATTAATAATGTTAAGTATTTTCCAGAACACAATTATCTTTTCACAGAAAAAACAAAAAGAAAAAAACGCGATCAGAAAAAAGAGAAAAAAACTTTGACGGAACCATGCTCCAGTGCAATTTGAACGTCTCTAGTACGCCCTCGAGGGAAATTCTTGTTCTTTTCCCAAGATCGAGTACTATTTTTTGTTTATTTGTTTACTTTTAAATTTTATATGATTATAAACTCGTTCCTATTTCACAAGATTCGCATAAACTCGAGAAAAATTAGGTATCATATATCAGAGCTGAGATGCTTTAGTTTTTTAGCGATTCTTATTTTTTTTTAGCCTTAAAAGTTTAGTTTTTAGCAATTTCCTTTTTTTACGATTCGTTTTTTGTTTATCTTCATGTTTGAATTTTTAATTGAGATGAGTGGCAGTTACTCTTATATCTGGTCTTAGAAAAAACGTTAATTTTTGATCTGAAGCCTATAATTACGTATCTCGTTTAATTTATAATGTAATCGTTCCGTCTGTCTTTACATAACTTTACTCTCTCATATATCTTTGGATAGCTTTTTAGCGTTTTGAACTTTTTTTAAATTTGGTTACATAAGTTTTTTGCAGTTTTTCTTCGGCACCCGTTCGATGAAATTCAAAGGATTTTAGCATTTTTCAAACAAAAAAAAAAGTAAGATTTGTGTTTTCTATATATATTGTATTGCGCAGCATTTTTAGTCAAAATGGATGCTGCTAAGAAAAGAAACCTACGCGAGATTATGAAATGCTTGGACATTCCGCCGACTGAGGTTTTGTTTGAAAAGAAAAATCTTTTTTGATTTTAATGATTTTTTCAGGCTGTCAAGGAAAATGTAGCAGTTCCGCCCACTGCACCAGTAGCAAGGCTTCTGCCAAGAAGTCAGAATGTGCGGAAAAGAAAGGCGCAGTTTGATCGGAGTACGTTTTCTGTTAATTTCATTAACTTACCAGGGAACGTTTTTTAACCCCTGGTTGAAATTTTGCTGAAACTTTGCTGAAGTGTACTTTAGGTCCCCCTGATTGCAGATCAAGAAAGAAATTTCTCGCAATAGATCTTGTTTCCGAGTTATGGAGCTTCAAAGTGAGCAAAATACGCAATTTAGGCCAAAAAGGCGCTATCGGGCTTTTCAAGTGTCCTAAATCGAAAAAAAAAACGTTCCCTAGTGAGCTCTCAATAATTGAAAATTTTCGTTTTTCAGTGACAGAAGAAGCCTGCAAGAAAATGATAACAATGGAGAATGACATACCCAGAGCAAAGTTGCCAGATGAAACGGTTTGTCGACTCTTATGAATCATTTTTATCGAATTAATTAGAATTTTTTAAAGAATGGTGTGAAAAGTGGGTCTCCGCCTAGACGACCAGCCAACCCGACGATTGGAAAATCAACGGCCGATATCAAGGCTCAACAATCCAGAGCTTGTACGTTTCAAAATTTTCATATAAGGCCGTGTTCTAAGATTTCCGCATTCAGATCGTCTATGTCTCTCCAAATTTCAGTCATTTTTTTTTTTCGCTCACTGACGGCCATTTTGGATTTATCGGAATCACTTCGAACACGGCATAAAAATATAGTTTAGGAATTTATTCTTATTTCCAATCATTCTTGTTTCAAACTTTGAAAATGAAAATGGCATCGAACTTTTAATTTTGGTAGGAAGCTCAAAAGTCTTGTAGAAATATTGAAAATTTTTTATAGGTTCTTCAAATTTCTTCCGCTTGTAGATTTAATTTTTCATGGCTTGGAAAACCCTGTTTTTTTTTCGAAAAAAAGACATGAAAATTTTGATTTTGATTTTGATTTTTTTTTTTTTAACAAACTTGACCCATGGTTCAGGCGTCAAAAGAATCGCCGATATACTTATGGGTGTCCGCGAAAAATCGGACAAACCTCGAGAAATGAAAAGGTCAACGGCGCTTCCAGTAAAGTCTTCGGCGGAACCTCACATCAAGACGGAGCAGAACAGCGTCGCAAGGTAATTTTTATGTTTTATGACGAAAATAACGCAGAATAGTTGTTGACAATTTGTAAAAATAACGCAAATTACTTGAAATTTGAGGGTAAGCTTAATTCAATCAAACCAATCAAATCATTTATTTTGTTGTTTTAGTCTGATGTAATCGACTAGGCGGTGAACAAGAACTTTAAAAGCTATAGCGAACAACCGCCTTTGGCGAACTAGAAGTCCAAACGTGTAGTCGAAAGAGTTGAAAGCATGGTTTTACGGTCCTTCGCCTCGTCCTTCTGCGCGTAGTCCATCCAGTTGCGCCTTGACGAGCTCAGAATGTAGCAGATCTTGTGCTGGAGCCCGGAGACCGTGCTCTAGGTGGAAGCCTCAGAATGAGAGCGACCACTTCGAGTGAAGATTTTACACGGAATGATTGTGGAAGAAATTGATGTTAAATAAAATATAGTTATTGAAACTCAAAATTTTTTATTTTTTCAATAACTTGAGACCGTATCAAATAAATGAATCGATAGAACCGTTTTCAGTCCCAATTCGGAATGGTGAATAATGGCCGCTAAAAAAGAGAGGCTCAAAAGAGGCCTCAAAAAGGCAGCAAAGAGACTCCGTTTATCGAGCCTTCCATTTTTTGTAGGATTTTGAAGGCTCAAGAAATTGTAGAAAAAGGGAGAGACAGCAAAAATGGTGCATAAGGGCTGAAAAAATGGCGCAAAAATGCAACAAAAAAAGAGCCTTTGTCACCATGAAAGGAAGATTTCTAAGGATCCTCTTTCCATGCTTTCCGACTTTGCTTATGGTGTTACCGTGCTCTCTCCCCAGATTTATGTGCGTTTTTCTTCTGACTTTCCCAATTTCCAGCTCAATCGAAAGAGTAATCGCCAATGCGAGAGCGCCGCTTCCAACTCCGGGGACTGCGAAACCCGTCCTCCCGGTCAAAGAATCGATTCCCATCTCACCTGAAGTTTTGCGACTTCCTCCAAGTAACCGTGCTCCTGTGAGGCAGAACAACGCCACGTTCGCTCCTCAACTCAATGAGAAAATGCCCTTTTTCGAAGCAACCAGGACTTTTTACTTGGGCCTCGCCCAACTGTCCCTCCAAGCTCCTGGTAAACCAATTTTCGAAAAAATTGAGTTGATATAATTTTGCAGGCAAAGTCTCGAACACCAAGAAAGCCGCCCTGGAAAGAATCTCCAACGCCTTGCTCGGCATCAAAGAACGAGAATACCAAGGAGTGTTGTGAAACTGTTGATTTTTGATCTTTGTTACGCTTTTTCTTTGTTATTCTTAAGTCATTTTTTTCTTGTTTTGGCCTTTGTTCTACTTGTTGCTTACTTCCATAATCCGCCTCATATATCTCTATTGATCTGTTGAAAATGTCCAATCGTTCTGTTGAAGCTTCTTTGTTACGTTTTACCCCCGGACAAGGAAGGTAATTTACTTAGAACTGCGTAATTTTCGTAAAAAAAATATCGACTTTGGACACTATTTGATGTGTCTTGAAGTTCTTTTTTAAGAATTGAAGTTTCAAGACGCTTTTCATAATATTTTGAAAGGAAAAATTTAACTCAAAGGATTTTTTTTTCGCCAAAAAAGTGCTCTTCAAACTGTCTCAGTGCGTTTCTTAAAATTTCAAAGTTCTAAGTAAAGTTACCTTCCTTGCGAAATAGTTTAGCCCATGTAGAGACATCTTCTAGTTTATAGTTTATCCAGCTGTGATTCCCTTTTTTCTTACCTAGTGTTGCAGTGTCGTATTTACCCAGCTGGCCAGTTTTTAAAAGTTTTATATAGCTATACATATGAATAAACACCACTTCGATAATGATTCTATAAACTTGTCGAAATAAGTTTTGAAATGACTCAGCTTTGGAATACCTGATGCGTATGCCCAGTGAAAAGATGAGCTCTGCGGAGCTTTTTGGCTTTGAAAATTGAAAATATTTCCACTTTTTCATGCCGTGTTCAAAGTAATTTCCGCGAAATGCAAAATGGTCTCTGACCCTCCAAAATTTAGTTATCTTTCTCTTTCTGTGACGGCTATTTTGAATTTCGCGGAATCACTTTGAACACGGCATCAAATTTGCTGCAGTTTCAGCAGCATCTTCAATCATGTGCTTTTTTTGATAAGAATCCCGAGGAATGATAAGAAATTTCAAGGAAACGAAATTTTTTTTTCTCAAGATGTTTGGAAGTTTTTCTCGCCATGGAGCACAATTTTATTTGACGCGTTTTCCTTCTCACATTTTCGTGTGGAAAATTTTTTTTTTCTTGTTTCAAAAAATTCCGAATTTTTTTCAGGCGATATGAGTTTATGTGTATAGCTGACTGGCGAGGATGGCTTCGGAATTGATTTATTCTCACTTTCGAAAAAGCGATGGAAGTTTCATGTAGGTTGATGGATTGTCTGAAGATCCTCGCTGATAGAATTAACAAAGAGGACATTTTTTAAAGGCTGAAGAGCCTTTCCAGTATTATTTTAGGTAACTGAAAGATTCGGCGCTTCAAAAATTCAATTATTCAAAAAAAAAAAATCAGTTAATTTTTGAACTGACTCAGAAAAGGCGAGCCAACTGCTGATCGCAAAATTTTTTGGGAAGTTTTAGAATTTCTACGAGATTTTGATGGTCTCCGGAGTTTCTTAATAGTAATTGAAGAAAAAGGAGTTCTCTTGCAAAAATTGATGAGATAATGAGAGAAGAAATGTTGAAAGGTGATAGATAAGGCTTGGAAATACTCTGAAAATTTTTTCGCTTCGTTTTTTTTTTTATGAAAATGACTGCCTCACGCAAAAAGATCTGGGAGCAAAAAAAGGGCTTAAAAAGTATGTTGAACCCCTAATGACGTAATCAAAGAAATTCCCAAAGTTTAAAAATGAACGTCAGAGATTGAAAAATATACCTAACTTTCAGAGGGTCAGAGATATTTTCGAATTTTGCGGAATTTACTTTGAACACGCCATGAATTTTTTCAATTGGTGTTATAAAAAACCGAAAATCAACGCGATCCTTAAATAAACGTCCGCAAAAATTTTCAGTAAGAGTTTCCAAATGAAATCTCAGTTATTCAGAAATTACTCGCTCGAAGAAATCGAACAGGCCGACAAAAATGGGTCGATCGAATCCAGTGATTTGATTTATATCGAGTTTCCGGGACACAATGTTGTTTCTTATTCGATTGGTAATATCCTCGATTATTGATTTATATAATAATAAAGAAATTCAAGATGATCTCGTCAAGCTGAATGGGAAGGAAAGGCCTTTCCGATTTGCTGAAAACGTTGGTTTCTCTCTGAATTTTCAAAACTCGTGGTCGCACTTGGAATGGCTCGAAGTCGAATTGAAGCTTATCAGCCTGCTTTAACGCTTTTCGATGTTATCGCGCGCAAGCCGTTTTTGGTCGGACATGTTTCAAAGCGTTTTTGACGTTTTTAGCCATTCCACATGCTGTCATAGGCTTTCAAGTTACAATAGATTGATTATTATATCTTTTTAGAACTTTTATTTGAATAATATTTATAGGATCCTCGTTTCGAGATGAAAAATGACAGGGTTGTTCATGATTTCGCGTCTTCTTCTTCCACATCCGATGGTGGGTTTTTTTGCCGTTTTATAGGTAAATTTTAAGGAAAAAAATAGGGCATTTTTGTGCTTTTCGGATGCTCATTTTTGAATTTTTTTCAGCACTTTTTTTGAAGATATTCTAAAAAAATAGTTCAAAGCTTTTCTGTATTTTCTTTTTAGTTTTTTTAAGTTAAGTTCTTTAGTTTAGCGATAAATTTTTTTGGTAAATTTGTTCATTTTCCAGGAGATAATCAAAGTACGGCTTCTTCGTCACAACATACTGGAAAAACGAGATCTCGAAGACATAAGAGAAGGCGGATGAAAAATCAAATATCAGTCAACACGGAGGACGGTCCAGGTTGGCGGGGATCATCTGAAATATCGATATTTAGTTTCATTTCAGAACCCAGTAGAAAACCTCCCGAATCAGCTCGAAATTCTCCCGGCCTTCCGAAAGATTTACAGAAGGTTTTTGATAGAGTATTTTTCAAATTTTCCATTTTTCAATTTGCATTTTTTTTTCATCTAATTTCAGCTTTATTTATCATTTTCATCTTTCTTTTTGTGATTGATTTTTTTCCCAGCAATCTACCGATGTTTTTCTCCCCAAAACTGTGCCGCCTCTTCTGCCGGAATCGCAAAGTTTGTTTTATAATTTATTGAAAACAGCTTGGATTTGAGAAAATTTTAAACTATTTTGGCCTTTAGTAACTTTTGTAATTTGAACCTTTCTGTTAGAAGAAAAAGTCAGTTATTTCGAGATCTTTTCCAGGAACTTCGTCAAGGTCAAAATCCTGTTCCGAGCCGCCGAAATCGTCCCCCAGTCCTTCGAAAGACTTTATTGAGGTTTTTTATAAAATTATGATTTTTTTTTTGAATCCAAGGTTCAGTTTCAACACAAATAGTTTTTTTCATATTCTTAACCTTAAATTTATTCAGCAACCGTGCAATTCTTCCATTCAAAAGACGGTTAATCAGCCGATGCCCTCGAATAACAAGGTTGAACTAAAATTTTCAGGTTAGCTTGAAAATTTCCGAAATTTTCTTCATTGTAGAGTAGGCTCAAACAAATTCGGAATGGTGGATAATAGCCGCTGAAAGGAAGAGGCTCAAAAAAGGCCGAAAAAAGGCAGCAAAAAGAGACCCTTTATCGAGCCTTCCATCTTTTCTAGAATTTCAAAGGCTCAAGAAATGATGGAAAAGGGAGAAGCAGCAAAAATGATGCATAAGGGCTGAGAAAATGGCGCAAAAAGGCTGCAAAAAGAGAGCCTTCATCACCCTAAAAGGAACATTTCTTCGGAGCCTTTGTGAACCCTCGAAGGGTTCTTCCGACTTTGCCTATGCGATAAAAAACTCTTCATTATCAAATAAAACCCTCTTGGGAAGGTCTTTCCATTTTTTTCGACCAGGAATTTTCTGCAAAATTGTTCTTCTCTTTTTATTTTTTTAATGAAAGAAGTTGAAATTAGCATTTTGCAAATTTTCCGTTTTTCGAGAACCCTCGTCGGAGAGCCTCAAAATAGCCAATTTTGAAGGATTTTTGATGGTTTTTTTTTAAGATTTAAGGCATATTTTTTTGAAATATATATCAAATTGAACTGGTCAAGACTCTCCACATGATCATTTACTACATCAAAGATGTTATCGAATTTTAAAAATGCGAAAAAATCCAACTTCCTAGTCTAGTGCAAAATTTGCCATTTTGAAAAGTTTTTTTCAAACTTAAACTTTTAAAAAAATTTCTAAAATCACCTGAGATTTCAATTATCATTTTTTAGAACTTTCTTCAAGCTCCAAACCCTCCGAAATATCGAAATCATCGTCCGATTCATCAACTAATCTTTCGAAAGTTCCTGAAAAGGTAAAAAAAAAATATCAAGCCGTGTTCATAGTGATTCCGCAGCATTCAAATAACAGTCAGAGAGTGAGAAAGATAACTAAATTTTGGAGAGTCAAAGATAATTTGGAATTTCGCTGGACACGGCATTATAACGACCTCGTGAGCTTTCTATCCGAATCGCTCTGATTTAAACTTCAAACCTCAAAATTTCGCTCCAGTTTCTTCAAATTGACGGACTTAAAACAACTTGCGCAAGGAGCCATCGAAAAACGTTAGAGCGAGATGAAAAAGGTCGATTTGAGTATAATTTTAAACCATTTTTGAACCATGTGGGCCTTGATTTTCAAGTCAAAAGGACGTTATTCGAGTTTTTTTTTGATGCGAAATTATTTTATTCAGGAATCGTCCGGCTCCCATCTTCGCAAAACTGTACATCTACCGCTTTTTTCGAAAAACAACAAAGAATGGAAGTTATCGTGTCAGTTTCAACTTTTCGAACATTTTTATAGAGTATATCTCTAAAAGTTTCTAAAAAGGATTGTGTTCTAAAATTTGACCGTTCAGTTTTTCGAACGGTTATAACATGTCATTTTTCTGACCGTTCGTTTGACCGACCAGTTTCTGAAATTTACGAAACCGACCGACCATTCAAAGAGTTACATTTCGAACGGTCAAAAACCAACATGTCAGTCTGAAGTGACATGTTGAAATGTTGAAAGTCCAAACGTTCACCAATAATCATTTATTATGACATGTTGAAAAAATGTTGGTCGAATGGTCAATTTTCGAAACTATAATGGGAAGAAACCTTTCGAGCACCATTCTCATAGCCTCAGAGGACCTTTTTTAAACTTTTCTCATACATGGGATAAGTATGACTGACGACAGCCAAAACCCCCCTCCCCCTCATGTTCGAAGATGAACGATTTTTTTGTTAGTTGGTCGAATAACAGGTTGATGCCGGAGAAAAAAAGAGAAAAATCGCTTCTGCCAATTAAGTGAATGAAATGAATTTTTTTGATTTTTTTCATTATAAAAATCGGACTAGCGCCGTCCAGCGCGCACCCTCAAAATTTTTCTACGGTTTTTTGCCAAGTCCCCCTCCCCTTTTCAGGTCTTTTCTGGAAATTAGGTTTTTTTCATTCCCACCCCCGTTTTGCCTGAGCATATTTACAGAATAGTTTCAATGCCTAAAAAACTATAACTTTCATGCTTCTAACGAGGGAGTTTTGAAATACCAAGTTTATGAGTTTCAGAAAAAATTTAGTTTCGAGCTCTTTTTTTTAACACAGGAAGGCTTTTTTTCGAGTTATGCTTCGAAAATCATACTCATTTTCTTTAAATCAATTTTGAAAATTGCTTCTTTATTGACTTGCCTTTGATGTGTTGTATTTGATGTTACTCTAACACAATAAATTTTCAGATGAGATGGCGGAGATAGAACTGAAAAAAGTGACAAAGGACATAACAAGGAATCTAGCCAATTCATCAAATACTTTCCCGAGTGCGCAACAATTCAACAGCACCCTAACCCGGATTGTGAGCTTTTTTTCCGAAAAAAAACTGGAAATGCTCATTTTCTACATTTACAGGTTTATTGTGCCCATTGCAATGCGAATCTTCTCCGCCCAAACAACGTTTTGTCGCATTTGACCGATTTTAATCATTCCGCAAAGGTTCTTTCTGAATATTGAAAAAAATCCTATTTTTATTTTTTCTTCTTTCAGTCAAATGATTGAACTTTAACTTCAAAAAGTCATAACTCGAGTCAAAAAATTCAGAATCAGCTGTTCAGAGCATAGTACTGTGCAAATTTCGTGTAGAAAATATTTTTACAATATCTTATGAAAATTATTCCTTCCGACTGATTTAAAATCAGTTTAATAATGTTTTCATTTTCTAGGTTGGGTTTTTTTTTACTGATTCTCGAATCGTTTTTTTAATTGAGCTCGAAATTCGAAAAATAATCTTTCTAACATCATTGCTGGACTGTGACCAGTTTTAAAACTTTTACAAGCTCTTAAATTTTTTCTGAGTGACCGAAAATACTAAAAACAATTGAAGTCTTCCAAAGTGGTCCCTATGAAACTTACAGAAAAACAGCCACTATAGGACACAATAAAGTGCCCCCTTTGAGTGTAAAATCTAGGTGGTCCCTATAGGGCCTTAGAGTCTGACCCCTTAGCCCCTAAAGCTCAAGTTGACTTATAGGGGTCTTTTTTATTGAAAAAACTTATTTATTCAGTTTTTTTTTCCATGGTTACGCTTCTTCGCTTAGAATCAATAAGAATTATCGTCTAGCATGTCCCCTATAGGGGCCACTTTTGCAAGCGGTCTCTAGAGGGGTCACTCCAAGAACCCCTAAGGTTACCCCCCATAGGGACCACTCCTGGGTTCTTAAGAGCCGGACAAAGCGTTTTTTTCACTTGAATGTAAAAATTGGTTTTTCATTTTCAACTTTCTGTGAGAAAGTTTTGAAGAAAAAGTCAAATTTCAGAACTTTTTTTGAAAAATTGGCCCATTATATATGAGGCTCATTTATAATAAAGCACGAAATCAGATCGAAAATCTGATTTTAAAACGAATAGAGGGAATGCGCCGAATGGGTTATCAAAGAAATTTGCACACTAATATTTCATTTTTTTTTTTAGGAAAAAAAAGAAAAAATTCCGTTTTCCAGGTCCTGAAATATGGCGTCGGTGTAAGTGAAATATCGTTCTGGCAGAAAGTTGTTGACCAATTGATAGAAGATTCCAGTGAGTTTTGCTATCATTATGATCCTATTTCTCATGAGGTGTTAAAAATTATTTGAATAAAAATTTTCCTATCTAAGCATAATTTTTTTTCCGTATTTGATGTATGATCATAAGTCGAAAATTCATTTTACTCTGTTCCGATTTTAAATGTCAAATACAAGGACGTCATTCAAAAAGTCTCTCTGGACGACTTGCGCTTGGTTTATCGCGCCATTAGGGGCGGAGCTTGAGCGACGACTTGACATTCAACATTTGAACAGACTAGCTTTTTTGAAAAATTCAGGGAAAGTGAAATTTTTGCAGAAAAATGCCATATTCCATTTCTGACAAAGATTTCCGACAGCAGCGATTTTCTTCCACGTAAGTTCTCGATATTTGAGTTACCTGTGAAATTAATATTTCAGATGGCGAAAGACAGGGCCATCTGAACAGTTTGATGAAACATTTCAATAATTCTAGCAAGAATATGCTTGACCAACAAGGAGCGAAGCTGAATTTGGACCTTCTGGTTGGTTTTTCATTATAAGTATTTAGCCGATCCAGAAATAGCGTGGAAAAGGGGCGTGGCCTGTCTGCCCTCTCCACCGACCAAGCTCTATCTCCTTTTTTTTAATCGTGTCAGGACCCTTTATCTCTGTTATTGGAGCGATGATGGGTAGTAATCATGACTAAATTACCAGGAAAATAGTTTTTTTTTGTAGAAACGTGCACGACTTGAATGATAATGAGTCTACTATTTACAAATTTTCAGCCCAATACCTGCGGCTACTGTAAAGTGAACATAAACACGAAATCCTTCGCAGTTATTACCGACCACATTTTTTCGACAGATCATTTGCGCCATGTGAGTTCATTGAGAAGAGATTTTCAAGTTTTTTTGAACTTATGATCCTTTTTACGCGATTTGAAATTGTTACTTTTCTCTTCTCTCCGCGACCCTCTTATGTGAACGTGCTCTTTTCATGATTCTCTGACCTCGCTGGTGAGAGGTCAGAGAGACGCAGACACTCGAAAAATGTCAAGTCGCGGCGAACGGACTACAATTATTCAATTTGTTCTCGAATCTTTTAAATGCAGATACTCGAAGCCGGGTTCAGTGTTGCTGAGGTCGATTTTTGGATCAGTCGACTTGGATCGGCTAAAAAGAAGACTCAGCCGAAAGTTCTTCAAACTGTCTCGATGGAAGTAAAAAAGCTTCCCGAAGTCGTTCAACCAGCGAAAGTTGTTGCAAAAGTTATAGGTTCTAAATATTCTTCTTTCTGAACACTGGAAAATATTCCTGTTCAGCTCCGAAAAAGACTCCGCTCACTGAAAAACCTGAAGAAAACGCTTCTGATCTCATCGAAGGTGAGATTTGGTTCATTTTTCATGATTTTATTCTCGAATTTTAGAACTGAATCGTCTGAGATATCTTCTTGCGTTGAGGAAATTGAAATTGGCGGTCGATAGAAACGTTTTGGCCGAAAAAACTGTCAAAGGACAGGTAAATGACCAATTCGATCTCAAGAAGATTTTCACGGTTTTTTTTGTCCAAAGGGTCAATGTTTCTGACTAGGGAACTGCTCGAGCCTATATGGGCAGGCTTACTTGAAATCACCTTCTCTCAAGTTTTCCTAAATTAAAGTCTTCACTACCTCGGTTTGATTTTTTACCTTGTCAACACTACCTCTCTGAAGTTGAAACTTGATTTTATTCCTTAATTTTCAAAATGGTTGTAAGTCAAGTCCTCTTCCCGAAAGTTCTTTACTTTCCCACGTATGTAGGGGACGCGTGAAACTTCGTAACTTTGGTAGCTTATAGACCTGGGTAAGAACTATTGGAAACAGGAAAGATTATCGGCCAAACCACCTGAAGAAATCCGGTTTTATGTTTTTTAAAATGTTAGAAAATTGCGCCTCCCCGGAACCGAGTAGATTTCTAGTCAGAAACCGATTTTTAAGAGATTTCAATAGACCTTTCAAGAATTTCAAACTATAAACTATATAAACTATTTGTAACGCTTCATGGTCTCTGTCGGAAAATAGATTCTTATGATTCCCTTAGAAGAAAACGTTTCAGAACCAATGTAACATCTGCCCGAGTAAATGCAAGTCGGACCTTGGATTTTTGGATCACATCTTCACGGCTAGCCATTTTGAAAAAGTATTGGCTTGATATTTGGATGCGATGAAAGATGAGATTGTAGACGGCAAAGTTGGGCTTCACTCACAAGGACGTCGATTTCTGGAAGAATGCCATGATTTCCACTGGAATCATGCCTTCTTGGCACGAGGAGCTGAGCGAAATGCTGGCCCCACGGAAATTCGTCAACAAAATCACCTGTCAAAAAATGTTCCAGTGGTCGTTCAATCAGAAAAGTGTGTTTTTTTGAAAAATTTTTCACTCTTATGATTTTTTTTTTCTACTACTTTCACCTTTTTCTCTACTCCATGCCGTTTTCAAAAAATAACTTTTTAATGAAAAAACGCGCGAAAAAAAAAATTCCCAGTGAGTATTATTTCACTCCTATTTTTATCACTCGGAAAATAATTTTCTAGCGATTGTGTAGATAGAAATGTTCGTACTTCGGAGAAACTAAGTCTCAAACTGGATTATCTATCAAGGCTAGTCAACTTGGCGGTTGAGAACTTCGGAAAATTGGCTAGAAAAATGTTTGACGTATCTGGTAAAAATCCTGAAAGTCTCAACCTACCAAACTTCCTAGTTTTCTCGAGAAAGGACACCTAGAAGTCAATGAAAACCCTCAAAATTCATTAAAAGAGGCTATTTGAAAGCTTTGAGACCTTTTTCTCGAAAACTATGAAGTTTCCCAGGTTTAGACTTCCAGAGTATTCATCATCAAGAAGGTTTCTGTCAAATTTACAGGGGTTTCCCAACCACAAAGTAGAAAGACCTTCCTTGTGAAAAATCATTTTTCCTGCAGATTTCCGTTACGTACCTCTTCTCGACTATTCTGAACGCTCTTCTGATCAACATGTCCCTGGTAGAGTTTTTTTTCTCAAGTCAGATTTGACAGTCTTTTTAGCTGATCAAAGAAGATCCGTCCTCCAAAGTCTCCATGCGCATTACCGTTTTTCGCCGGCAAAGTACGAGGAAGAGCTTTTCAACAAGCATTACCATTTGGTTTGTTCAAATGTTCGAGAAATAGTTGAAAAATCATTTTCCAGTCGACTTGTTTCATGTGTGAGGACAAAGGCTGGATGACCAACGGAATGGATGTTCTTAAACATATTTTCACGGATAATCATGTCAAAAATGTTGGTTCATTATCGAAGATGGGCGCAGCTAAATTCTTGAATTGCGAGATTTTCCCGAACATCGCTGTTCATCATGCTTGAATGAGAACATTTATATTTAAAAATTTTTTTTAGAGACCAGGATTAACAAAAAAATATAAATAATTTTTTTAGCTGATTAATCATGGATTTACGATATCTGACGTTGATATTTGGAAGTCGTATATTGAGTACGAAGCCCCCGAAAAGGATGAAGAAGTTGCGCCGCCGACGAATTATGAAGAAGCTGTGAAAAAAATCGCCCAGGCTGTACAGGTTCTTTTTTTCAAGGTCTTCGAAATAGGGGAGTAGGATCTTTAAGCGACGCAGAAACTTGAGAATCTCCTGACCTTTTCTTGAGGGATTTTCGGTTTTCCTATCTTGTTCCTGTTGTGGAGTAAAGTCCGTTTTTGGTGGCTTGAAAAGGATTTTCTCTGCGCCCTCCTTCTCTCTCGGTGACACTCTCATATTGACGTGCTGTTTTCAGGTCTCTCTGACCTTGCCAGTGAGAGAACAGAGAGACGCAGACACTCGAAAACAGTCGACCGAAATATGATAATGAAAAAAATTCATCAATTAGTCAGAAAAAATTTGAAAAAAAAAGTTTTAGATGTTGTCCTTGATATGTTTTATCTACTCCAGAAACAAGATCGAAAAAAAAATCCCATAGAAACGGCTCGAAAATGGTTCTAAAATGTTTCGAAGTACTCCGTTTTGCAGAAACCTACGTCTCAAATAGTTTCTAGTGTATAACGTCAAAAATGACCAAAAGAAAATTTTGACGAATACAATGTCAATTTTCCAAAGTTTTAATTGAATGTTCATTGCAATCTCATTTTTTTTTAGAAAATTAATTCTATTGACCATGTGGGCAGTAAAATATGGGGTTTCAGATTATTTACCAATTTCTAGATCTCTTTATTGCGTGTCGAAGAGTGAATTTGAAAAAGTTACAGAGCTTCCTAGTTTTTGGATAAAAAAATAATTCAAAGCCGTTTGAATAAATTTTGAATTAGCGCCAAAAGCGCGTTTCGCAGCAAAGTTGCTCTATGGACAACAGGCGGGTCTTCGCTTTTTTCTTCGTTTCTCGTTTCCTACTCTTTATAACCCAACTAGTATTTATATAACTCGAAAAAACTTGTGATAATTCAATAATTTCTCTATAGTTTCGTTCGTCGGGCCCCTCTCAAAAGTTAACGCACGTTACACATTCGAATTTATAAAAATTAGCCATCCGAGAAGATTCTCTGCTGAATCAGGGAATAATTGAAGAGTTTTTTGTCGGTTCAAGAAACACTCGTTGATCAGGAAATACGCGTAGAACATCTCGTCCTTTTTGTAATATAGCCGATTCACGGCTAGTTTGGGATGCTAAGGGGCGTGGCCTGTTTGCGCCCTCCATCAACCAAACACTATCTGTTTTGATGTCATGTCAGGCCCCATTTTCCGATTTCTCAATCTAGTCATGAATCGGCTATCCCAGTAGAAAAGTTTTGAGCGTTCCGACGAACGGCTGCTTCTTCATGTAGAAACTGTACCGCGCCCAGCTTTTCTGTTCTTAACCATATTCAATTCACTTCAGAAGTGCAAAGTCGGTTGCAAAGCTGAACAAAAAGAAACAGAAACCGGGAAATCTGAGGATGCCGTTCCTCTTGGCCTGCTCTATGCCAATATCGACGAGAAACTGACTTTCGCTCAAAGGCAGAAGGTCTTGTCAGGTTTTCCGTCTCTTTTATTATAGGAAAAGTGGATTTTTCTTCAGAAGAACGAGTTGCGGAAGAGTTTGACAAGTTTCGAGCTATTCTCAAAAAAACCGATGCAAACTTGCTGATGAAAAATTATCGCTCTTTGAGAAAACGCGTTTGTTTTTTTATTATTGGTTCATTCTTTTTTTTATCTTTGGAAAAGATTCATGATTCAATATTTTATATTTCAGCATCACGAAAGAAGTTGTTTGTGGTGTAAAGTAAATTTGGGAGAAATTTGGGACCTTGTTTTGCATATTTTCAGCGAAGGCCATCAGAAAATGGTACGCTTTATGACTTTGAACACTTTTAATTCAAGTCTTCAGGCTGTCAAGTATTGCCAAATGACTATGAGTGACTTTGATGAGTGGAGAGAACGGCTGGAAAAATGCCAGAAAAGTTTTTTTTTTTTTTTGAAATCGTAGTGATAATTTCCGATTTACAGCCGATTCTGTGCCACCGAAACCGATAATACCTCCAGTAGTTGTGAAAAGACCTCCTGAACCGATAAAACCGAAAGAAATCGGGACGAAACCGAGAATCGCCGTAGTTGACGCTTTATATCGGCTTCCTCCTCTTCCACACTCACCGGAGTGGAAAAAGCTGAAGTTAGCTCTAAAGAGATTATATAAAAAGCCTTTTCGAGAAGAAATTTTGCAATGACCAAATTTTCTAAATAAAACAGATAATGATAACAAAATAAGGAAAATGTTACGTGTCGGTTTTTTAAAATTGATTATTTATTATCATTTTCGAGTAAATATGGATGGTATCTGATCTAAATTATCACTACAACATGAAAAGATGAACACATAATGGCTTGCCTTGTGAACTACCCAAAAAGTCCAAACTAGAGACTGTAAAAGACAGTCATTTCGCTTTTTCATTTAAAAAAGGAAAATTTTGAAAGTTTCCTTCGAAAGGGTTGATACAAAAAGTTGAAAATTTCCACTTAGAGTACTCAAAATTGGATGATATGATGAATAGAAAGACCTCTTTTCAAATTTTCAGCAGAGTCGAGTCAATTTACCCTCTGTACTACCCAATGCAGTTCAACAATCTTTCGCATATTTATTATGGTTTTTTTTCCTAGATATTTTGTATTCAAATTCTCAATTTTTCTCGCAGGATCCAACTTTGGAAGTCTGCATCCAGAACTCGCCTACGCAGACGACTATCTATTCCGAAATCTCACTATTAATTTGGTTTTTCACCCTAGTTTTTCGGAATATTGAATAAATTTAGAATTACTGTCGATATTGCGACGTTGACTTGAAAACAACGGCCTCCGTCGTTCGTCACGCTTTCACCGATGGACATTTCCAGAAGGTTTCCTCGATTAATCAAATACTTCTGTTGGAGTAACACAACAAGTTTTGTACCCTCTGCGGAATCTGTTTGAAGAATGTTGCAAAATTAATATTTTTTTTAGTCTTATCAGATTTCGAACGTCAAGTCATCGCCTAAGCTCCGTTTCTAACGGCGCCATGAGAGTTTTGACGTCATTCTATTTGACATTCGAAATATGAGAAAACTGTACAGAAGATGCTCTTCTGAATCATTGGATAATTGAAAAGTTTTTTTTCGGTTTGCAAAACCTCAAAAACAGCGCGTAGATCCTCACTTCCTCTTTTGTGATAGTAGTAGATGAGTTCTGAGCGTTCCGACGACGGATAAGAAAATATATTCAGCTACGAGAGAATGGTATCGAAGTACGGAACAACGACGTTAATTATTGGGTCGAACTGCGAAACAAGCTCAGATTTTCAAGGTTGGAGTTTTTTCTCTGCGGAATGAAAGAAACATCAACTGTTGAATAGACCTTATTAGATTCGCTTTAAAATTTAGCCATGGATTCAACTTTTTTCCTTGTAACTCAAAATCCTTTTTTCTTTGAAGCCCGTTCCAAGTACAAGGCTAATTTCTCAAAGAAAAGTCTTTCAAATATTTCATTTATTCATTTTTGAATCCCGAACTTTATTTTCTCTAATGGTCATGTCTTTTAATAATTTTCTTCGATGAAATGATGATTCATTGATTTTTTTCAGTTCGCTGCCAAAAACCGTTTTCCGGTTTCCCCTCTACGATCAGACCTGCGGCGTTCCTCGCGATGCGCCTTTTTGTTGGTTTTTTTGTTTTGAAAATATCACAGCGTTGCTCTTTCGATTTTTCAACCCAACCATAGAACATTTTCCGGAAACGTCAACGAGTTAATAAATCCATATTTACAGGAATTTCCCCATACACTCAATATGGGAAAGTCTTTCATCGACATCACCTTCATAAAAATTAAGACAGTATTTTTTCGAGAAAAACAATCTTTTGGCCAAGAAAAAAATTGTCTGTAAAAGAAATAGAGAGAGAGCTATTCGCCCATACTTCGGCTGGATCCCACTCCAAAAAACCAATAAAATTCATCATTTTTTGGGTCGTTTACAATGAAAACACATTCAAAAAATGTCCACGTATAAATTTCTCAATACAAATTCTTATTTCGACTATTATTTAATTATGGACTACGAAGTTTATGTTAATTTGGATGAAGTTTTCAGGTATGCCATCGAAAAAAGATTTGGAGATTCTGGGACAAACAGATGAAGCTACGTACAATGAAAGCAACAGATTGATTATCGTAAGTCTTTTTCCCTATCATTTTTTTCTTCTTGGGATACAGTTTTCCGAAAGAAATAACAAACGAGTGTCGATTTTCAGAAGATGTGCCGTTATTGCAATTGTCCCCTCGAAGTAGCTTCAGAGATCATTTTTCACGCCTTTTCTGATCTACATTTGAGAAAGGTTTGATTCGTACTCGAAATATTGAGAAGAAAATCAAGCCAGCAAAAAATTGTCCTGGAAAGATGATAGGCGACTCACGGAAAGTAACAAAAAACCTGGAAAAAAAAATTAAACGAAAAAAAAAGATGAAATTTTCAATTTTCCGATATTGTCCCGTGTAGCGCACTTCCAAAATCAATTTCTTGACATCTGTAATTTTTCTCCAGCTTGGCTATCTTTTCACGTTTTTCTTTCTATCTACCGGAAAAATAAGCTTATGACACTATTTTCCAGATCAAAGAAGCCGGAATCATCACTTGTAGTGCCGATTTCTCGTTCTGGACGTCGTCCCTTGGGAAATACAAAAAACAACCGAAGTAATATTATTTTTTCTGTTGAAAAAAGGAAAGAGAGAAAAAGAGATGCTCGAGTGGTGCCTAAAGCGGTAATTTATTCTTTTGTTTGAATTCACTAATAGTTTGTTGAGTTTTTCGCAAGTAGATTCTTCTTCTCATAGAGTTTATTCATAACTGAAACTCCTAGAGTGGCCATTTAGACAGGAACTTCGAGCGCTCCTAAGGTTGCCCCTTTAGGGACCACTTGGGCAAATAAAGGTTTTGAAGTTCGGGCAAAAAGGCTCTCGAGTTTTACGGTTAGAAAAAAAATTAACTTTATCGTTTTTTGAATGATATGAATCCACGGTTTAAAAAATATCAAAGAAAATGAAATTATTTTCTGACTAGTGAGAGAAATTTCAAAACTGCATCATTAGAAAAAATACGTTGATTTTCGATGGTACGACAAAATATCAAGTCCGCAAATCTTGAGGACCGTAATCTTTGTGTACGCAGATCTAAAGTCCTATAATCTTGGAAAGCAAAAATCAACGCTTTTGCGAATAGATTTTATCAGTATTTTATTCGATGATCCAACCAAGAGAATTTAAATAGATAAAGTGCAATAAAGAAGACTAAAAAGAAAGATTCTTGCTTTCCAAGATTATGGGACTTTAGATCTGCGTACACAAGATTATGGTCCTCAAGATTTGCGGACTTGAGATTTTGTCGTACCATCTGATTTTCTGAAGCTTATTTTTAAAAAAATCAAAAAAGTTTCATTTTCAGCTCGTGCAATCTGATGTGATCGCTCTGCATTTAAATGAAACTATGCGTTTTCTTGTTAATTACCTTTCAGCATTAGTTAACCATTGATCTCCATTTTGAATTGTCTTACTAATCCCGTTTTGAAATTTGTGTATCGGGATGTTTTCTTCAAGCTTTAATCTATCGAATTTTGTAAATAGACTGATAAATGATTGATATTTTTCGGAATCTTTGTCATTAACTGGAAACATTATTTCAGTTACTTTGTTTATTTATGACTCAGAAGAAGAATTTTCGAAAGAATTTCGATCAATTTTATGCTTCCCTTCCTTAAATGGGATGCTGAGATAAGAACGAATAGACAGAAAATCCTTATCAGTTGACATTAAAAACATTGATTACTTTTTCTTGCTCAACATCGTTGAGATTCGTTCTTTTTTATCGGTTGAAATTATTTTCAAAAGACTCGTTCAAGTTTGAATTATGTTCATCAAAAATTTCATCATTATCATTATCAAAGAAGCATCAAAGTTTTCTGTGATTTCAATATGATAGCCTTCGAATTTGGACTTGCTTTTTCAATCTACAGGGGACAACAAAAGAATGGCGTCTGTAGTTTTTCACTTTCATTGGGAAAGTCCAAACGGCATCGAAAAGAAAATATTAGAGCTTATTTTTGAGCTCCTTAAAAAGGTGTCAAAAATTTTTCTAAAACTTTTTCCATCCCTTTTTTCACGGATTTTTTTCAAAGGTTTTTTTAAGGCCCTTCTTGACTTTGCCCGTTTCCTATGAGATTCGAGAAATTGTATTTAACTCAAAATCATTAAAAATTTTCTTTTCAGCTCGTGCAATCTGATGTGATCGATCTGCATTGACAAAGAAATATTCGTTTTGCTATATGAACTAATTAAAAAAAAAACTCACTTATCATTCATTATTTTCCCTAATTTGTACATAGAACTGAAAAAAACACAGAAAAAAATTCCATTTTTTTCATTCAATAACAAGAGCGTACTATACTTTATCAATAAAATAAATCTTTTTAAAAAGTCTCCTATTTATTTTATTATGCCTAATCTCATCAAAAATTCCTCTTTTTCCTTTTGGTTTTGCCATTTTCCGGTCCTGAATCTGCATTTCTTGGTGAATGAATCTGATTCAACTGGTTCTTCAGAAATTAAATTTTGAATCATCGATTTCATCTCGATAAAACGGGAAAAAATTCAACAATCCTTATCAGTCGGCGGCAAAAATGTTGCAATTGATCGCATATTTCGTTCTGAACGTCATTGGATTTCTATTTTTTCTCTCCGTTTGGAGAATATTGCCGAAGGTTTCTTTTTTAGTTGAAGTCACTCTGAAAATATTAATTACCAGCCCAAACCGTTGGATTATACAACGATTCCCGGCCTGAAACTCGATGTCGCCGAAGCTGAAGAGATTCCGCCGATGGTCGTTGGACCAGGAGAAGAGGTCGATTATGAATTTCGGGGTCATTGGGACAAAATTAAAAAGTTTTTCAACTGTTTCGAATCGCTATGAAAGTTCATTTTGAAGGTTTCCTTCATTGAGACTTTTCTTGGAGTACCTTGAATTGAAATTCGGGCCTCTGAACTCATTTTACTGGTCGAATCGGTTCGTTGTCAGCGTTTGCAACCTTGAATTGGTTCAGGAACTTCGTAAACATGAGAAGCACTTGTGTGAGTTGAGAATAAAAAGGGAAAAAAAAATTTTTTTTTCTCAATTTGATGGCATTTTTCTAGTTCGAAGAAGCTGAATTGTGCGATTTATTGAAAAATCGATTGAAAAAAAAAAAACTTGGACATTTACGAGCATTTCAAGTGATCCCGTTAGCGGTGTCAGCACTATTTTGCTTTACCGAGGTCCATTTTTAGGGACGCCAGAGTGGTCCCTATAAGGGGGGAGGTAAAAACAGCCCTATAGAGGTCTCAAAAGTGCTCCCTATAGTGAAAATTTGGGCGGGTTAGGATCTAACCTTCAAGCCTCTTAATTTCAAGTGGCCTCTATAAAGATCTTTTAATTTTTTGTGAACTTGCTCCCCTATAGGGATTATTTTTGCAAGCTTTAGTGACCCCTATAGGGGAGGTATAGTGGTCCCTTGATTCAAATCTTTAAAGCCCTCTAGGAACCACTCTGGCGATCCTAAGGTGGTAGTATATTCTATGTCGAAATTTTAAAAGGAGCATACTTTCATGCGATATGCCTTAAAATTACAGGACACTTTTCAAAAAAAAAAATTCATCCTGTGTTATTTTGAGTCAGAGCAAAACCGTTGTTATTATTAACACAACAGCATTTTCTGCCTCGCTGAATGGTTTTTTTGTAATTGAGAAGCTTTTCTTTAAACAAAAAGATTATTATTTCAAGAATTTATTATTGTTTTGTTTATATAAATTTTTCAGTAGCCATTTCACCATTAGCCTTTTGCCAGTTATTTGCATGCCGATCCAGAAATATGTACTGCGGCCCGTTATAACGACAATATCGATTTGAATTCTCCAGCTATTCCAAATGTTGAAAAAAATTTCACGCGATGAAAATTTTTTTCAATTTTCAGTTCGACGAAAAGGATCAGGATTCGTTGTTTTTTTGACTTTTAAAAAGCTCTTTTGATCGAGAAAAATGTCAAAAAAAGAGCAATTTATTAACAGGTATTTCAAAAATAAAATCATTCTTTTTTTCAGATTTTTTTATTCTAGGAATTTCGATGATTATGAAATAAAACTCTCTCGGCCACTTTTCGTCGTTTTCGACATTGAAATTGAACTCGATGCTCATCCCATCCCCAAATTTGTGAGTTTTTCCAAGAAAAGAAAAAAAGAAATCACATATTTATAACTATCACACTGACTTGAGGAAAAGAGACTAGTTTGAAACATAACAACTTGAAAACTGAAACAAAAGCTGCTTTTCAGATCCCCATCGTTTTCAACATGAAATCGATCACAGCGAATTGGAAGCAACGGCAATTCGTTGAAAACTTCCAGAAGAACTTTTCCTGGATCCCAGATTTTGACAATATCGAGGCGATAATATTCAACTAACGGAAAGAATAAAATTTGAAGATCAAACACAACAATTTGATTGAGCTTTTCCTTTTCTATAGCTGCCAAAACGATGAAAAATAGAAAATGAGAACTACGTAGAAATCTGACAAAATTGAATAAACTAGGAAAGTAAATACAGAATGTGTACAAGAATCGGGTGGTTCAAGGATTCGTGAACGGCAAAGTCACCACTTTTCCCACGGTTCTCTTGAAAAAAAGAGCGTTTTTTTGCTTCAAATTTGTTTTGAGACAAACCTTGAATTGATTCGAATTCGAAGAAAGACCTTCGACCCACGTGAGTAAAGTTCGAGTTATTGTCGCGTAAGAGGAAAAATCAACCTATATTTTTTTTCTTATTTCAAAAGGATGTAGAAAAAAAAATACCTGGTCAACAAACGTGCTGAAGCAATCGTCCAGTAACGTTTGAAGCTGGAATTTTTCGATTTTTCATTTTCCTTTTGCTTATGGTCGCATTTGGAATGGTCCAACTACGGCTTTTTTTTTAGCGCGCCCGACCAGAAACGGTTTACGTGCGATGGAATAAAAATCATTAAAATAACTTATGAATATCAAGTCATCGTATACTTGATTTCTAGCTTGAGAAAATTTAAAAAAAAAACGAAGAAACGATTTTCGTAAGGATACATAGCATAAATTTTGGAGACATAGACGTTGCTGGAAACTTTTTTTGCTTAAAGCCGCTTTCACAACTTAGATGCGAGTCTGAGCCAAATGCCACCAAGATATAAAAACGGACCATTTTGGCTTGAATGGAACTGGAACCATTAGAAGGCACCGCCGAAGCCATTTGTTCGTACTGCGCCGCGATCATTTCCAGAGCTGCTGCCTGAAATTGAGAATAATTAGAAACAACTTCGATGCTGCTCAAAGTTTGATTATATCAATGAAAACCTTGGCATTCAACTGCTGTAACTCCTTCTCACTGCTGTCCACGTCGTTTGATAATTGACTCATGAAATCACAAGCTCTGAAAAAATGATTATGTCATTTTTTTTCATAAAAGTTTGAGCTCACCTGAATAGAATAGCGGCATTTGTAGTTTTGCACCCCAACGAAGTCGTCGTTTGAGGGATCAAATCTTTCAATTCATTATACCCGCTCTGAATTCGCAATTGTTGGAGTTATAATCGATCTTTCGATCTCACATTGATCGCCTCGCGTCGCTGCCGTTCACACCGAAGGTGCGTCTGCTTCTTGCGATCATTCGAATAGGAACTGGCCGAGCAAGTTTCAGAAGCCGACGGCGACATTTCGTTCATTTCATCGTGTGCAGTGGAATTCCGCCGTCCCATACTACAAAATACCAGAGAATAAAAACAATCTGAAACGGTTTATTGGATTGAGGGCGACGAAAATTCGTGATAAAGATCAATGCGCCCCAAGGCACGTGAGAGTTTATTGTTTGATAGATTCCCAGACACTGAGAGAATCGCGAACGAAAGAACTGGCGCGATTTGTCACGTGACGCTCACCCTTTCACAATTGAACTTTGAAAATAAAAAGTTTGTCGGCGTGTAAAAACTTGTTTGGATCAGTCTAGGTAAAAAAAAAACTTTTTTTCAACCAGGATTGAACGGGATAAGTTCTTCGAAGGTTAGTTTCGGCTATCATTTTTTGTTAAAATAGTATATAAAAATTACTGCAAATTAAGTGGATAAACGAACAAAACTTGATGAAAAAATAAAATAAAAAGTAAAATAGGAAAAAGAAATAATATAAAAAATATGCCGTTTGTCTTGCGCTCCACTGTAACTGCCAATTGCGGCACGGAATCTCCGCGTCCCAAATTCATGTGGTCCGCTTCATTTTTTAATCCCTTTTTGTTTCAACTTTCTTTTAAGTAATATTACTTCCTAATCATGGCTATAGTTTTGTCGATAGTGATGTGGATGTTATTATGTTTGCGGGAAAGTATCGTTGTGAATATTTTCGGCTCATTCTCTCTAGCCACTTCATTTGTGATTATTGTAATGTTTAACCTTAATTACCGCTTAAAAAATCTGTATCTAACCTAATCCTGTGGGAAGTCAGTGGCAAAAGCTGGGTTATTTCAATTCATCTTTATGTCAAGTTTTTATTTTTGAAGAGAGTGACGTAATCGTGATCGCTTATTGCTCTTTTCGATTAAAGAGGTTTGATATCGTCATTTCTCTACATCTTTTCTTTAGATTGTTGTTTCAGAAAGGCGACTTCAAATTCAAAGTATTTCAGTTGCTCCAAAGATTGTCATATCCGAAAAAAAAAGAAAGATGTGAATTTGAAGTTTCTATAACTTAATAACTTTATCGAAAAATCTGATCTCAAACAATAGTGGAAAATATATTCCACTGGTTTTTGTGTGTGTGTGTTTTTCAAATGCTTTTCACGCTTCCTGTCGAATAAAAAGGCGTCTAAATACAATTTTTCTAATAAATAATTTTCAAGTTTTTTAGTGTTCATCACGTCCAACATGGCGAGCATTGCTTTTAGTCGGCTACAACGGGAGTGCAAAGAGGTTAATTCGCAACTTTGAATTCAAAAATAACTTTTCGGTTCAGGTTGTGACAAATTCTGAAATCGCAGAGACGGGAATAATGATTGAGATATTGAATGAGAGGCTAACAGATATTAAGGTAATAATTTCAAAGCGTGAATGGATATAAAAAAAAATTTCAGGGACAAATTAGAGGGCCTCCGGACACGCCCTACGAGGGCGGCCTTTTCGATCTCGATATTCACATTCCTGAAAACTATCCATTCACACCGCCAAAAGTGAGTTTTAGTTTCATTTTTATTTTTATAGATTGATTTTGAAGATAAAATTCACGACGAAAATATGGCATCCAAATGTTAGTTCACAAACCGGCACCATATGTCTGGATATACTCAAAGATCAATGGTAGGTTTCTATGAAGTCAATTCTTCTCGGTTTGAAAGACGACAGGGGTAGACTGGAAATAGTGATGCGTTGTGTGTGCGCAGAAAAGTTTCTGTACTTACTTTTTCTCCAATATTGCTTTACAACCGACCCATTTCGTCTTTCAAGTCTCGAAAAATTGGCTTCATGGTAAAAAGTTTCAATAGATTTTTGTTTGAAGGGCAGCCTCCCTGACACTGAGAACGGTTCTCCTCTCGATTCAAGCTTTGATGTGCACTCCTGAGCCGAAAGATCCTCAAGACGCGGTCGTCGCTCGCCAGTACATAGATAGTCATACGCTCTTCAAGGTATGAGAAAATTATATTTCTTAGGTTGCGTTTTTGTTCTTTATTGAGAATTTTTATAAAGGCCTGAGTCAGAGGGAAGAAAACTTAGAACTTCAAAGCGTTCAAAATAGTAAAAAAATACATATTCTTTCCACCCGTTTCTAACGCTCGAGCGGCCCAAAGCCGATGAGACAATGTCCTATCCTGATATCAGTGATAATTAGCGGACTGGCTTCGCTGACATTTACGTGTGACGGCTGCGGATTATAAAGCCGTGGTTTTATTTTCCACTAGCTACATTTCTCAAACCCTTTGGTCGCGGCGGGGATCGAACTTGACCCTTTTGACCCTAGAGATGCAGAAAACCTGTTGCGTTATATGTAATAGGAATTTTGAAGTTTGATTTTCGACTAGTGTGAAGAAGTTATGTAAAAGCCGAAAAAGTCAAATGTTGCTGAATAATTATTATCTTTCTTGCCAGTTTCAAAATTTGAAATAAAAATAAACGATATTTCAAATGAAAGCATTATTTTTCAACGTTTTTCGAGAAATTTGCTGGCTGAATAACTGATTTTTGAATTACCTAAAATAATTTCTTCTGAAGAGTTTTTATGAATTTCTTCTATGCTCCTTTAAGTCAACAATTTTTAGACTAACTGTACAAAAAAACTTCTGTGCGGTTTGTGGAAGCACATCGAGGAGCCTTGAGAAGATATTTGAAAAATTAGCTCAAAAGAGATTTTACCAATTTTTTTGCTTTGTGCGCTTTTTTTCCATTTTTTTGAGTCCTTCCTTGTATTCTTTTTTTCAGGAAATGTTAAAAAGTATTTGAAAGTTTGTGATGAATTTGAATATTTCGTGAAAAAAACGAATTTGAACTGTCAAGTATTCCATTTTCGATGAAATAAAAAGTTAGTGCGAATGTTCATTTTTGGAATGAAAGTGAAAAATTGAAGTGACTTTCTACATCTAATGCTATTCAAGCTTATTTTTAAATAGAAACACCAAATTTCTGACTCTTTTATTTTTGATTCTTTTTATTCGGTTCAGTTTCGTAGTCCATAATTTCTCGATATTTTACCGTTTCAAAATATGAAAATTTTCAGTCGACGGCTGAGTACTGGACTGTCAAGTTCGCGAAAGGAAAGGGACCCGAAAACGCCGATTACAAAAGCAAAGTCGACAAAATCAGGGATATGGGAATCCGCGAGGTTTTTTTCGCCTTTTATGCCATACTGAGTCATTTTATTTGCTCAGGAAGAAGCGATCGCCGTTCTGAGCTGCAATAACTGGGACCTTTCCAAGGCCACGGAATACATCTTCAACTAGTTCATCTCCTACAACCTCCTTCTCGCAAAAAAAAGAATCAACTCTATTTAGTTCATTTCTTTTTTCGTGATTTTCGTTTTGCTTCGTTCTATGTCCGATTCTGATTGTTTATGCTTTTGGTATGTTACTCCCTTGAATCTACTGGTAATTCCCCCCAATCCTTAGCGTTTACCCTACTTTTTATGTACCAAGGTAGTTTCTATGACCCTTTTGGAGATAATCATTAAGTTCACCGTATGTTTGTATCATTTTTCCCGCCCTTAATGGGCTTTTCGTCTGTCTTATTGATTGCGTTGCTATTGTGAAATGAAAACTTGATGATTTTGAGGTTTATATGATTGCGGAGCCGTTTGAAAACGAACTGAAGTCTTTCTGACAGTCTAATTTCGCATTAAAAAAAAATTTTTTAGAAGGTTTCCACAATGCCAGAGCCACAAGTTAATTCGAATAAGACGAAGGTTTTTTGAATTTTCGAGTTTGAAGAAGGTTTTTTCGTTTTCCAGTCCGACACGACGCAGGAAAAGAAGTTGAAGCCGTGCTGCGCGTGTCCCGAAACGAAAAGGGTGATTTTGAGGGAAATATTACTTGAGAACCCTTTTTTATAGTTTATTATTGATTTGATTGAAATTGAAAGAATAAATGAGTCTTTTTACAAAGGCAAAGTCGGAAGGACCCTCCGAGGGTCCATAAAGGCTTCATAGATTGTTCCTTTTAGGGTAATGAAGGCTCCATTTTTGCTGCCTTTACGCGCCATTTCATCGGCTCTTTTGCACCATGTTTGCTGCCTCTACCTTTTTCCACCCTTTCTTAAGCCTTTCAAACCCAGAAAAAAAAAATAAAAGGCTCAATAAAGGGTCTCTTTTTGCTGCCTTTCTGCGACCTTTTTTGAGCCTCTCCCTTTAGCGGTCGTTATCCACCATTCCGACTTTGCTCGTGTTTGTACTTTTTTTTTCTCCGAAATTTTCGAAAGGGATTTTTTTTAGCTTTTAAAATTGCTTTTTAGTGTATCTTGTGTTAATAGAGGCAGGATAACCTTCAATTTTGTCTACTTCAAAATAGTTTTGTTTTCTAGATTCGAGACGCTTGTATTATGGAAAATGGAGAGGAGAACTGCGGAAAATTGATCGAAGCCCACAAACAGTGCATGAGGGACGCCGGTTTCAATGTCTGAAACTTTAAAAGCAAATTAGATTTAGCTTCAATTGTTTGAATTTTTTGTTTTTTTTTTGTTTGAAAAACAGCCTTTGTTACTTCGTTTGTGTCTTAGTTTGTTAGCTCATAGCTTTAACCTTAATAAAATCGGTTTTTTTTTCGTGTTTCAGAAGGAAAGGTGTATAATCACTGTGCTTAATATTGTATCTTTTTCTTGAATTTATATATCTTTTCCTGATTCGAGTTCAGATGGTGAATATAGCTGAACGAGGTCAGACCTTGCACAAAGATATCAATCAACTTTATTCGAAGAGTCGGCAGAAAATTGATGAAGCTTTAGGGTGGGCCAAGAATCTATTCGGAGATATATCAAATTTAGGTCAAAAAAAAAGAAAGACAGGAAAATAGAAAATTTTTTTTTGAGAACCTTCAGAAGAAGCTGAAAAGGTTCCGCAGAAGCTCCAAAAATGATGTGAAAAGCTTCTTTTTCATAGCCTCAGAGGATTCTTTCTGAATCTTAGGGAACCTTTTTAGTTGCTTTTTGACATATTTTTACTGAAGGATGCGAGAAATAGCAAAAAAATATCTGTTGAGTACCCTTAAAAAGTCGCATAGGCAAAGTCGGAAAGACCCTTCACGGGCCCTTTGAGCGTCTGTTTCCATTAATTGTTCCTAAACGGGTGGCAAAGGTTTCCTTTTTACTGCCTTTTTGCGTCCTTTCATCGGCTTTCATCCACCCTTTTTGGACCCTTTGGAGAAATACAATTTTTTTTTAAAATTAGGAATAATTTTTACAAGGGACTGTGTATGAACCAAAATATGCAACAGTAATGAAATCGGAAATTATCAATAGAAGAAAATTTCAGGACCCTTTTGCACCCTCACTCTTTCTTCACCCTTTTTGCGGCCTCTCCCTTTTTTCGCTCTTTTATGACCCTTTTTAACCCACCAAAAATGAAAGGCTCAATAAAGGCCATAAAAAGGGAACCTTTTAGCGGCCATTTTGCAGTCACTCCCTTTTTGCACCCGTTTTCCGCACTTCCGACTTTGGCAGTGCGTTCGAAAAAGTTTTCGAGGAGCTTTTCCGTTTTTATTGAAAATTTGTCAAGAAAATAATTTCCATGAGCGATTCCTTGCCAGGAAATTTCAGATTTTCAAGTATTTGTGATAATTTTCTGAAAAGCTTTCGAGGACAGAAGTGTGTTAGTAAAACCCCGAAAAAATTTTTTTTCCTGTCAAGTTTATGTCCGGTATTTTTGAAGGTTAAACGCCAATGGAATAATTGAACATGCAGCCCAAGTCAAGGAAATCCAGACGATCCTCAGGGAAATGCAGGCGAAAATTAATTCTCTACGAGAATTGGCCGCCAGGGTTGGTTTTAGAAGAATATTTTTGTTTTGAATTCTTGAATAAACTTTAAATTTTGAAAGAAATTTGCTTTCTTTAAATTTTTTTTTTTGTTGAAATGCACTTTTCCATATTTAGAGTAGAAAATATTTTCCATTCCTAAAAAAAAGTTGTTTTGGAATAACTACTTTTTTAAAAATTGAGAGAAGATTGTATCACCATTTTTTGAGTTTAATAGTTTAGCTTGAGAATGGTTTCTCGGTTTCCAGGCGGATAAAAACGAGGTGCAAACAGAAATATTGGTTAACGTCGGCGCCCACGAAAAGCAGCTTGCCAAGTTGCAAAGAGAACTTCGGGACAGTTCCATTGAAGTTCGGAAGGAAATTGGTTCGATTTTCATCTCACAAAAACCGAAATGAATTGATTTTTTTAGCCGCCGAAGAACGAAAAGCACTGCTTCAAGGAATGTCAACGGGAAAGAAATCAATAAATCTTGAATCCACGGGTCCTCGACAGGTTTCATTTTTCAGGAAGAAAATTAAAATTTTGAGAGTATAAATTAGTTGGGCTTTAAACGTGTATATAGTTCCATAAAATCAAAAACACCTGAAAAGAAATATTTTTGAGACATTCTGCAAGTTAATGCCGAGTTCAAAGTGATCCCACAAATTTTTGAAACGCAGTCAGAGAAGAAAAAAGATAAGTTATTTCTGGAGAGTCAGAAATAATTTCGAACTTTGCGGAATTTAATTTGCACGCCGCGTAAAATGAAACAGGAACTTGAATGGAAAATATTGAATTTTCTTAATTTCTTTTTCTGGTTATTTACTTAAAAAAATTTGGGAGCGGATTAATTTTTTCCAGAGATCGACAAGAATGAGTGAATTGGTGACGAGAATGGCCGAAAGAGTGACGCAAAGCGAAAATACAATGGGAAATCTCGTCCATTCCTCTTCGGTTCTGTCTCAGACACAGACCGAGTACGAAAATCAGGCCGGACATATTCGGGTTCGTCTTTCCTTGACATTTTTCATTCTTCGCTCATGTTCTTGTAAGCTCATTTTAGCCCGAGTTTCGAATTTTGAAAAGCTTTTTTTTCCACAGAGTTTTAAGAAGGTGATGAGGAGTTTTTGGTGAAAAGGAATGAAATATAAGATAAATCGATCAAGTTTTATGTTATATGTCTTTTTGATTTTCCAATCTGAACAAAAAAAATAAGAGATCACTAAAGGAATCATTCAAGCTTTAGAGCCTTAGGGTATGAATTTTAAACCCTATAGGGACCACCTAAAACTAAAACCTAAAGGGCTTGTTTTTCCCTGATCCCTAGAGACACCTCTCTAGAGTTCCATTAGCTTTCACGTAAAAGGGCGTGGTCAGCCAATCAGAAACTTTTGAAGCAAAATCATCATTTTTTGGATTATTTCATAATCGAAGTTTAACTTTGTCCCTTTTCAGACAAGCAGCAAACTTTTGTCGAAATACGAGCGACGAGAACTCACCGACAAAATTCTCCTTATAATCGCCTTGATCTTCTATTTCGCTGTTGTTTATTATATTCTGCAGAAACGGGTTCTCACCTGGTTTTGGATTTTCTGATGTTTTATTCTTCTCAATAAGGGTGATTGGGAACTCGTGACACATGTATTTAAGATTTTAATAAATATTTACTTGCCTTATTATTCATTTTATTGTACTTTTTTTCTTGCTGCGGTTGATACCGGTTCGATATTGAAGTTGTTATGAATGAAAGTATAGTCAATGTTTCTCGACTTGAGAGGCGAGGGAGGCGGGGCAGGGGGCGGCTCGCGCAGCGTGTGCGCACGCGGTTCTTGGTTTCTGGTAGCTCGGCAACCGCTCTTTTTTTGTATCTATTCTACTTTTTTTGATGCACAAATGAAAAATAATCAATAAATAATATAATAAGGAGTGAAAAGAGCGATAAATAAGCTCTCTGAATGCTCGCTGGCGGTTGAATTGAACTCGTGCCAAGAACCGCGTACGCCTCCCTCGCGTTTCAAGTCGGGAAACAATGACTATAATCGAGTAAACTTATTTTCAGACATTATGGAAGTGGATCCGCCGCAAATCAATCTGAGCGAACTAACTGCTGAACTTGCCAAGCTTCTCCGTGCCGCCAATGAAGATGTAAGTTTATTCTGAATGGATCTTCAAAAGAAGAAATAACCAAACTCAGAGAAAAAAAAAACCTTTTGTGGCCACTTAAAAGGTCCCTCAAGTACCAGTCGAAAGAACTCTAAAGTGGTCACTAAAAGAAGCCATCATCCTTCATCTTAGTGGCCACTGAAATGTCAAAACCCTAAAGTGGTCTCTCAAAAATTTTTCCAGAAAGTGGAGGAAAAGGTATAAGTCTGAGAGATCAGCAGAAGACTGAAGAGAGTTCAGAGAAAGAGAGTTTCTCCCACTTCTCTGGCGTCTCCAGACTTACAGGGCTCTCTAGTTTCTAAGTCTAATCGCACTCATTTTTTCTCGATCTTGAATAAAAGAAAGAAATATATTAGATTTTTTTTCTTAAAAATTTTTTTCCTGTTTTTTTCTATTTCTCCATCTTGTTTCTGGTCATTTTTTTCTCGAGCTTATAGAAAAAAATAAAGAGTGGTTAGGCGGCCGGAAGAGAATTTAAAGAAAATGAGTTTTTTCCGCTTCTCTGGCGTCTCTTCACCCCATCTTTGTCTTTTTCCTAATTTCGGTTGGTCAAGCTTCTCTGTAAACTTCAAGAAAAATAAAAAGTGTTGAGTCCTGCTTGGACTTGAAGAGAGTTTAGAGAAAAAAAGCTTTTCTCATTTCTCTGGGGTCTCTTCAGGCCGCCCTTGATCTTTCGTTCCGATTTTTAGCTCAAGTTTATTAGGAAAGGTTCTCTGTTTTAGCCCAAGGGAAAAAGAAGAGAAAATAAGCTTTTACTTAAAGAGTTTCGAGATAAAAATGTGTCTATTTCTCTCATTTTTCTGTTTTCAACTCCATGGACAAGAAACGAGGGATAAGCGGAGAAGTTCAGAAAGTGGAAATTTCTTTTTCTCTCGCGTCTCTCTAGATCACGCGTTTTCTTTCGCTTCCTCCTCATTTTTTTATGGTTTCGAAGTTGAAAAAATTTTAAAGGATGCCAAAAGACTGCTGACAAAAGTGCCGCAACTCCTACAAACGAAAGATGATTCGGGCCGTTCTGTTGTTCATTTTGCCGCCGTCGGAGGCTGTGTTTCCATCTTTCAGTATGCTCTTCTGACCGATCCTGGAGCTGCTGATAAGCCTGACGATGTGGGTATCGAATCAAAAAATGGTTTTGAAAGGTCAAAATCATAAAAATGAAGAAACGTTTTTTTCAGTTTGTTAATGAAGGGTTTAGAATTGGACTATTTGAAAAGGATTTCGAAAAATCAGATTCTTGAGCCTCTCTGTAAAAAGTCATTTTTAGGCCTGAATGTTTTGCGTTCTGGTTAATTAAACCTAAATTGGTTTTTTTCCTATTCGTATGAGCGTCTGAAAGAGAATTTGAGAGAACTTTTAGGAAATCTCTTTTTAAGTGAAATAAGAGATTTCGGGACTATTTTGGGTGTTAGATTCCAAAATTAAACTTAAAATTAAAAGAAAAGAAAAGATTCGATGAAATAATATTTGGACTTTGTCCGCTTTTTTTCAAACTTACTTGCTACTCTTTTTAGTTGGGATGGACGCCTCTGATGATCGCCGCATCGGCTGGCAGAACCGAGCTCGTCCGCTATTTAGTTGGACTTGCTCAGGTTGATCGATAAGTTAAGGATTAGACAAAAATAAGTCACTTTTTAGGTTAATATTTTGCATCAGAACAAGAATGGTCAGACGAGTCTCCACTACGCGGCTAGCAAAAATCACCGGGAGGTAAACTCATAAACTGATTTTAACTGGGTTTTTTGGTATTTTCGAAAAAAAAAAAAAACTCGTTTTCAAGATCTCAAACCTATGGCTACCACAAAAACTCCCTTATCAGTCATTTTAAATGGATAGCGGTATTTGAGAGCAAAAAATCACCTATAGATTCTCAAAATTCTTCTTGACGCCGAAGCTGATGTAAACGTCGCCGATAAATATGGAGCAACGGCGCTCCACCGAGCAGCCAGCCAAGGACATGAACTCGTGAGATTCAGATGAATGGAATGGAGGAAATTTTTGATTTAAGATCGTCCGTTTGTTGCTCTCTCAGCCCAGAATCAAAATTGATGCCAGAGACAGCGAAGGAAACACGCCGCTGTGAGTTTTCTGCAGAAGAAGCTTTGTTTATAGACCTTCATAGAGTTTTTTTTCGAAAAAGTTGACTTAAAAAGTTGTTTTCTATGGAAAAATTACTCTTTTTCTTTCTAGGCGAAGTCTCAAATTTTTTTCGGGGGGTTCTTAACAGACAGCTATTTTTAACTACATTTTCGTGCAGAAGCTTTAAACCGTTTTTATTTTCCTCTTAGATTCGAAAGCCTCAGCTCTTTTCTGTTGGTAAAAGCTCACCTTCTAGCTATTTTTGGACTCCAGTTCATCCAGGAACCAACCGTGTTCATCATTCTCTTAGACATGGGATGAATCTTCAAATATATTTTTTCATTGATCGATCTTTAGATAGACCTTATCCATTTTTACATCGATTTTACGACAGTTCTGCTACTTGCAGACACTTGGCGTGTGACGAAAACCGTGAAGAAGTCGCGCTGATGTTGGTGCATCGTGGGGCGATCGCCGACATGAAAAATAAGGTGTCCGATGACACGGCAGCCTCGATCTAATCTGCCAAAGTTCAGGAGGAAAAGACGCCTTGGCAACTGGCTTTGAACAAAAACCCCGAACTGGCGGTCAAGCTGAAGAGGGCCTCCCAGCAAGTCTGAACGATCGTCGAGTAATACGAGTTGATTAACTTATTCTCTTCCATAATAATCGGAAAAATATTCCGCATGTACTGCGTTTAATGAATGTACTTTTTGCATCGTCTCAAAGAAAAAGAAATGATTTCGAAAAAGAGTTTGAATTTCAGAAAAAGCGTTGATTTTTGTTTAGAAGAAAGTTTTGAAGGGATCCGCGTATTTTGAAAAGATTCTGGAATCGAAAGAATCTGAAAAAAAAAAATGCAATTTTGATTAGAGAGTAAAACTTTCCTGGAAAATACCAAAAAAAATTCAGCAAAAAAGCCAAAAATGTTTAGAGCTAGTAATTTTCCGGATATAAAAAACAAGAAGAAAAGTTTGTGATTAGAAAAGTTTCAGTGATTTTTTGAAAGTGACAAATTTGCTCTAAAGGAGTTGAAGAAATTTTTTTGAAACGTGTTTTTTACTTGTTTATTTTGTTCTCCTAATCCAGTATAACAAGCTTTTTTTTTGATTGTCTGTGGAAAACTCAAGTGGCCATTTAAAAGGCTCCTTGGAGAGGACCCTAAAGGGACCACTATAACCAACTTTATAGAAGTCGCTATTTAGCGTCCTAGTGACCACTATAGTAGTTTTAGCGGTCTAATAGAACCATCAAGGCTTCTAAAGAGGCCAATAAGTTTTAGCCACTTTAGTGGCCACTAATTCAATGATTAGAGAGGCCCCTAAAACGTCAAAACCCTAAAGGGACCACTGAAAATTTTTCCAATAGATAAAATATATTTTCGTAGACCCTTCGAAAAAAATTTCCAGTTTTTCTTTATGATCGAATCCTTTTTTATTAATGCCCTGCTTGTATATTTTTTCCTCTAATCATTACTTTTTCTGACTTTTTAATAGGCCCTATAAGGATTGCAACTGCCGCTCAAATGGACTTAGTGCCACCTAAACTGGAACCTAAAACGCCCTATTAAATGGCCATCCGGCCTTCAAAAAAAAAAAGGAAGGAACTTGGCGCTTTCTTTCTTTTCGTTCCTCGGCCTGCTTTTTTTTCCCGTAAGCTTATTGCGCAATTAGGAAGAGCGCCGCAAGCTGCGACGCGCCAAAGTGAAAGTCCCGGAGGACGCCTTTTTTGCAGAAGATCTTGCCAAATGATCCGCCGTTTGATTGATCAAAGATGGGGGGAGGAAAATGAGGTACTCGACTGTTTTCGATTGGGAAAAAAACATTGGCTTTTTAGGAATAATTCCATTTTTGAGAAGTGGAATTGGGTTTTTGGAACGGCTTTCTGTGGTGTCGATTCCTTTTAAAATGTGAGTTTTTCTTTTTTTTACTAAAAAAAGAATATTTCAAAAAATTGTATATGTCTTTATTTTTAGAACATCGTAATTAATGGTTAGGTTTTTTTTATTGCTTTTATACTGTTAGAAGACAAAAAAAGATTGAGCGATTTTTGAAATTTTTTTCCATGTTTGAAAAATTATGTTACTAAACTATTTTTTTCATGTTAGAGATCAATTTGAAGGCGTTTTAAGTGATTATTATGAAGTCATACCAACTTTTCAAATTTTTTTGAGTTATTTTTAAGCTTTGAGGACAATAATTTAGATTCTGAAGAAAGAAAAAAATTCTTTTTGCAAAAAAATTCAATTATATTGAAAAATAAAACAATGTTCATTGCTATTTGAGGCTTTGAAATAGGCCCAAAAGCTGCAAATAGAGCTTCGAGTCACATTCCAAAAGTTTCTCTCTTTTTTTTTCGAAAAGATCGAAATAGCTTGAGCTGCTTTCCTCAGACTTTTTGTAGCGATCACATCAATAGGAATCAGAAGCGCTCTATAGAATTCTGAGAAATTAGGAATCGCTTCAGTGAACATGGTTTTTTTTCCATAACTAGTTGGAAAGGATCTGTTGAATCCGGTGAATACTACCTGCACTTGCAGGATGCGTAGGCACGGCTCTTTGCAGGATTTCAGTAGAGTTCGGGCCAATCTTCAAGAAATTTCCAACCGCAGAGAAAAATGATCTTCCTTGCAAGCAATCAATAATGGGGAAAGACCTAATATCGCAAATCAGCGAAAATTTTCATAAGTATGCAGGCTTTTGTAGAAGGTTCTTTAGAGATTAGACTTCCAAAGAGCAAGTTTGAGCAGAGCTGTGCGTTGGGCCGAGGTTGATGACCGAATCGGCCCACAATTGTCGCAATCGCGAGCTTTTTTCATCTCATTTCATATTTTAAATCAAATAATTTTCCCAAATAACACATTTTCGATTACTCACTCCCCCATTTACACATTCTGTGAAAATTTCGATACAAAAAAGTTCGAAAAGTGGCAAATTTTTGGCCGCTTCGCGACCGCGTTGCGACACTATGGCCAGCCCGGCTGGCCCAAAGCACAGCTCTGAGTTTGAGCCATTTACGGTTCCGGACTAGCACCGTAAACCCATTTACCACTTTCTGGCAAGCCATGATCATCCAAGTAAAGAAGCGTCACACGCAGCCAAGGTTAGCCGTGTCGACGGAGGCGGTAAAAATTGTTTTCGTTTGTGGCGACGAGTGACGGATGCCCGGGGCCAGTTTCAAAAGTGGACATTACAAGGCGGCTGTATTTGGCGGGGACGGCCTCCACGATTGGCCCGAAGGAGGCGGTCATTCGTTACCTTTCCGCGCGGCTTCTCCCTCCGACGCCCGAGTCTGAGACTCGTTCCGACCGCGTTTTGTATACTCGTCTCAGCCAAGACTTGTTATTTACTACCAGCCCCGAATCCCATTGTCTCGTATAACCCATTTTTCTCAGTTTGAAACGGCCGACTGCCGCATTTTCAGTGCAAAGCGGTTTGAGCCAATCAAAAGTTATCGCATCAGGAAAAGTAAAATATCCTCTTTTAAAGGCATTAGGGGCAGTCAAAAACGAACTTAGAGCTTCTCATTGCGAATTACATGAAAACGTAGAGTGTTCCCTATTTTCGAAGAAAAATTTAATCGAAATCAGTGAGAAAATTTTTTTGAACCCGCTAAAAGGTCGTTCTGCAGTATAGTTGCTCTATGGACAACAGGCATCGCAATTTTTCAGATTTTCTTTTTTTCCTTCGTTTATCTCAATTTTTTTTTTTTTTTTTTTCCAAAGTTTCTCTCGTCGCCAAAACGTTTTATCATTTTAATTTGCAAACTTCGATCGCATATTAAATGTCATAAAACTTTTTTGAACTAAACTTTTCTGTTATCTACGACAAGAAACTTGATTAAAATCTGAAAACTCGAAAATTTTAAACTGGCGCCGAAAAGCAGCGCGAACGCTTCGCACGGAAACTGCAAGCCGAATCAATCATTCCCGACTTGGAAGGTGAGCTGGGTAGGTTGGCAAGGAGGACGCGTTGCGCATTTGAAACGGCTATCTGCGGCATTTGCAGTTTGTGCGCGAAGCGGTTGCGATGTATTTTGGCGCCAATTCAAAAATTATCGCATCAGTCAATAACTTTCATGGAAATTTTTCTTCACTTCTCTGATATTAAATGCCATAGCTCCTTTTTTAAATATTGTTTCTTCTAAATAATTAACTTTTTTACAAGAAAAAAAGGAATTCGTGAATATTTTTTATTTGTCTGTGAATCGGCGCTTTTCAACTCTAATAATTGACCTTGAGGAGCTGAAAATGCTCCGCTAAAAACTCCAAAATGATGGAAGAAAAAGCTTTCGAGCTCCTTATTCTTAGCCTCAGAGGATCCTTTTTGAAGCTTCTGAAATCTTTTTAGTTGATTTTCAGCATCTTTTCATTGAAAACTGTGAAAAAGATGCAAAAACATCTGTTGAAGACCCTTTGAAGATTTTTTTGAAAGGGGTGCTTTTCCTTTTCGCCCGAAGTAGGAGAACTCGTTGTTTTGAAATGTTTGGCTCCGAAAATCGGATTTCCATTACAGATGCCGGTTCTCCGATTTTTAATAATTTCAACACTTCTTCACTACGTCAGGGCACAGCCACCTCCACAACAACCGGCAAATGTGAGCTTTATCTGGGGTTTTTCCCGTTTCTCGCCATTTTATGAAAAAAGGAACTTGGAATTCATTTTGAGAGAAAAGCCATCGATAAAATATCAAAAAATCGTATGGAAAAAAAAAATGCTTTTTTGAAAATGGAACCGCTTAGAAGTCTATTTTTTATCGCTCAAAAAGTATTAGATGTTATTTCCGCGTCCTAATAAATTGCTTTTAACAACCGTTTATTCAAAAAAAAATTTGGTAACTGTAAAATCATAATTCAGTCATTTTAAAGGAAAAAATTTTGCGATTTTTGCTCGGCTTGACCTTGACTATTTATCAGTTTTAAAATCAATACAAGAGGCCGAAAAGTTTCACGGATCAAAACATGACCTATTAAAGGTGAATCGAGAAGTCGATACAAATAGATACCGGGTAGCAACTTTTGAAAAATTCGTATGGTAATCGGTGGTCGTTTGTATGCGACCGGGCACTAGCTCACCCGGGTTGGAGGTCGATGCAAGTAGCTATTGGGTAGCTACCTGACATTCGCGATTTTTTTCGGAAAGTCTGGAATCGCTTCCCGGGTCTTTATTTTTTGCTTCAGATTCATCCAATAAGATCCTGGAAGACTTCGGAAGGTGTGAAAAAACACTGGAGCTAAATAAACGACCGATATGCCCGCCAGTGGCAATCGCGAATTCCAGGTACATACCCGGTAGCATCCAGATACCGATCAGGTACTATCCAGGTACCATAGAGATAGTACCCGGTCGCATACAAATGACCACCGATTACCATTCGCCGATTCACTTCAGTTGCTACCCAGTACCTACTTGTATCTACCTCTCGATTCACCAGTCATTTATTTATTATTTTTTTTTTTGTCGAGAAGATTGTTTTACTTCGCACTCTGGTATAGTCCTGGACAAAAAACCAACGAAAGCGGACCAAGTGGGTCATTTTGAGACTATACAATACAATACAATATTTATTGGTTGTTTTAGTCAGATGGTATCGACTAGGCGGTGAAAAAATTGCTCTTTTGAGCGGCACTAACACCGCCTTTGGCGAAAAAGAAGTCAAAACGTGTAGTTGATTGAATTGAAAGCATGGTCTTACGATCCTTCGCCTCGTTCTTCCACAAGTTGATCCCTCAGTTTCGCGGGTACGGGCACGGCGGGGATGGTGGGGCTCGGGCACGGACTCCGTGTATACTCTAGGGTAGCCTCGGCCGACTGAGAGAGCTACCACTTCGAGTGAAGAAAAATACACGGAATATGAGAACTTTTTTTATAAAAAAATAAGAAATTTCTCAGGTTAGGACCCTCAGAATCTCAATTTGGTTATTTCAAAAGAAATCTTTCATAGTTTCAGAAAATCCCAGGGTTCGTAGTAAATCGATCTTTTCGTCAGCAAAAAGCTAAATGTTTTTTCATGAATACAGGAAACTTTTTAAAAACTGGAAAAAAATTAGATATTAAGAATTTCTTTCGATCGTCAAAAAAATTGAACCGCGGAAGACAGATATTTTTATTTAGCGTCGTTTTGAAACAGTAATTCATGGAGTCTGGAATTGGAAACTTGGCTAAAAAAATTTTAAAAAAAAAATGTATTTTCAGGGGTAGTAAAATGGTTATTTGGTAAATTTAATTTACAAAATGAGAAGGAATTTTTTGAGGAGGCTTGATTTTTTTGAGAAAATACAAGGTCAGACCATTTCTGAAGAAAACTTGCTTTAAAGTGGAGTCAAAACTATTTCCTGGAGGTTAGAACTTGTTTTGTAGTCCTCCTTGAGGTTAAGGTTGAAATTCCTTTTCAAATCAATTCGAAACATTTTTCACAATAAATCAGAAAATTCTTCCAGCCAAGCGACGTGCAGAGGACATTTTACGAGCTGATCCAGCGACAGCAGCAGCTGAACAACGCGATTCTCCTCAACAACGCCCTGCTCCACAACTCGATGGCGACTGCGCTCCATCGCGAACAGCTACCGTAAGCCTCGAGCAAGTCCGTCCCATGGAGAGAATCCGAAAAAGTCGGCTGCAGAATCCCGCTGACGCCGCCGGAAGCCCTCATCCCGCCCCTGGCCCCGAATCCCGCCGCCAACCTCTTCGTTCCCTTCAATCAACGTTTGATTTTTCTCATTATCTTTTTTTATTTTTTTTGGAGAACAAAGTTATCATTAAATTCGTTAGTAGCGTTAGTTCTTGAAATAAGAAGTTGGAGGTCTCAACCTACTTTTTAAAAATGATAAAATTAGTTTTTTTGAAGGGCTTCGACCTCTTACTAGGAAATCAGCCATTTTGAAAAAAATCGAGAGATTTTTTTCTAGAATACTGATGGAGTAGTTCATTTCGGTTCAAAGTTTGGACTCTTGCCCATTTTTTTAGAATATTTCTGAAGGTCCTCATGTTTTCATTTTTTTCTGAAAGTTTTCTACCTAATTTTTTTATTCTGAAGAAGTAATTTTTTTCAAATTTAAGAAATATTGGTTCCATTTTTTTGAGCTAGTTCAGAAAAAAATAAAAAAACGCAAAACTATTTTTTTTGAAAGCGTCTTGGCCATTATTTCATGAGTTTTTAGATAGGTTTACATTTTTTTCAATTTCCTTTATTTTTTTGAGCTCTCCGAGATTTTTTTGAATTTCTGAGAGAAAGTCGATGATTCCATTACAAAAAAAATTTTCTGCATTTAAAAAAATTTCTATTTTTTTTAGGTCTTACATAATTTAAAGCATATATCGAGCTTTATTATTATCTAAATTTTTTTTTCTGAAGCGTTTTAGCCTGTGTACCATGACTTGGAATTTCACCAAACGACATTCCGCTGTGCCGCTACGCGCCTTTGCGAACCTCGGTCGCGCTTTTAATTTCTTTTTTCTTTTATTGAGGTACTCTACTTTCATGTTCTCCCACAGCAATAACAATCAATTGAAAGCGTGATCTAGATTCGAAAGACGCTTCGTTAACGCACGCAGCGGAACAGCGGAATGTCGTTCCGTGAAATTTCAAGTCATGGCACACAGACTGTACCTTTTCTTAATTTGATTATTTGCCCTCTATGAAAAAGTGAACCCAATCGAAATTCAAAAAGCGGCGCCTCGTCATCTCATTGAATAGAAAAACGTGTCGCGGCTAATCATTTATCTTCTCTTTTTCCATCGATATCGTTTTTTTTTTTCGACGCCGCGTGATCTCATTAATCCTTCCGAAAATGGCGTCATCATCTTGTTGTGTGACGTGATCGATTTCTCACATTCCATTCGATGTTTTCTTTTTGAGAAGAAGCTTAGTAACTGTGGATCCTAAAAGGGCAACCTTAGGGCCCTTGAATGTTCCCGTCTAGGAACCTCTTAACCTTTTACTATAGGGGCCACTAAAGCTTGCAAAAGTGGCCCTATAGGGGACATGCTAGTCGATAAGCTACATGAACTCTATGAGTAGAAGCATTTTTAGGCGAGAAACTCAAAAATCAGCTATATCTGAATTAAAAAGTTTCAAAAGGATGAATTGATCAATGGTCTTTTTTATCAAATCTGGACGAAAAGATTGAAAGACCCCTATAGGGAATACTTGAGCTTTAGAAACCTAGAACTCAGACTGAAAACCCCTATAGACACCACCTTAATTTCACCCCTGTAGAAGGCACTTTAACTTCTTTGATTTAAAAAAAAAGTACCAGTTTCGATGATTGCTCATGATTTCAAGGAACCTAAGAGAAGACCTTTTTTGCATGTTACTACTCAGAACGACAGAAGCTGGAGATCTTCGAGAAGCTGCCCCCGGCCAAAGATCTGACCCCTCCGACGACCGTCCCTCCTCCGCTCAGAGATGTCGAGCCGACTTCCAAACTCGTTGCGGTTGATGAAGTACATCTTCAGGCCACGACAACCGACAAGCCGACAGTCGCCGAAGCTGAAGGCGTCGTCAGCGGAGAAAGCGAAGAAGAAGAAGTTTTGGAAGAGCCTCTGGTTACTACTGTCTCGAATGAGGTTTGCAGTGCCAAAATGTTTATTATTATAGTGGAAGGTTTGATTTTATCTCACCAGGGAACGTTTTTTACCCCCCGGGTTTTGTTGAAACTTCGCTGAAAGGTACTTTAGGACCTTCTGATTTTAGATCATGAAGAAAATTTCTCGCAGTAGATCTCATTTTCGAGTTATGGAGCTTCAAAGTGTGCAAAATAAGCAAATAATGACAAAAAAGCGCTATTTTGAGCTTTTGAAGCGTCCTCACTCGAAAACGAGATCTATTGCGAGAAATTTTCTTCTTGATATGGAATCAGGGGGTCCTAAAGTACACTTAAGGGAAGTTTCATTAAAAGCTTAACCGGAAGGGGGGTGAAAAAACGTTCCATAGTGGAATCAGCTTTGTAGTATTCCGTTTAAATTCTTTCCACCTTCAAACCTTTTTTTCAAGATAAGATTTCAAAAAGTTACGTTGTCCTCACGAAAGATTTCCTGGATATAAGAATGTCCACAAAATGTCTTATAGAGAAAGAATTCGCATTTAGAAAAAGGTAGCTGAATTTTCAACGCTGTCGCCCTTATTTTTTTTCATTAAATCTAGTTCGTTTTCTCGAAGATAGGTTGCAATTTTCCTATCTTAGACAGCTTCTATAATTTGGCACAGCCAGTCAAATCTTTAAAAAAAAAATCCTGCACATTTTCAGACCTCACAAGAAAGTTCTTCGCGTCAAGAAGTTTCCAAAATATTGGGAAAGTTGAACGTGAGTCGGGAGGATGCGCAGTCCATCGTCGACCGGCTTCAGGAGGTTTCTATATTTTGAAAGTCATTTTTTTTATTTTAGAAAGTTTTCCATGACCTTCATATTTTCGTTTCTCTTGAACTTGAATGCGCACTTGAAATGGCTCAACTTTCAAAGACCAAAAACAGATTTTCAAAGAGCGCCCGTCTCAAAACGGCTTCCGCGCTCAATCAAGACGTTGAACCGGCTATAGACCTGTAGTCCACTTCTCAACTTGAAAAAAATCTTCTCTGCGCCCTCCTCGTCTCTCGGCGACCCTCTCATGTTTACGTGCTATTTTGACGTTTCTCTGACCTCGCCGGTGAGGGAACAGAGAGACGCAGACACTCGAAAACTGTAAAGTCACGATGGACGGACTATAGAACAAATAATATATTTCTGAGCCATTCCACGTGCGACCAAGACTTTCGAGTCCGGTTCAAAAATGAAGATGATTTTACAGTTGGTTCTGGAGCAGCTGGAGAAGAAGCTGGGAGAAGTCAGAAGAACTCCGGCTCCAATTACGACTTCTACAACAACTACTACCGTCACCAATATTCCGACAACTACAACAACTACAGCTCCTTCTGAACCTCCTACCACGGCTTCCCCGTTATCCTCCGCTGAGGAAGAGTTCAGGTTATTTTTTGACAAAAACAGCTTTTTTGGAAGAGTATCCTCATAGTTTTGTGCTTCATGGAAAATGCCAGCAAAAGTCAGAATCTCGCCAAAGAAAACCGGACGTTTCTGAGCAAAAATTTTGCATAACAGCTTATGAAATGGCGCGAAAAGGCAGCAAAAAGGACCACTTAAGAGTGCTGACGCCACTGAAGTGATCACTAGATACGCTCGGACACGTCCGGTTTGCGTTACCAAGCTCTGAGTAACTTTTCTCCTTTTTTTCTTCATTTTTATCTTTATTTTTCGATTCAAACTATCATTTACTCGTTTTTTTCATCTTATGCAAAGTTATGACAAACGAAGCATAATTGATTTGAGTATCTTTGTCATAATTTGATAAGAAATTGAAACTGTATTCTGATGCTCAAAAAATTTTCAAAGTTATTCATATTTTCGATTTCATGACCTTTTCACTCTTTTTTAGACCTTTTGTAATAGGAATCAATTATTTATGAGGCTTGAGATGGAGTTGTTGAAAAAAAAAATTCAATCTCACGGTTGTTCTCGCAGGAGCGCATAAGACAACGTAATTTCTGCATTGTCGATTTTTTTTGCAGCTTTTTTTTCACATTGAAAAAAATAAATTGAAGTCAACATTTATTGCGGCTATTTTTGCTGGAGTGCATAAGTGAGCATTATCTGACAAGAGGACGGCAATTTTTTTTCGAAGTCTTTCTGTTGTCTTGTCTTTCCTAACAACGAAGATTGACTTTCCAAGTTTTAGAGCGGCTCTGGCGTCGTTGTCGAGCGAGACAGATGTCCCGACGTCCTCCTCGGCCGAAGGAACTCGAGTCGTCGTCAACCGACACAACATCAAGCTCCATCCGGTGAGCCGCGTCGCTCCGGAGCAGGACGAAGGCTGGGGAGCCATCAAGACCTCCAAGACCCATCTTCCCATCGTCGACACCGCCGAGGAGACTCACAACGCCGTGGCACCGGTCCAAGTCGCTCCGGTCGTCGCCGCGGCCGTGACGACCGTCCGAGCCGGCGAGAAGGAGAAGAAGAACGAACACAAGACGCTTCTGAAGAAGAGGATCAGCGTCGCCGTGCAGAAGGACAAGGTAAAGTTTATTATGAGCGAGATCCAACACGAACAAGACTGACTTCATATCGGCTAACCCTTTTCGACTTTGAGAGCCCCTAACTTCTTTCACATGCCTTGAGGGCAAGATTTAAGCGCAAATTATGATCAAAACTACATCTAGAGCATCCGGTCTCATTGAGAAGTTTCACTGTGAGCTGAAAACGTTTCCTGGTTAGAGGAGAGATCCCAAATACCGTGGAATATTCTAGAAAAAACTAGTTTAGCGAATTAATCAGAAGCTTACTTTTTGCAAAAAAGTTGTTAGACCGAAGTATCCAAAAAAGAAAAAACTGCAAAAAAAGTTCGCACTGCGTGTGCACCGAACCTATGACCTCCTGACCCCCAGTCAGCCACTTTCCTACTGCTCTCGCTACCTTTGCTTCGACGCTCGCCGGATCGCAATAGGACACCGCGCTCTTACGCTTTTATCACGAGCCCAGCTTTGAAAACTTATATCTGAACTCCAGAACTTTTTTGAGAATTATCCAATGGTTTTTCGTGACAAGGGGAACAAGGACTATATACCTTCCAAAAAGGAGCTCAATCGGAGACATCGAAATTTTCGACTTTGAGAGTCTCTAACTTTTTTCACAGGCCTCGAGGGCAACTTTTGAGCACAGATTAGGAATCAGCGTGAAAACCACATCTAGGGAGCTTAGTCCCGGGAAATTCTGGAATATGTCGGAACATTCTGGAATTTTTAGGATCTGGACGACGATTTGCTCGTCGATTTCGCCACCGGAGCTCCCCTTGACTTGAACGAAGCGAATAACGTCCTCACGACGACGCGGTCACGACCCCGGATTCCAGCGAAACAGTGAAATATCCTTTTTTGTTTTTCTATATTTTCTAAATTTCAAGAATTCTCCCAACTGCCGCCACTGAGAGACCTGCTCCGTCGGGCAAAAATCGCTCGGCCGCCATTTTGCCGGCGCGACATCGAATCGTGGGTACTTTAGGGGAAAGTATTAAAGAAATAAAATTTTTTTTTGTTTTAAAGGAGCATCGATGTGTTCTGAAAAGGTCTTGAAGCGAAGAGCTATTCTGAGGAGTTTTTTTTATAGAATATGTGATATCAAATTGTGAGTGTTCCACGGGGAAAATTTAGAAAATAAAAGTTTGTTGGGTTTTTTAAAGGAACATAAAAAAACCTCAAAAAAGGTGTCGAAGCGAAGAGCCTTAGAATTATTTGCTGAATCATGCGACATCGGATTGTGAGTAATTTAGAAGAAAATGAAGAAAAATTAAAAATTTGTTGGATTGTTTAAAGGAGCATGGATGACCCAGAAAAGGTCTCGAAGCGAAGATCTATATTTTGAATATTTATTTGGATCCTTTAACTTTTAAATACATTGAATTACCCAAAAAATATTTTCTGAACGAAAAAAATCTTTGATTTTTCCAGAAATTTGAGCTTGATTTTATTTTTAAAAAAAGACAAAAATTTAAAACAATACATTGATGAAATTTCGTCTTTTTCTTCCAAGGAAAAATAGTTTTTTGGATTTATAATTTGGTTTTTGACTGTTCCTATTTTTTTTTTCTAAAATAGTGATCACTATGAATTTCTACACAATTCAGCACAAAGTTAGTCATTTTCAGCACGAAATGACGCAGTTTGAGAAACTCGCGACGGATTATCGCCGAAGGCTCGAAAATACCGGAGATGTGAATAAAATCCTGCAGAAAATCTACGAAAACGCCTACATTTCGTTAGGTTAGAATAGTATTTTTTTTTTCTGAATTGAATTTGAAAAAAAAAATTCGTGTAAACTCCGCAACGTATTTGTTGTGCGTAGCGCCTTTTTTTTTGAATGAAATTTGCCAAAAACTTAGAAACTGCAGAGTGGCCCCTAAAGGGGAAGCCTGAAGAGCCCTTGAAAAGAAAGGACCCTATAGGGGCCACTTGAGCTTTAGCGGCTCAGGGGTCAGATCCTAAACCCTTCAGGGACGACCTTTTTTTCCTCTATAGAGACTGTCATTTTCCCTAACCCCTATAAGGACCACTCTGGCGTTTCTTAGAATGTTAAGATTCTAAATGGCTATCAAGAAAAGTTGAAATTTTCAGTGGAACGTCGCGGCTAAACTTCTCTTATCTCCCAGAAAACGAACTAACTTATTAATTTATTGATTTTTATCACCCCCAGGTCTTTCAAGTTGGTCGGTATTGGTTTAAAATTGTCTTATTGATTTTAAGACAACCAAATCAGGATAATTAGGAGTAAGCTGAATTCATATACTTTTTCTTGTTTGCAATTCAATTTTTGAAGTTTTAGATTTTACAAAGCGCAAATAGGAAAAAAAATTGCATCCAAAAATTTTTTAGTCTCGATACATTATTGATTCAATTTTTGTCGAAACCATGAATTCTAATCAAAAAATAAAGATAAAGCAATAATTTCCACAAATGATTCAAACTTACCAACGTTTTCAGAAAAGGAAGTGAATCTTAAATTTTCTCAGTGAAACAGATTTGTGATCAGACTTCAATAATTGCTGTGAAAGGATCAATTTCAACAGAAAAAAGGCTCTCAGAAGTTTCCAGAAGAAGAAAAATGAATCGGAAATTGTTTCATTGAGATTTTAATCATTTAAAAAAATTGATTCAAATTCAGATTTGGGTCTGAATTTTCAACGAAAAATGCTGTCAGTGATATTAAAAAAAGAATTTGTTTTTTTTGGTTTTGAGATTCTAAAAAAATTTTTTTGAAAAAAATTTAACAGTAAGTTTCTAAAAATATTTTGTTTTTTTCTACAAAAATGATTTATGCTGTTTTTTTAAACTATTTTCGACGATTTCGACGCGTTATTCGTTTGAAATTATTTCGCGAAAGAAGCAAAAAGAAAAATTTGGAGTCATTGAAAAATAAAATAGGTCCTACAACGATATATCGAGATATGTAACTTTTTACGGTGAATTTTACGAACGAAGTCCAAATTTTGGAATCATCTAGGCATTTTTAATGAAAAATTAAAGTTCGCGCGTAAAATTGACTGTAAAGTGTTACATAAGTCTATATATCGTTGTAGGACCCATTTCTTAAACGATTCTCGAAATTCTCTTTTTGACTCCTTTGCGGAATAATTTTGATGCTGAAATTACCTTAAACGCGAAATTTTTATTTTCAGACTCACTGATCTAAATTTCTGTCCACGCCCTTGAGACTAATTTTTCAGTACAGAAGTTTTTTTTTGAGATCTAGAGTTTCAGATGCTATTATTAGGTCAGAAAGACTCACCAGCCAGTACCGACCGAACCAACTGAATCCCCCCTTTAACACTGTAAATATGATGTACAGAGGCCCTCCGCCAGTCGCCGTCCCCCATTCAATTCTCTTCTTTTTTTCGTGACTGCAATCCAACTCGCTTTTCGCCCCGGCAGCAATAAAGACGTATTTCCTGAGTCTGTCGTCGTGTGTGTTGTGTATGTCGGTTGGAAGTGTATTTGTGCCGCGGATGAGCGCCGCCGTGCGCCGGTTCTGCGCCTCCGGCGCCGCTGGCGACGGCATCCGAGTCCGTCCCGAATTCTGCCCAAAAAACGCTCGAAGTTTCTAGCTTTTCGAATATTTCATCCTTTCTTTTTTCTGCTGTCTATTTCTTTGGTATGAGACATCAGTGATAAAAAAATTGGATCAATTAAATATAGGAGTTTTTTTCAAAAAAACACTCAAAAAGGCGAAATCACCTGAGTTCCGGCCCAAAAAACGCTCGAATTTTCTAGCTTTTTCTGAATTTTTTTCATCCCTTCATTTTTTTACTGTCCATTTCTTTTTTTAGGAAAAAAACGTCTTTGAAAAAAATTGAAACAAATAAAATATAGGAGTTTTTTCAAAAACACTCAAAAAAAAAAGACGACGGCACCCGAGTTTCGGCCCAAAAAACGCTCGAAATTTCTAGCTTTTCTTAATTTTTCACCCCTTCTTTTTTTGCTGTCTATTTCTGTTTGGTAGGAAGCATCAGTGATGAAAAAATCGACTCGAAGGATTGGGTGTATCGCAGACTATGACGTCTCACGATGGTACCTCGAGTATGCGAAATGAGAGGGACTTGAGAGAGACTCTGAAGTACCTCCGAGATGACTCAGATATAGCTAAAAGGTATGCCGGAGGTCTCACGATCGACACATTATGGGGTCTTTACGACCCATTTTGAGAGGTACCTTTGTGGACTCATTATGGTACCCTCTCGATTTCGCGATACCCTTTCTCGATTCGCTTATGATCGTCTGTGTATAATGGATCGTAAAGGCTCCATCGTGAGACCTCCAGCATACCTATCAGCTATATCTGAGTCATCTCGGAGGTACTTCAGAGTCCCCTTCAAGCCTATCTCATTTTGTATCCCCGAGGTACCATCGTGAGACTTCAGAGCCTGCGATATACCCCAGAGGACCTCGCGATACCCTTTCTCGATTCGTCTGTGTGATCAGCTTCAGTTTTTTCGCCTCCCAAACTTGCCAGATCCATCGGACACTCGAATCCAGCTCTTTTTTCTGCTTCTGATTTCAACACTGATCAATGAGATTTTTCCTTTGTTTGCTCTGCCGGATGCTTTTCTGTCCGTTCCATCAAATATCCGTGTTTTTGTTTCGTCGATCAATAAAATGCTTTCAGAGATGTTTTGCTTGATTGTTTCTTTCACAGAATTTTATCGATCCTCTTTTTTTAATTAAAAAGAAAAATTATTTAGAGCCACTTTTAAGGTAGATTGGAAGTGAATAGAATGCTCACTTCGTTAAGGAATATTTCGCTTTTGTCATCCTTCTGTGAGAAATTTCATATATTTTCAATTGAGTGATCCGGGAAAAATTTAAAGAAATAACCCTGACTTAATTTTCTGAGATCGAGAAGAAGCGGAGAATTGATCCGAAAATAAGATTTTTTTTCTCGTTTTTCTTTCTCTTTCCTGTTTCAGCTCTTATTCATTGCATCGTATTTTTGTAATAGTCAACCATTAAAAATGCTGCGAAATTACGGAAAATTAATATAGATATATCTTCTATTCACGTTTAGAAGAACCGTCTTTTTTAATCAAGCTGTTTTTTCTATCAAAGTGAAACAACTCCTGATAAGATTTTTTTTATAAGTCCTTATTGTAATAAATTTCCGCTCTGAATAAACCTATCATAAATTTTCGAACAGACTTTGAAAATTGATTTTCAAGTAAAATACATCAATTTTTGACAGGGACTTTTTTGGATTTTAAAGTTGAAGCCTGTATGGAAAGAATGCTGATGACAATCGGAAGCTAACTGCGAAAACAGAAAAGAAAAATGTCAAAAATGAAAAAAGTTATAAGCAAAAGAGTGGTCTGAAGAGACTTTGCCAACTTTCGTGAAGTTTCGAAAACCTTTCTCTCTTTCTTGCTCATTTACCGAAGAGCAGAAGCTTCATTTTCCCGGAAAAGAGCGGAAAATTCTGAGCAGTTTTGCACAATGAGCCCGTTACATACAAACACAGAAACGGCACAGTCAGACAAAAATGCTCCAAATGCGACGCGTTCCAAATGCAAACAAAGCGTGTTTGGGCAAGTTCTGCCTTGAAGGCACCCCCAAAAAACTTTTCTCTCTTCTTCCCGACAAATTTTTTGCTTTTATTTTCTGTGTTTTGTTTTTTTTTCGCATTTCGAAAGTGCAAACACGAAACGTTTGTACGATTCCGACGGCTAATTTTTCAGTCGTTGGCATCGAAATCGACAATTTCGCTCTAATTAAATGAAATTAGTGGGGATCCAGATTTTACAGTTTCAGACCATTTACTAAAGTTTTTTTGGTTTTTCGAATCGGCCTAAATTAACATTAAAAAAATCTTTTTTTTCGCCTTGAGACCTTTTCCAAATTTGGCATGTGCGCCTTTAATATATCCGGAAGTTTTTTTTTTCTAATTTTTTAACTTTCTTTTGATATAATTTTTCAGTCGTTGGCATCAAAATTGACAATTTCACTCTAATTAAATGAAATTGGCGGGGAACCATATTCTGCCGTTTCAGACCGTTTACTAAAGTTTCTGGTGTTTTTTAGGCTTAGTCTTAAAAAATAGCTCTTCGCCTTGAGAACTTTCCCGATTTGGGCCTGTGCGCCTTTAAAAGATTCTAAAAATCGTTTCGAGTGAACTAACGATTTTTTCAAGTTTTTCTACTTCCTGATGATCTATTTCTTGCTGCAGCTTTTTTTCTGAAAAAAATTTCGAACTTCTAACATATTTTTTTCGTAATAATCACCCTGAAGATTTTTTTCCGTTTTTTTTATTTTTTTGAGAAAAAAATGTGAAGTTTCTTAATTCCAATTTTCAACACATTCCTGTTTCAGAAACCTTTTTTTATTCATATTTTTTTCTTAACGGTTTAGTGCACCGTCTGAATCTATTAGTAATTATTAAAACCTGAAAAAGATTTCCAAATAAAGGCCGCAATTTAATAATGTCCGATTTTTAAAAATAGGACGATCGTGTTTTCGATTTCGTTAATGATAACTAATTATGAGCAAGAACGATGTAGACTTCTTATTAGGCGATGAAAACTGTAATGTCGCTTAACTTGTTTCCACATAAAAACTTTCTGGAAAAATATTCAGCCCCTTTTTAAAAATTATTTTCTCATAACTTTCTCAATATACTATTTTTTGCAAATGTTCATAGCGTTTTCTAATCTAATCATTTTGAATTAAGTTTAAAAAAAATTAGAATTTCAACTTTTTTGTCCCGAGAATTAAACTTACAAGAAAGGTCATTTCACTTTTCGGTTGGGAATTTTCTGAAATTCAGCCAAAAAAAATCATTGATTCATCAAAAAACGATTCTGAGAGCCTCAACCAGCCAAAATTTCTTGTTTTTGAGAAATAAGAGCTTCAAGCCCCACAATGGCCTATTTTTACGGATTTTGAGGAATTTTTTGATTTTGAGGTGACATTTCTCGAAAATTGGGAAGCTTTGCAAGTTGAGGTTTTCAGATATTCATTACGGCCCATCAAGGAGTGTTCTGCCCAATTTACGAAAAATTCCCAGCCCAAAGTGTAATTACCACCCTCGTGAGTTGATGCGCAGCCAATTTTAAAAATTGATCATCTTTTTTAAAGTATTCCAGCGTTACTCTACTATTGACCCGTTGGATTACTGCCTTTTGTTGGCTTTCGCATGTGACTTCTAAACAAATTGCACTGTTTGTTGGAGAGAAAAAAAAGACTTCTCGACACCTTTTTTCTTTTTCTTTTTTTCTGAAAAAATGAAAAATCGTCAATTCACTGTTTCAGCGATGGTATTTGAACGATCAATCTAAAAAAAAAAGAGTCTGTTTTGAGGAGAAAAAAAAAGTTCTAAATCTAGGACGATTTTCGTCAGCTTGTAATCCTATTATGAAAATATGAATCGGCGGCGAGAAAACCGGTTGGTTAACATGAGCAATATAAGACCGTGCGATGACGTCATCTTAAAAAACCTCACCGATGACGCTTCTTCTCAAAATTGAAGAGAAATTACGGTTTTTTTATTTCCTGTAGAACGTCACTTAACTATTATTTAAAATGAGCAATATTTTTAGCACCGCCCTATCGAACTTTCCGGTAGGCTTCTTAAAATAAAGGGAAGCCTAATTTTTGTTATTTCTAGCAGAATTTATTGTAAATATGAAGCCGGGAAATTCTCTAACATGAGTAATGCGAAAACGATGACGTCATTTCGATAATTTTGGGGAAGTTCATGCGCAGCAGGGGACATTCTTTGGGACCTTTCTCAGACTATGACGTCATCGAACCAATTTTGACTTTTGTAATATGAGCAATGGGGTGCACAAGGCCCCGCCCCCTCACGTCACCAAAACTAATGATTTTTTTTGTTCCAAAAACGATATTGAAGCGTTTCTACTGTATAAAGTTTTTTGGCCACAACTTTTTTCTTAGTGGACTTTTTTTCAAAAACTAAACGGATTATGAAAATTGACAGTCTTCTCTATCGAATAGTGTAGAAAACATATTTTTTGAATTGTTTTGAAAAAAATATTTTGCGGTCTCTATGTTAGGGGATAGCTTCACAAAAAAAATAATAGTCATTTTTAAATAAAAATAATTTTTTTTCAATATTCAGACCTATTTTGAGCTCTTGACTTGTTATTTTTTTCTTTCTTTTTATTTTAAAAAAATCGTCCCATCACCATTTCAATACAACCATTATAATTTTTTCCCTTTCAAAGTTGCCTCAAAAAAAATTTTTCTTTCTATTTTTCTATTGTATTGCATTCCGCTTCACTGATAATGGGAGCGTCTTCTCAATTTTCAGAATTTTTTCCCGATCTTCACAATTTTTTTCTTCAGGAAGCCAGTTTTTCTTTCCTTTTTCTTTTGGGTGGAAAACAACACAACAACTCAATTTCCGACCAGGAGTTGGCTTGATTTCATCTTACACCCTTTTCTGCTATTTTTCCGAAAAAAAGGATGATTGATTGTTGTAAAATTGGAAGAAAAGTCTGGATTTTTTCATTGAATTCCGTGTTCAGAGTTTCAGATATTTATTTTCTTATT